CAGATTACATAAAAATATCAATATATTTGGTATCATTGTTTGCAAAGTATTTTATTTCTAATACAAATAGTAATCCAAAAAAAATCTCCACATTTGTTAATTTGTTATGTTCTAACAAAATATTATTACTTTATACACAGTACTGGACAAATTGATAAATAATAATAATTTTAATTTGACATATTGTAAAAAAATTAATAAACTCTTTAGTGTTTTTAATTGATTTTAGTGTACATATGATATGCAAATCGTGAATACAGTATTTGCAAATCACCATAAAAATAGATGCTATAAATATACATGAATTCATATTTAGTAAAATCTTTTATTACAATCGCATAGCAAATAGCAATAGTATTACACAACAACAGGTTTATTAAGAGTTTCGTATAACAGAAATGAAATCTCATGAGAATTAAACACTACTTTAAATTCTCAAATTATATATAAAAAAGTTTAAATTTTTAAAAATATTATTTTAACATATTAACTTTATTAACATCATTTTTTGAATTATATTCATGAATCTTTTTAAAAAATTAATTTTTAATATTATATTGAAAATTATTATCAAAAAATTACTATAAACTAAATTTTTTAACTTATAAAATTATTTTTATTATTTGATAAAAACCACTATAATTAAACTGTATTGTACTCAACAATTAATTTATTCTATCATATATTGAACTATATTTATTTTATACATAACCATAATTTTAAAATTTCAATTAACTAAAGAAATTTTATTCATAATATATTAATTATGTTTTGATTATTTATTTTTTTGATGATTTGAAAATGAATTTTTTTTTAAAGTATTTTAATTATTAAATAATCTATACATTTTTACAAACATTCACAAAAAAATATTTAATTATTTACTTTATTTTATAAATTTAATCTTTTTGTAATCCATTAGAATTCATATTTTTTTAATTATTTTTTTAATTTTTATCTTAATAATCACAATTAAGATTACAATTATGACTGACATCAGCTTTATTTTACGACAATTACTTTTTTATTTTATTTTTTATACTATATTTATATGGGATTTATTATTATATCATAAATATTATAATTGTAGATAAAAGTGTAGATAAAAATTGTTTAATATTTATAGATATGTATTTCCTTAGAATAATTATTTTCTATAAATAAAATCAAATTTATATTTTTTTCTTTGAAAAAATAAATATACTATATATAGAAAAGACTAATACGTGTTTTTGATAATCAATATTATGTGTATTCAAGTCAAAGTAAATGTTTTAATTTTTCAAACATTAATTAAATTGTTTGAAATTATTTGACACTTAAATGAAAACAATTTTAATTAATTAAAAGAATGACATTATTATTAAAATATAATATATTTGTTATATTATTAAAAATTTCTTTTAAAACTAACAAATTTTCAAATAATAAAACTAATATTTGATCGATACATAATAATAAGAAATTGTATAATAAGAAATAAAAAATAAGAAATAATAATAAAATGTATATTTATTTTTAAATTAATTTATTATTGATGATCAAGTTTTGTCTATTGATTGTCTATGTTGTTATTTTTGAAAAACTAAACTAATTTACAAAAATACATTACAATATACCGTACAGTATTATAAGTCTACAAGTTATGAAAAATTATATTATGAAATATTATATTATATGTTGCATTAACTTTTATCCTCATGTGTAAAACATGATTATATTATTGTAACAAAAATAATTTGTGTTTACTGAAAATTGCATTACCCATTTCATATATAAGATGTTTTATACAATTTATATATGTTTTACCCAGTTGCAATTAATAATACATTTTTAATATAGTAATAGTTTTAATATAAAATATTAATATTTAAATATTAATAATAAACATGTTGTATAAAATTAAAAAACAATATTTATATATACTTGTATATAGTTATAAATAATAAAAATAACTTATGTTGAGTATTATTTGATTAGAGATGAGTCAATTTATTTCAACAATAATATGGCATTTTTATTAAATTTGTTGGTCCTATTTATTTTAGTCGATAAAATGTATAGAAAATGTTAAATATTATCATTTAAATATTTGTAGTATTAATATTAAGTGAGAAGAAATTTTATGTCAAGTAGTTTATAGATTGCTTTTAGCAATTGGCTGACCAATGACTGCAAAAATATTTGATATGATATTTGGAAAGATATGAATGGCATATACTGTATGAACAAAAAATAGATAGAGAGGTCACATACATGTACTGTATATTTAATAACATACGTAATATTGAATATATCTATTGAGTGGCGACAAACAGCTTTGGACTCTCATTAATGTTAAGATTATTGTCAGATGTCTGTGACATCAAAACCAATACTTATATACCTTAAGCATCAATGACTGACCAATTGTCATGTCTTATACTCTGTTATATTAATATTACAACTTATTTCCCAGAAATTTATTTAACATTTTCATAATAATTTGCTAAATATAAAAGCTTTTAATTTATATTTATTATTTTTATTATCAAAAATCAATTGAAAACAAAATAATACAGAATATAATTTATTATTATATAAACAATTTGTCTTACAAAAATAAAATTATTTTTTATATGAAAACAAATATTTTTATATTTGATTATAAGATTATGAATAACTCAAAGAATTTGATTGATGTTCAAATAACCAACAAATAGGTAGTACAACAACAACTACAACATCAACTACAACAACAATAATAATTATATCACACAATCAAATAAATAATATCATAAAACATTATAACAAATGACTAACGATTTATTAGTTGATTGGATACTATTAAACATATAAAAAATAAGTGACCTGTCGTTGGAATTCTCGTTATATCTCAGAAAAATTTATTAATAAAAAAGATGAAACTCTTATAGTATTTAATTATATATTAACTTATTTATCTAATTGAATATTTTCAGATTCACAACAAATTATTGCTTATAATATTAGCATATAAATCAAAATTGTTTTAATTGTCTTTATTAATAATTTATAGATTAATATTGTTATAAATCTCTCTCTCTCTCTCTCTCTCTCTCWCACACACACACACACACACATTTTGTTAAAATATCTTTTTAATTAATTGAAAAATTACTTTATTTTTGATTGTATGCTTACATTTATGTATTTTTTATTTATGAAGGTATACTTATACTGTACTTTTAAAATAACTATTTTCACAACTAATATCTGTATATTAAAAATAACAGTAATTTGAATTTTAATACAATTCATCTCATAATTATTGTTAATTGTAAAAAAGGTATTGTAAAGTATATAACTTAATGTATAAGTACTGTACTGTATCCACTGTATTGTGTAAATTTGTCAAACAAAAACTTTTTAAATAATCATAAAAACATCAGTTTAGATGATATCTTATGCAAACTTATATAAAAACATATTCAATAATACAATTTTAAATAAAACAAAAATTCATTTCATATATCACTTCCTGAGTATTTTTGTATTACTTAATACAATTTATTGTTCATGATACAAGTATTATCAATTATATAATATGTTACTTATATTTTTAATAACAATATATAATACAGTATATGTTAATATTGTCAATAAATTTACATTTTAATTTTATACACATTTTAACATATGACAAATTAAATGTAAATATTGATAAAAGTTATTATTAGGTCAAACACACATAAATAATTGTGTGTATATAAGAATATTAAATTTATTCTTTATTAAATAATATAATTAACATTTATTACTTTTTATACAAACCGTTTATAAAGTCTTAATTTAAAGTAGTAATAATAGTTATAATCCAAGTTTATTGTATGGATCCAATCGTTTCTCATATCTACTATTTAATCCATATATTATAATAACTTTCTTTTAATCACATTTTAGTTATTATCACTAATATTTTATAACATTAATGATATAACAAATATAACTATAATTTATAATAACAAATTTATAAAATTAATTAAATTTATATCTTTTGTTGTGGTACACCATATACTGTATATAAATTTTTGATGTGAAATTTAATTGATGTGCATTGAGAATCTATTTTTTGAGATTAATACGTGAGAATATTATACTATTTAAAATAAAATTAAAAAATACTAATCTAACATAACCTAAAACATGATAAATAACAATAACAATAAAATTATATTAAATATATAAATTTCAATTCCTCAATATAAATTTTTACTATCTATATCAAATTTTTGTAACATTCTCAATGATTTTATCTAAAATAAATAATATGCTATCAAACAATTCATGTTACGATATATCTAATTATTTACATATTAACATTGATATACAAATCATTTATTATAATATTATATATTATTTCAAAAAGTTAAATAATAATAAACATTTGATATAAGATAAGATATAATCTTCAATTTTGTGTAATGATTGAACTGATAAAAGTGACATCAATGCAAACGACAGCACTGTTGGCATCTTTTGCCAAAAGATAAACTCAGCAAATATGCCATATATTTGTAAATATAACAAATGATAAAATATACAAAAATGTCATTTTTATCTTTTTTTAATCAATTGTGTATAAATTTAGATAGATTTGTCAAATTTATCAATTTATACTAAGTTTACATTATGACAAAACCTGTAAACTACAGTATAATATTTACTTTTTTGTATAATCTGTATAACACTATAATAAAAAATTATACAGTAAGTTATATATTAAATAATTAGATAATGTAAAAAATATTTTTTAATAAATATTTTAAACTTAAAATTAGAACAGATAATAAATTGTTATAACAGTGATAAATATATATATATATATATAGTGTTATATTAACTTAAATTATAAGATGCATATTTGGAAATATATTAAAACTTCAGAATAATAATCACTATTTTATTATAAACAAAATTATCTATAAATAGTAAAAATAACAAATTGCTTATATTTATTATCAGTTGTTAAAATATAAATATCACTTTGTTTTTACTTTGAATACTCTTTGAGGAATATCAACAAAAAGTATAGTTCCTATAAAAACTAATGCCATTCCCAACCAATGACTAGATGTAAATGTATTTTGAAAATAAAATATTGAAAAAATTAGTGATAAAAACTTTCTAATAGTCACAACCAAAGTAACTGTCAATGAAGTGCATTCAGCGGTCAATATAAACACACTTCTTATACATATGTATTGAGCCAAACAATTTGCTAACAATAGTAACCATAGTTTAGGCATAATTAGAGAAAATGCTGTCAAATCAATGATATATGGCTCTGATTTAGTAAATATCACAATATGTTGGGTTATGTTTGATAGCAATAGTAGAAAACCGGGTAATTGTAGAAAATGCTAATAATAATAATAAATTTATTAGTTTTTTACGCCAATAAACCAATTATGATGACTGACAATAACTTACAGTATAAAACAATGCTTCATGAGGATGTTTACCAAACTTTTGGTAAAGTTTCTCTTGAAATATACCCGTATTTGCTGAAGTAAACAACGATAACAACATTAAAAGTATACCAACAGTCCAGTCAAATGATGTATTTTGATTTGGCTTTACATTTGAATCATTGTTTTCATCCTTAAAGAAACATTAAACATTAATTTGAAGGTTTTTTCATAAGCATTCAATAAAGTAATGATAATTTGTTAACAATTAGTTACAGGTTTATGAATCGATGCCAATGTGCATACAATTATGCCAATCGTTATGATGATTACCGACAAATATTTAGTGAGAGTGTAGTGACGCTTAAGGATAAGTATTCCCAAAATCAAGTTTGCGATTAATGAACCCTAAAGTCAAATGGGAAATGAAGTGAATTATAAATGAGTTTTTTACTGATTAATATATTTTCGTCCGCTATTATTAAAAAATATAATATATATAGTAAGCTAAATAATGACTACTAAAATACATCCAACTGTGTATTTCATGACTTTCATAAGTCATTGTATTAAATCAAACATTGTTTTTATGCTGATTCCTACAAATTTTTTGGATTTTCATTTTTTAAAAAAGGTTATTCCCATTCAAGATTATATTGGATTTTATTAAAGAGAAAGTTTCTTAAACTTTGCATGACTTCTGTATATAATTTTCATAATAATCGCATTTATCTAAATTTCGCGATAAGAAATTATGTGTTGTAATAAATATATTAAGTGTTAATAATTATAAATACTTTATATTAAAAAATAAATAAATACCATTTTAAGTGACAAAAGGAAAGCTATCAGTTGTCACTCCAAACAACTATCAGTTAATTACATATTTTTTAATAATAAGTTTATATATGTAATTAAAGTTTTGCTTTATTTTGTTTTGATATAAAACGGAAACAAAGTGTCATAAGTGATAAAATTATCAACATTTCAGACCTAAAAAACATTTATTGTAGATATTATATATTAAAGACTGACTAAAGTATTTATTATATTTCCGCAATTATTAGAAAACATTTGATTTATATGTGAAGCAACAAAAAAGTTTAATAAAAGTAAAAACAACAACAAAAATATATTTTATTTATGCATAAGGAAAATATTGGGAAAAAAATCTTATATAAATATAATTTAATTTTTGTGTTTAACTTTCTCTAAAATGTTTTAAGTAATATTTTTATAATTTTGTTGTTGTTGTAAAACTAGAGGATTTAAATATTTTGATGAAATAAATAATATTGTTATTGAAAAATAAACTAAATATTTACATATATAAAGCAAGTCGTCTGCAAAATTCAAGAGTAAGTCATATTATTATTATAAATATAATTTTATTTAATTAAAAACTTTACTCTTCCCCTCTGTTTCTCATAATTCAAGACATTTAGTCTTTCATTTATTTAAAATTTTTAATTATTTTCACTAAACTTGTGTTTAGTTTACAATTAATTTGTTTACAATATATGAAAACCTTATGAAACCCTATTTATTTTAAGTCTTAGTTTTAAAATGTATGAACTCTTATATCATGTGTTTAATGGATTTACATTTGGTGTTTAAATTAATGACAAAAATACCTAACCTTTGAATATACTGTATATTTATGTTATGAATCATAACTTATGAAAACAATTAATAATGTTTTGCTGAATAAAAACTTCAAGTAAACAGTTAATCGATTTAGTAATTGATTATCAATTAAGTGATTAGATTTTGAAAAACAGTAATAAACTTACGGATCTAAAGATCATAATCAAAGGCATCGGCATATTGTATACATTGGCATAACTACTGGTAAGACTGACCACAAAGAAGTGCAGTACTAGTAATATGTAATGTCTGTGCCATCAGAGAAAAATGGTATTAATTAGTCATCGATGGTCAGCACATATACACCAATACCTTAAGGGGATGTGTGATCTTTGACGGCCACATCTGGTGCTAAACAGGAAGCCCTCCACAGATATGACTGCAATCTGAGCCAAATTAATGAGGTTTCCAGCGCCAGGTGTGTGCCTAACAATCATATCAATACAAAAATATTAATTACTAATTGTTATCACTATTAATGGGAACAACTCGTGAAATAGTGTTTGCATTCATTCAAAGTGTGTATTAAAACAAATACATGTTTTAATGAGTTATGATATTCAAACACAACAACAAAAATCCTGTTTTTTTCGATGCATTTCATTAACAAACCTAATGATCGACTCGAGGGCCACAACATTAGCCCCACAACTCATGAATACCAGTGCTATCACTGACACTATCTTAAGATCTGATGAACGACTCTTCATATCCATTGACACAACAAAAAACAAACTTTTGGTCCCAAAAAAATTGAATTACTTTTGTTTTATTCTGACATAACATACAAATATCTGAATTATATTATATGTTTAAAACACATCACTTGTGTTGTTGTTATGCAATGTTTTGGTTGTATTGTTGGCTTTAAAAAGTTTTGTTGACTTTTGTTGTATAATATATTAATATCTAATACAATGCTATACTTTTTTAATACAAAATAACTAGTGTTGTATTTATTGCTTTATTATTGAAAATAAATGTTTAGAGTTATTTTGCCAATTGACCATGCTATAAAAATAATAAACAATTGAATGTATTGTTTATGTAATAATTTTAATTAAATTAATATTGTCTAATTGATCTAGTTCAATTTCTTATGTCACAATCGCTGTCATTACAACTCTAGTTTTCAAATTAAATACATTTTTGGGGATCATATGTTAATCTAATCGATACTTTTGAATTTTCAAACACTTGTGGAGTCAATAGTATACTGTACTCTACAGTAATGTAGTATAAAATACAATCAATTGATGATCACATTGTGTTAGACATTGATTTAAAATTTTAATAAAATATAAACCAAATATAAATTACTTAAATTATATTATATGTATGATTAATAATACGGGATATAATAAAAATATTTTTATGATAGGATTTTACATTAAGATAAAGATAACTTATGCGGCGATTTATGGCAATTGAATGCAACAAAACTAATGTTATTTTTAACATTTTTTACATATTTTACTAAACAAAAAATTCAAGTAATAAATTGTAGACATTTTTTGCCATAAATACAAATATATATTCATAGAAATGATTTATTATGTTATTTGTTGGATAAAACTTATGCTTATAATTAGTTTGACAAATGTGTTGTATTGATAGGTCCTATGTTTGAAAAGTCAATCAAAACTATGTGAGACCTAATAGTTAGTCAAATGAAACTCTACGCCCATTCATATCAATGATGGCCACTATGTTTGGGCTCTTATATTGTAGTGATAGTTGTATTACTTGTATTATATGAATGTAAAAGTGGGTCCAAACATGTTGTCAGTCCGGTGTCGACCCCATAATACAGTAGACGACTGACTTGACTGACTGGCCATATGTGAGGATGTGTTTGCAATGACATAACGATCCCTAAGTGTAGACTCCTCTGGCATATAATAGTGTAGTGAATGACTCATTGAATGGTTAGGCAGTGTTTGTCAGGCATTGAGTGAATCAATGAATCAGTGGTACAGTTGTGTTGTGTTGTGATGTGAGGGACGACACCAACCCATACAACAACAATACTATTGTACAACACATACATTACTACCCATACAATACATATACTGTGTTTACATTGTTTTGTTGTATTCAACATAACTTAAGATAACAATAATTAATAATTACTTAATAATAATATTAAATAAGTAATACTTTCACTGATTGTGTAATACAGTTGTCATTATTTGGTCAGTTGTGTCAAACATTTATGACTTAAGCATTGAAAGGACTGTTAGATGTGTTTGTGTTTTGCCCATTGAGTGTGTGATTCATTCATAATAATCACTATAACATTGAGTTTTATATTAATGAATCAATGATTGGACTAATATATGTCATATGTCATACATAAAAACAATGTATTTATTATTATAATTATTTATAAATCCTTTTAATTGATGGCTTAGTCATCAACTGTCTGCCCACTCGTTGACCAGTTATACACCACTACCCGTGTGTCAGTGTTGTATGTATACCTCAAGCCTCCAGTGCTTGACATTTAAGTGCCATTAGGTGTTGCCAACACTATTGAGGACAGGTATGTCAATATACAATAAAAAGCACTAAAAACTGTTTATATTTTACACCATTAGCCGCACGATTGGCTTACCATTTGTAATACATTTTTACATTTGAAAAGTTTTATTTGTTTTAAATGTCTAATCAGTCGCAAAATGATTAAAAAAAAAGTTTAATGTGTTTGACATAAAAAATAGTGATATAGTGATAGGATTTTAGTAGTATATGATGTGTTTGTTTTAGGTATCAATTTTATGAAAAAGTTTCCCTTTAAATGTTATTATAAGTCGCGCATTAATTATATGATTATATAAACTATTTTTATTACAATTTGTATTAACCATATATGATATTAAACATGATTATGCCTTATATATATTGATAAATATAATTAAATTATTTAAATTATGTAATTATATGAAAAACTTATTTTTCATTTGAACTGTTATTTTCTGTTATAATAAAATATTTAATAAATTGCATTAAATAATTTTATTATGTATAACAAGAGTTAACCTTTGTTTTTATTATTGTAAATAAATTAGCCCTAAAATTGTATGTAATAGTAGTGCAACTATTAATAATAAGGAGTGAGACAGAGGCACATATGATATGTGTTATGAACTCAAATATTAATTGTCTTATAAGGAAATCTCATAAATTATAAACACTTTGATAACGGGCTCATTGAGTGAACTGTCAGACAACTTGTATTAATCTATTTAAATAAATATATAAATATTATAAAACTTAGGGCTAAACCTCAAAAATGTGAAATAATTTATATTTATTGGATTGCATTACATATATTTTAACACATTATCAATGACTCAAAGTCCCAAAATAGTAGTTTATGTAATACAATGTTGTGAATAATCTAATTATTTGTATCGATTTTTTTATTATATAGAGTTGGAAATGGAGATAAAGTTATTGCATAAGAGCTCGACATTTGGCAATTTTAATAGTCATAAATTAAGTTTAAGCAATTGGTTCAGCTCTTTAGGACTGACCAACAATGGACACACCAAACGCAAGAACAGTCAATTGAAGAACTCCAAGAGTTTGAGTAAGTCTTAAATAAAAAGCAAAAAACACTATATTTAATGTTTTTGTTTGTTTTACTCTATATATTAGTATTTATTATTATTTGTATTTTATGTTATTTTTGTGTTGGAGTTTTGATTTGTGCCAAATTCAGTGCACAAACTCATTGATCCAATAGAGGCAACAATTATCGATCAAATGCCTTGCGATGCGGTTTTATGTAATAAATTGATTCACTATTTAATATCACGTTTACACACAACTAAAATATAATGTGCTGTATATGATATAAACATTATATCTAATAGTGTGATACATAATTTTCAAACATTATGTCTATTAATATAATGCATTGAAATAGATTTTTTCTACTTCCCTTAAGCAGCCTATATCTCATCCCAATGATTACATTGCCAATTGACAGCTGACAGTGCCCTCAACTCATATGCATTTAGACTCATCCGTCTCTGTGACTCCCTATCCTTATCCCTATCCCCACAACCAACGATCCCCGAAAGCCTCATTTTTCTTTAATTTTTTTAGTATATCTATTTTAAACGCTAGAGTCAATTGCAAATCTTAGTGAAAGTTAGGTTCAAATTTAAGCCAAGGACTGACTGATAGTCAACTTTCCATTTTGTTTGCTATTTTTTACACACAAAAAATAAGTTTTTCTTTTATTTTTGTCTGAAATTAATCATTTAAACTAAGCGAATAAATGTATATATTTGCGGTACACTCCCTAAGCAAAAACCACTTTTCCCACATTGCTTATAATTGAATTTCAAATAATTAATTTTCAATTAATTTTTTAGTTTCCTTAATTTGTATCAATTGCTTCACATGTTTATACATATGTAAAACAAAAGAGACATAATATTAGTTTATTTTTATGTTTTGTGTTTTATGAATATATTTGCTTATAATTAGTAATATAATAATGTCTGCTTTACAGTCACTTTTTTTATTGGTTTCAGCTGTAGTTATATATAAAGTTTTTCACTATAAATAGCACTTTAAACCACTGTCTCAACAGTGAACCACCAATTGTTGGCAATTTGTTTCCTATTCCAAGAGTCAAGTGTTTAAACTAATAATTAAATATACTTTGTTTCTCTTAATATATATTATGATTTATTTGTTGATTTAATGCTTCAAAAATTAGTTATTATTAGAGACATTCAAAGTCTGAACAAATAGTCTAACACAACAAATCATAATTGATTTTTATTTATTATTTAATTAAAAATTTATTTATTTGGTAATAAATGCATTTCCATTGTTTGCTTTTTATGGTATATTCATAAATATAAGACATTTTAGTTGTTATTTCTATTTAATTGTTATTACTTTTGTCTGCTAATTCTATTATCAGTTTTTATTTAATAATATAATTTAATGATTTAACTCAGCATTTATTACAATAGCACTTTGTTATAAAAATTTTCATTAATAATTGACAAAACAATAGTACGGGCTTTATAAGTGATTATTCGTAATAATTTTATAGATAAGATATTCAGTGAAAAGGATATCACAGTTACAGTAAATGTTAGCTGAAAAATAAATGTATAAAAATCGTTATCGAGGGTTGAATTGAATTAGTGATGAGTTTATTTGAGTGAAATGGTTGTCAACCAAAAGTATATATGTCTGTCATAACTAAAGTATAGCTATATTATAGTTAGTGGTAGTAATCGAAAGGAATTTTCATTTTTCCCATACATTATAACTTCAAATTTGATGTCTTCCTAATGTTTGGTGACATTTGTCGTTGACTTATACTCTTTGCTATACATCTGGTGCCGCACACTATTAGTGCCATATCGGTGACGCCTTTATTTCAAAAAGTAATGTTTCGGATAAAATTATGTGTTATATAATATATTAAATGTGTTGTTATAATGAACTGATAATTCAAAGGTTTATTGCATATAAGTTAATGCAATTTTGTTAATTATGTTTGTAAACTTAATTGTAAAATAAATGTGTGTTTGTTGTGTTATGTGATGCCATAACAATAGGTTTGTCCAAAAAACTAAGTGATATTAGAAAATATATTTTTCAAGACTAGTAGTTATCTCCATATGTTATCATTTTAACGGCAGTCTCTCTCGTTTCTCTATTGTCAAAATTTCTCATTTATTATTATACGGTTGACTTAAAATTTTTGAATATACCCATCATTTATAATACCATTTGTGTAAATCTATTGGATCTGTTTCGTCTCTTTTAGTTTACTAAACATTAGACACACATATTTATAAAGAGATATATATTGAAGATATAGCACAGTTATGTAAGGATATGTTCCCTATATGAGTGCCGTTTCTTCCTTTAATACCAAGACTAGTGATAACATAACAATTGTGTTGAGAAATAGTGTATACTATTGATTACATGAGAGATGAACTCTGGAGATGAGTTGTTATGGTAACCATTGAAAGGATGTTGCACCCGATGCCTGGCTATATGTGCTCTATGTTTGAACCATTATGTGTTTGTTATGTCTCACAAATTACTTTTTTATTTTCAAATATTGATTAATGCATTGAATTGATAACTCTTTGAMATTAGTGAAGTGCATTGAAGCCGAAAACCAAAAATAAATTATTTAAGACATGTTTTATTATCATTCAAAGGTGTTGTTCACGAAATGCCACGATTTGGTTCCGATGGTGAAAGTGAAGAAGCATCCGGTGCTTCTGATGAAGTCGTGTCTCCCGTTACTAAAAGTCATTATATTAGTAATGGGAACGCCGCCAATGGGAACGTCCGGATGAGAAATCATAGGACTCGACGGATCAATCCTCAAGACATAAGCAAAAGACTTTCACTGCCCGCTGACCTCCATCTGCCAGAAAGCTTTTTGGTTAAGCAATCATTAAGTCCTACACCTGATGGACCATTAACTCGACAAATGAGACGTCAGTCGCTGGTATGTCTCATGTCTTTAATTTGCAATTTTACTCTACGTTGTCATCAAATGTTGACTTAATTTATCATTTTATAACAGAATGAGATCGGTTTTGGACGAATGGAAACGTACACCAAATTAGACAAATTGGGAGAAGTATGGCATCAATATATGATATCTTACTAAAAGTTATATTAATGTGAAATCAATACTCATCTCACAAATGTTTGTTTGATGTGTATTTATAGGGCACTTATGCTACTGTTTTCAAAGGGAAAAGTAGGTTAACCGACAAATTGGTTGCACTCAAAGAGATCCGACTCGAACACGAAGAAGGAGCGCCCTGTACTGCCATTAGGGAAGGTATGAATCTTTCATTACCTATTAATTAACCTAATATTTAATTCATTAAATATTGTTAGTTATTTGTACAACAATATAATAGATAAACAAAACTATTAATGGAAAAAGATATTATTTGAAATATACTTAACATATATCTATGTTATCATTCCCATTGGTTTATACATAAGTGCATAAAATATTAAAATATGATAAATAACTATAATTTCAGCATTTATTAGAGATGATAAATCAATTTGATATAATAAAAAAAAACATTTTTAATGAAATTTCCTCATTTAAACCTAAATTCACACTTTTGTCTCCTATATAATAATATGAAAGTGTAGGCCTTACACAATATAATAAAAGTTTATTTTATTATGTTTTTTTAGTTAATGAAAGTTTAGGCAAAGCTTAATATTTAAAGGATTAAATAGGATTTGGAGCAAACAGTAAATTATGTCAATTTAATCCCTTTCATGTTTGAAAACAACATTAATTTATATAAACTCTAAACACACTTTAACATGAAATAAACTAATCGATCAAACATTTATATAAATATTTTTAAATACTAAACACAATATATTACAACATATCATTGCTATTTAGTTATAACATTTTGTGCATTTGTTTTATTTTAGTCCTCTTGAGATACAAATGATTATTTACTAAATGTTTATATGACATAAAGATTCTATGATTTAAAGAATTAATTATTATTTAGAAAATTTTATATTTATATATAATTGTGCTATAAATTTATATTTACGTCAAAACACATAGACATTGATTGCCAACTGAGCTGACCTTAACTTTATAAATATTTATATGATATATAATAAATACACAAACATTTTTATAAAATTTGAATAAAATTAACGATTTCAATACAAATGATATTTTGTATTTTCAGTTTCACTGTTAAAAGATTTAAAGCACAACAATATAGTGACTCTTCACGACATCGTTCACACGGAAAAGTCGCTGACTTTAGTATTTGAATATTTAGTGAGTTATTTAAATTTTTTGGTTAATGCTATCATTGTTTAGCAGTATTTTACTTATAAGTTATAACTTTACTTTTTCATTAATTTGTAACTAAAAGGAAAAAGATTTGAAGCAATATATGGATGACTGCAGTAATATAATGCATATGAATAACGTTAAGGTAGGCTAACTTACTATTGATTTTTATCATAATAAAAGCCATTGTCAGCCATAAGAGTATAATTTTGATAAAATAAACATTTCATATGATTATATGATTTAAATGTTATTAATTTTTTTTGTTGATAAAAAACAGATATTTTTATTTCAATTACTGAGAGGACTATCATATTGTCACAGAAGAAGAATACTTCACAGAGACTTAAAGCCACAGAATTTACTGATCAATGAGAGGGGAGAACTCAAGTTAGCAGACTTTGGGTTAGCACGTGCTAAGTCAGGTATTATTACTTCATTAATAAATTAATTAACGACACATTTAATGAGTAATTTATTGATTTTCATTCATTTAGTGCCAACAAAAACCTATTCAAACGAAGTGGTGACTCTATGGTATCGACCACCGGATGTACTTCTGGGATCCACTGAATATAATACATCGATTGATATGTGGGGTGTCGGCTGTATATTTTTTGAGATGGCCAGTGGTCGTCCATTATTTCCCGGTTCAACAGTTGAAGATGAGTTGCATCTAATATTCAGAACATTAGGCACACCAACTGAGCGCAACTGGAAGGGTATCACAAAAAAAGAAGAGTTCCTATCATTTAATTTCCCGCATTACGAACCCGAGTCGTTCATCGATAGAGTCAATCGAGTGCCACGACTTGACTCTGAAGGCATGGATCTCTTGAATCGATTTCTTAAGGTATTATTATATTATTATTTCTGATTAAAAATTTATCAAATTATTACCACTCAATGCTTAACATTTATAAAATAGTTTAAAACTTGAAATAAATATAAAATTGTTAAAAGTTATAAATATTAGACAACACACAATTGATACTATTATTATTATTATTATTTTGAATCTAATGTATAATTAATCGAATATACAATATTGACATATAAATTATTTTTTAAGTAAGTGCTCTAAATATATATAAAAGTTAATATATAATAGTTATAAATTACGATTATTTGGATTTCAGTGCTTTTACAATATTTTTACAAATTTCTTAAAAATGTAAAATATTAATAAAAATAAATTAATAATAAAAAATTTTAATATTATTATTTTTGACAGTACGAACCTAAGGCCCGAATAACTGCCAACGAATCGATGAAACACTTTTACTTTTCAAGTTTAGGTCCACACGTCCATCGACTTGAAGACACAGAATCAATATTCAATGTCCCGGGTCTACACCTGAGTCGTGATCCGGGAAGTCGATCGTTTGCCAATAATACAGGTCCGCACTCTCATCACTCTAAGCACAATAATAATAATACTAAACATTATCGTCACTCCTTATATCTCTCTTCACTTTAGCCATAAATGGTCGGCACAGACGACAAAGTCTATTGCTTTGACAATTGAGAGAAAAAATGAGTGGCCATTATGTGCTAATCACTTATATAAATACAATAAGTTTTTTTCCATATCCATTGGCCAATCACTTTAAAAGCCAATTCAATTGCCATTAATAACTAAATTTTAAAAATATTGCTCATTTGTGCCAATACTTTACACTTTTACACAAATTATTACTAAAAATTTAACACAAAAATTGAATGAATCAAACATTTTCGAGGAAAGTATTGAAACGATTGAAATGGATTTTTAGTTTTGACAATCCGGTCATAATTAACGCCAAAGTGTTTTAACAAAGCATTTGATGCTTAACTTATAGAGTATAACTCAAATACCAAAATTTTAGCCATTATTTACTTTTAATTACTATTAATATAATGAATATTTCTGATTTTATTAATATCTTTATTTGTAATATTTATTTTTTCAAAACCATTTTTTATAAAATTAATTTATATATATATATATATATTTTCTGATAATTTTGTTTGACACAATGTAATTTATAATATAATTATGATTTATTTATAACTTATTCATACATTTTTTAATATCCAAATAATTGTGTGTAAAAATAGCTGAAATGGTATAACATATGCGACCACTGGCTACCAATGAATATACATTATCATTGGATATCATTTGTAATGCATTGACTTATTTGATGCACTTTAATTTAATTAAAAAATTATTAGTGTAATTTCTATTATATATATATATAATGTAAATTAATTGTATTATAAGTTTGCAATAATAACCAAAATGAATGTCGGCGTGAAAGTTAAATTGATAAATGAATAATGAATTTAGTTATGAAAGAGATTTTTTTGTGAACTCTTCTGTGATGTCACTAAACAAACGGTTTGCCATCAGATTTAAAAATCAATGCAAATGTATTTTATTAGACGATTATTTCGTCTTATTATTTGCTCAATCAATGTAATTATAATTTTATTAAAATATAATTAAATAATGATTTTTTTTAATATCCACATAAAATAATAGTCCATTTTGTAAATTGTCTAAAAATGTTTCTTAATTAATGTCAGTTCAGTGTCTGTTATGTTTGCATTGTTTAAATCAGACATACGATACTAACTGACGGGTGATTTTATATATAAATTGTTTTGTCTCACAATTTTTTGATTGTCATCGAGAAATAAATTCTTATAATTAAATGCATTCCATATGCAAACAAACAATTCTCATATTTTATGACTAATTATTGTTTTAACAAAATTATTATTATTTCTACAATTGTACTGTATATTGATATTATTATTATAAATGAAAATTTTCAAACATTTTTTCCTTAAATTATACTGTAAACCATACATAATCACACCAAATATGTAATTTTTACTGACAAAAAAAATTACTGTTCATAATTGTTTGCAATTAATTAAACAAATTGTTAATCCTTATACAACTCAATTATTATTGAAAGTAATATAAGAATAGTCAATAAAGTTATTGAATTTTAAAAATGATTGATTTTTTTCATTTACCAATGGTATCATTTGGTAGGTGTATTAAAATATCACTTTTTGAAGATATTGTCGATAATGTCTGTAATTTCTTTCTTATGCAATTCGCCGATACCGACGGCTGGCGCGCAAAGTGATGGTCGACCCACATATCGGAGCTATAGTTGAGTTTTAAAAAGATAATTTATATAAGCATTTGTTTTTTTAAAAAATAATTTGTGTCGAAAAATAAATAAAAATTGAATTCAGATTCTTGACATACTTTACAATTGAGAATATCGTCAAAGCGTGGCCTCACATAACTCCAGGCGCCCATATTCTGGTGTTCCTCTTGACTCCAAATGAAATCTTTGAAAACAAATAAAAAGTTTGATTGATTATAATTTTTATATTTTCACCATTCATTCAATCTATTTATTTAAAAAGTGTTTTTTAAAGTATCAATTTTGACAACATATTATTTGTTTAATATTATAACTAATATGATATTAATATATAAAGTTTATTTATATTTACTAACCTTTAGCTGATTTATAAGCCAAAAGCTGAGCCAACACTTCATTAGCCGGAAAGGGACACAACTCTTCCAAACGAACCAAAGCTATGTGTTTGGCATTTCTATCCTCTCTTTCCTTACTTAGGGTATAATAATGCTTTCCCGAACAAAATACAACAGTTTTGATATCTGATTGATTTGTCACAATTGGATCACTTAATACTGGTCTGAAAAACGTCGAATCAATGAATTCATTAATGGTTGAAACACAGGAAGGATGACGAAGAAGTATTTTCGGTGTAATTACAATCAGAGGCTTTCGATAGTTGCGTATCAATTGGCGCCGAAGTACATGAAAGTATTGGGCCGGTGTTGTCGGGTTGACAATAGACCAGTTAATGTGATCTGAATCTACTGAGCTTTCTTTGGAATCACTCATTTGAAGGAAGCGCTCGATTCTTGCAGACGAATGCTCCGGACCTTTGAGAGCATTAAATTTATGACAACTCTTAATAGTATTAATAATAGTATAAATAATTTATGATAATTAATGACACAATACCTGCACCATCCATACCATGCGGTAATAGTAGTGTCAAAGCTGTGGATAGACCCCATTTTGCTTCTCCGGATGAAATAAATGTATCAAAAATAATTTGTGCCCCATTGAAGAAGTCACCAAACTGTGCCTCCCATACAACCAAATTGTTTGGATTGTCGATACTATGACCCCATTCATATGCCTTATAAATTATTAAACTTATAATTATAAATTAGGAATCAATTAGTTAGTCAATTACCAGAACTGCTTCTTCGCTAAGAATTGAATTGCAGACTTCAATAAATCCTTTTTGGTTATCATTTAAATGATTTAATGGTATATATGTGTCACCACTTTTCTGGTCGACTAGCATTACATGTCTTTGACTAAAAGTGCCTGAATTTAATATAAAAATTAATTAATGATTAGTTTTAACAATTTTTTACAATCACCTCTTCCGACGTCTTGACCCGAAAGTCTGACATTAAATCCCTGATACAGTAGTGACCCGAAGGCAAGTGCCTCAGCCGTCGCCCAATCAATTTTAACGCCTTCTTTGATTCGGTTGATTCTATCGTTTAGTACTTTATTTAAGTTTTGATGTAAATTAAACTCTTTGGGTGTTTCAATAGATTTGCCACAAATATAATACAAAATTTCTGGCAAAACACTTGTATCCCATCGAGTAATGGTCTTATCCGAGGCCATAGTTATACCATTCCAGACACCATTAAAATTAGTATTCTTTACTTTGTATGAATCAATTTCTTGGAAATTTTTATTGAGAAAACCGGTGTATTCATCAACAATGGCTTTTTGTTCTTCTTTAGTGAGAACTTGATTTGAGTATTTCTGAGGTATAGTCATATCAAGTGAATGTATTTTAGAGTACATAATAGGATTAGTAAAAGTCGGATCATCCAATTCATTGTGACCCCACTGTCGATAACAAACTAAATCAATTGCAATATCTTTTCTAAATTTGTGTCTGTATTCCAATGCAAACTGTGCCGCTTTTACCACACTTTCCGGATCGCCTCCATTGACATGAATACATGGACTGTCAATGATTTTGAGAGCATCGCTACAGTAAACTGAAGACCGACCGTGATTTAGCTGACCCGGAGTTGTGTAACCAATTTGATTGTTTACTATTAAATGTATTGACCCATCAACAGAATAATGAGGAACGTTAGCCATTGCTAGTGTCTCCATAATAATTCCCTGTCCAGAGAAGGCTGCATCGCCGTGAACTTGAATTCCCAAAATGGGTAATATATCACCAGTTTGTCCATAAGGACCGACCTGTTTAGTCATTGCTTTACCTCTGGCTTTACCGCAAACAACAGGACTGATAGCTTCTAAATGTGATGGATTTGGCAGTAAAATAATGTGAACTTTATTGTTATCATCAATTCGTCTATCAATTGATGTAAACAAATGAGACAAGACATCACCGGTAATGCCATTCAATTCTTGTAAATTGAATTCTGATTTTCCTAACATTTTTTGAAATAACATAACCGGCGGATAATTTAAAGAATTTGTTAATAGATTTAGTCTTCCCCTGTGAGGCATTCCTATAACAATATCAGTCACCCCGTGATGACAGCTCTCATGAAAAATATGCTCAAAAAACGTTATCATAGTCTCTGCTCCCTCTCCTCCATATCTCTTAACGGATGAAAACTTTTTAGTGAGAAACTGATCAAAAAGTTCAGACTTGAGCAGATCCATTGCCAATCGTTTTTTGTCATCTAAACTAAAAATAGTGTCATTTCCTACAATATGTTCCCATTTGTTGGCAATCCATTGTCGTTCATTGGCATCATTCAAGTGCATGAACTCAATGCTTATGTTTCCAGAGTAGGTCTCCTTCAATAAAGACAACAAATCCTTCACTTTGCATGAATTGTTGCCAGAAATGTTGACAAACTCTCGCGGATCAATCAATTGATCGCTTGTCTCGTAGTGAGTCAACTCAATTGGAAGCACATCCCAGTTTCGGGACTCATTCAATGATAATGGATCTAAACGGCTCAATAGGTGACCTCCACATCGAAATGTGTCCACCAATTTATGGACATCTAAACTACTTTTATCATTAGATTTATTTTTTGACAATTTTTTTACATTGTTTGTCTGCATATGTTTCGGTTGATAGCCATAAACACCACTTATCGTATGATATTTATTCATACATTTCATTAAATAATTTTGTTTAATGAAAAGTTCACTAGTTTTTAGTTTACTTAAAATACTATACATTTGAGACATATTTTTACACTGTTAGGTAATTTTAGTTGAAAAAACAATTATTTAAATTGAAAAACTATATATAATTTATTTTTATTGTCGGAAACACTATTATATTTATAATTATGTTAAATAATATTTTATTAAAAAAATTATAAAAAATACTAAGATATTAGTTAAATACAAAATCAGCTGCCATTGAGTTCAAGGATACCTTGATTTGAGAGTTGCCTCAAAATTACTGATAACCAGAACTTTTAAAAAAATCTCTTTCAAACCTTACTATTGATAATAACATTATTATTACATTAATAAAAATATCAACAACTAATTTATTAGTTGTTGATTATGTACTGTAATCTGTAATATACTATAATTTACTAATATGATTGTTTTATACAGTGAATCTCAATCATTTATTTTATTTGATATAAATTATATGTATATATTTATATTTATTATTACATTTGCAATTTTACACATTGAATTTAATATATTGAATTCAAGGTAACATTAGTTGAAAACACGATTTGTTGCTATCTTTTTAGATATTTTAAATATTTTTGTCAACATTTTTAGGCTTCATTTAAATTTTAATTAAATTTTTATAAATGTTAAAATTTAAATATCAATTATTGCATTGAATCATATGAAATGCAATAATCAAAATTGTTTGTATAACCTCAAAGCCATAAATAATCTAAATTATATATTTATAACTTATTTTGTTTGCAATTCTCTATTTTTTTTATTGTTGATTAATTGTAATATTAAGCAGAAACCAGAAAGCAGAAATGTTTGTAAAATTTATTTAAATATTATTGCATATCAAGACAACCAAATGATTAAATCATATGCTTAATGAATATAATATTTTTGAAAATGTATTACTAATTAGCTCAATATTATAGTAAAATAATATAGAATTAAATATTGAAATATTGTATAATATATTGTATAACACTATAATAAAGTATAAGCAATTCATAATAATTAAATTTATAAAATGTTTTGAAATAATACTAGGATTTAATATTTAATTTATTAAATTTAATTGTCAATTTATTATAATTAAATTAAATTATTGTTTATAATTTGTTATCATATGACTTCAGTAAATAAATTATATAATTTATTATATTCAGTAAAATGTTAGATATTTTCCTCAATATTTTTCATCACAAACAAGTATTAGAAATTATTTTTATTTATTTGTATACTTAAGATAATTATTGAATATAATTATTGTCTGTAATTATTATAAAAACTTTTGATAATTGAAGTTTAAAAAAATCATTAATGATTTGCATTTATAAATACTGTATTTGCCTAATATTTATAATTGATTTTTCTTTCAAAATGTGTTAACAACTTAACGGTAATTCTAATTAATGTAATTTTAATATTTAAAAAAAGAATACATTAATGAATTACTTTACAAAATAGACAAAATGTAAAACATTATATTGAAAAAAATATTCAAAAATTTATCAATTAATTTAAATTAGGAAATCACTATATAATGATTTAATTAGACAATTACAATATGCAGTAATTCGTAAAAACATAATTTTGTTTTTATTTGTTTTTTTCAGACAAACCTTCAAAATATTTTAATATTATAATTTAAGGTCAGATAGAATATAAGATTATAATTAGTTGTATTTAATAATATAGATAAATAAAAATAGAAAATATGGTATAAACGACATTTCGTATTAATACAGTATAATAAATAATACTGTTTTGTTTATAWAGTATTATATTCAATACTGCATTATCTGTATATTCATAGTCTGTATATTCACAAAAACATTTTATGCATTATTTAAACATAAAAAAATAAGTTCATAACGTTATAATAAATATGACATTTTATATAAATGAATAAAATACTATATGAATTATAAATGAATTATAAAAGTACTTTAATTAATACTAATGTAATTTATTATATATCTTAACAATCAATATTATTATAATTAGTTACAATAAAAATTCATGAGCTAAAATATTCAAAAATATATATACTATTTTATTATCTCCTAAATTAGTATATCAATAATAATTATTATACTATTATTATGATATTTATCTAACTATACTTATAATTAATTATTATTATTTATATCAAATTATAAATAGATGTCAAAGAAAGCAAAGTTAAAGTCACGTCGAGACCTATCTGAGTGTCCCTACAATGCATTGCGACCCGTGTTTGGTGTACTGTCATTGCTATTGTTTTTGGTATCAATTAATGCCAGCTCTTATGTAATGTTTATATACTTTAACGCACCGGACTGTCATATATGCGAGTCCAATGTGACCGACAAATCATGTCATTTGTATTGCAATATAAAAATCGATGACTACTTATATTCAGATATACAAGAAAATAGGAAACAATTATTACTTTATTTAGCACTGGTTTTGACAATCCGTTGTATTGCATATATCAGTGCATTCATTGGTGTCTTTCTTTTCAATATCTATTTAATGACAACTTATGTCATCTTATATTTTGGTCTAATAATAGCCTTTCTGTTAGACATTGCGTTCATTGCTATTGAAGGTCAGACTTATTATTAATAATAATTATTAACAATAATACTAATACTGCATAAGTCAGTCAAAAATATAATTATATAATTAAATGAATGAATAATTTAATTAAATCAGAAATTTCTTATATATTTACAGGCAATTCATTGTCGGGTTTCGTGTTTGGCAGGACTACCGATACATTAATCGTTTATTCAGTGTTTTATAGCATTGAAATTATTGTTTATTTTATGGGTTTGGTCTTAAGCCACAAATATATGTTAATTAAGTGCAACGCTTGACATGACTTTTATATCATACGTATTACGTATAAACACATATAACTACAACATATGCAATACATTTAACACAACATATCATTTAATTTATATTTAATATATTCAGTACTTCATTAAATTATAGAATTTATTTTTGTTTTATTTTTTCTCATTTGTTAATATAAAATATAGTTTTGAAATAAAAAAGTTATGCTTTAATAAAAATAATTATTAAAAAATTATTTTTATTGTGTAATATTTTCAATTTCGTGATAATGTAAACAACAAAAATAATTTCATTTAACAAATGCTTTGCAAATATTGCAAAATAGCAAACATGACATTCAATTTAAATGGTTTATAATAATAATATAATAAATTAATAAAACCTATTCATCACTTAAAAACTTTCTCTTTTTGTTTGTATTCATATAAGGTCTGAATATCCATTCAGAGTCGATAGCATTTGCAATATCTATAGTTCCCAATTTAATTTCATACAATTTCATCTCAAATCTGGGACCAACTTCTGCCAACTCTACCTTTCCGTCTACTTTTTTGTAGGTGTGGTGTCTGAATGATATATAGTCGTCTTGATTGGCAAATGTTATGACTCGTTTCGAGTCCTCTTTAGGAACAGGATATAAATATTTCAATATATTCATTACTCTTTGGCCTAATCGGGACTTCAAGTTATGAAAAATCAGATGTGGATAGGCTTCAGACATTGTACCGATATTTGGTATATCGTGTCTCATAACTGTATTACATAATTGAAAATAAGCTGTCGGTCCATATGGCAAGTGACATATGACCAGACCGTCGGGTTCGCCGCGGGTTTCGTGAACTGTTATAAAGTCGGTGACATCATTGGCCCGACACGACTCAATTAGTTGTTTTAGTTCATAATTTCCACGATTTAGCCGTTGAGAGTTCGGGAAAATTAGTTTTAATTCCTAATTTAATGATAATTTTAAGACATTTTAATCACCAAAAAATAAATTGTGACAAACCTTTGCAAACATTTTAAGTCGCGATGACGGGTCTCGTGATGTAGTTATCACTATCTTTGGGTCCTCAACACCAGCCCATCGATACTCATCGTCCTCATGACTGGTCACCAATTCTGACGCCTCGTCGTCCCACTCGAGTACAGATTGTAACTGAAGAGCGCCTTTCTTCAACTCATTTGGGATCTCCTTATTTTCTGTCATCAAATATCAATCATAATTCAAATCATTAATCTTTAAAATAATATCCTATGAGCTAACCCACCATCGAGTGACCTCTTGAGCTGTTCCTTGCGTTCAGTGATCACACGTTTCTGTTCTTCCAATGCTTTTCGGTATAAATACTCTCTTCGTATGCGTTGTTGTCTTCGCAACTAATCATTCAATTCAGACATTAATTTATATTAATATTTTTAATTACAAATTCATAAACAATTAATTAAATATGAAATAATAAATGTTACCATTTTTATCGACAACAATCAAAAATATATAAATCAATTGACAATTAATGTCAATAACAAAATAATTTGTTAAAAATAAAAACAAATTGTTTTGTAATCGATATGTTTTACAACAAAAAATTCAATGAAAACACATTTCAATTCACATTCAATGATAGCATTGAAAACAAACTTTAATTAAATGTGTTTTATTTGAAATGCTTTTGTTGTGTTAACACTCAATGATATACCAAATTTGGACACAAATTGTTGTGTGATTTTAGATTTGTTTATTTGAAAACAATAATAATAATAACAATTATTGTGATTAAAATAAAACAAAACAAATAATAATTAAAATTAATTTAATATATTTTTAATGCAAAAAACAAATGCATTTAAATGTAATGCACAGCAAAACGTGGTTTTGATTTGAATGACAATCAATAACGTAATGCAATTGTTTTCATATATTTGTCTGCGGTTTCTATTTATTCAGTTATTGTATGAAATTTTCAATTAAATTTAGTTAACAAACAAATTAATTAAATACAAACATCAAAAATATTGTCAATTAATAGACAATACTATATAATAGGATAAAATTGAATCATATGTTTGGGTGACGTTATTGACACACAAATGTATATTAATATGCATTGAAATTCTGTTTCTTTGAGAAGTTATTTGACAAATAGTTTTCATTGAATTAAACGGTATTTTTGTCATACATTTGAATACAGAATCTGAAACAAGTATTTTTTGAGACAGTTTTGCCAAAACAGTACTAATATCTTACCCATTGGTCATACATTGAGAATATCACATATTAAGTCAGTATAAAATACATTTATATTAATATTGTCGATACAATTATTGTCATTAAAAAATTATAACTGTTTCAATACTTGCATAGTTCAATACTATGCAAACAAACTAAGCAAATAAAACTTTATTGCCAATCAATTTAATAATTTTTAAAAACAAAAATTACAATAATTTAGCATGCATAGTTAAAAAATTTTATTATATCGTATATTGCAATTTGAAAACAGCCTTATATTATGAGTCATTTATAGCCAATGTTTGCATTTAAAAAAATAATAGTAATTAATATGATTAGGTTATACAATGCAGTACAATACAATACAATACAATACTTTATATACAGTATATATTGTACAAACCTATACTAAATTTATTAGGACAGTATATAACACACCTTTGATACTAACAATAATTAGTTAACAATGACATTATTACAAATGTTTTTTAATATTATGGGCAATACTACAAAATATCATACAATATACGGTAATATAATATATTATACGTTCTACACGTATGACTAATTGATTTTTATCACATTGTTGTACATTATTACATAAAAAAGTTTTCAATAAAACACAAATATAGTTGTATAACTATAGACCTGAATATATCTATGTATATGAAGCACAATATAATGATGATAATAGACTATATATTGCAATAAATCTTTTATAAAATATTGGCACTGAACACATACACACAGACAGACACACACACACACACACACACACACACACACACACACACACACACACACACACACACACACACACACACACACACACACACATATATATATATATATATATATATGAATTATTAAAATAGCATACATTTCATAAATATCCTATATATCTATAAAATGAAAATTATTATTAGTTTTTTTTAATAAATATAGCAATAATTTTTATGTCAACATATTATAACAAAAGAGTGCTTAATATTAGCAAAAAAATATTAAGTTTGCGGCAAATATTTTAAATAATTTTGTGCTAATAATAATCAATAGATTAAATATTTATATAGTGTTTACAACAAATATTTTGTACGGTTAGTCCAATAAAAATATGTAATAATAATAATAATAATAATAACTGTTTGGTTTGCATAATAAAAGGACAACCGATTAGATAAGGGTTTTGTCGTTCAGGTATTAATCACTAAGTAATATATCGCTTATAAAAATGACATAAATTAGTGATTCATTTAGTATTGAGAAAGTGTGTGGCATTTGACTGCAACTCTCTCTTATAGACATTGAATATGAAAAAAGAAATCAATTAATGGATAAAAAAAATGTGTTTTAAAAACAAATTATTATTTCAATTGATTACATGTTTTGTTTGTCTATGAATGCGATCTCTATCTGACTGACTGTATATACAGTGAATTTGTTAATCAATTTGAATGAATAGTGTTTTTATGCAATCAATCCATGGATGCGATGCAACGTTACGTACAAAAGGGTCGAAATTCAGGCAAAACAGGCAAACCTTTGGTAAGTGTATGTAATGTCTATGTGTTTGTAGTATTGTATTGAATGTTATAACTTATAAGCAATGAGTTTGTGCGGCAATCAGTGCCCAAACATATCGTACAATAAATAAGTGAAGCGATCGTTGCGTAGAATATCGTGTGATTGGCATTGACTCACAACTTGTAGTGTTGTTATGTGTTTGCCATACGTTGACTACAAAACTATACAACACTTACAACACATACACAACACTCAGTCTATGCCTTCAATGATATGTTTGGACACCAATTGATCCACTTATTGGTCACTTATCCGACACATTGTGTTGACCATCGATTGGCCACTACTTGGCTGTGCTTTTGTTAATATATTATATGATTTATTGTTGATTTCAATTTGATTTTATTGTTGTTTTGTGTTTTCCATTGAAATTCAAATCATTTTATTTATTAAATCAATTGATTGTCTGAATCGCCGCCAAAAACATGAAGATATCTCGGAGTCCGACCACAACATCACTCGATGAATACGAGCTGATGAGTGACGCCAAGTATCGGACTTATGTCCAACAAATGGATAGAGCACTCAAAGGCTTTGAGTATACATCCGAGTGGGCAGATCTGGTCAACGCTTTGGGAAAACTTAACAAAGTTTGTGACCACACAATAACTATCAAGTGATTTACCGACTTTAATGTATTGTTAATATCTTTCAGGTGCTCTCCAATAATGTCAAATACAATGTAATTCCCCGTCGGTTTACTGTAGGACAACGATTGGCCCAATGTATGCATCCGGCGTTGCCATCGGGTGTCCACTTAAAGGCATTGGAAACCTATGATTTCATATTTAAGTGCATTGGAACCGATCGACTCATACAAGAATTAAGTATTTATTCAAACGGTTTGTTTCCACTATTAAGTCATGCGGCCATTAATGTGAAGCCATCGCTTCTGGAGATATATGAGAAACATTTCATACCATTGGGAACGCGCCTTACGCCGGCTTTGGACGGCTTTCTCATAGCAATATTGCCCGGACTGGAGGAGAATGATTGCCACGAAAGGACAGACAAATTACTCGTCGAGGTTTGCAATGCAGTCTCACAAGAGTTCTTCTACGGCTCCCTCTGGAGATGTGTCTTAAATAACCCATCGGTTAGATTTCATGCCATTATGTTTATTACATCTCATTTTAATAAGAAACGAAGTCTTGAAGATCAGTTGTATATAATGGGTACATGTCTTCAAACAATGATCACTGGTATCTGTGCGGCACTACTCGATACCAGCAATGTATTGGTTCAGAGAGCTATACTTGACCTCTTGCTCTCGTGTTTTCCGATGCATAACAAACAGATTGCACGACAGGATTTGATAAGCATAACGACTGCTGCCATAACAGTGCTCTTAAGACGGGATGTATCATTAAATAGAAGATTCACCCAATGGTTAACAGCTGAGGACAGCTCTAATCCTAAATCAAGAAGAGAGGCCACGAAATTAGCCAAAGCTATCGGTTCTGATAAGTCGTATTTTGAGACATTTGCCAAAGAGCTTGTGTTAGACGCCTTCAAGATATGTCTAATTGTAAGTTATTTATTATTTAATGATAATTACTTTCTTTACTGTTTTTTTCACTTTACTATACTTTATATATTTATAAACATTAGTTGCAATGTAAAGTGTTTTTAGTGTTTATAATAATATTTTTGATATTTTCTCTAAATTTCGTGTAATGTTTTTGTTATTACTGATGTGTTGTACCCTTCTATACATTTATGTAATAATTAATGTGTTTTTGAACTTAGCTTTTGTGAAACAATAACAAAAACCAGAAATTCTTGAGTCATTGAAGCGAATAATTTGAATTAAAATAATTTTATTTTTTATTTACTTAAAGGATCCGTCAAATTTAATTCCGATACCCAATTCATGGTCATCTCTGGGCGATCTCTGGCCATATCGGCTACTTATATGTCTAATAGATCACCGAGAAATAAGTCATCCAATAATCGATAATTTATGTCTCGAAATATTACGGTAAGCATTAATAGTGTTATACAATTGATAATATTTGCTTTGTTATTGAAATATAAATATTGTTTAGCTATCAATGTTTTTATTGTACAATATTATAGCATATATTTATTATTCTATACAAATGCAAAACACATTATAGTAATGATTAAAATATAAGACTATAGTTATATACTAATGACTTATATATAAATATATAATTTATTTATATTTGTTTTTATATGCAGTGCACTATATCACGAATTTGGTTTTGTAGGCAATAGTCATAACAATAATAGTTATAACATTAATAATAACAATAATAAGACACTGAAAGCCGACTTAATACGAACGAGCAATTTGTTGTTTACAAATATCGGAATTAATTATTTATGGCATCACATAAGCCAACTGTTCTCCCATTCCTGTGAACATTATATACATTTCGATAGCCATAATAATAATAGATATGTTAAGAATGTTGGCTTTGAGTCGATAACCATTGTTGAGATGTGTACACTCGTTAACTTCGTTTTAGACAATGTATCGGTAGAAGCGACCAATTTTAATGAGAATACCAGTCAATCCTATTTAACACAATTCCTACTCCATGTCCTCAACTGTCTCATCACTCACTCATCAATTCTTCACAGTATAGACTTTGAACACTCGATTAAGTTATGTTCAAATATTATCAATAAAATTAAGCCCACAATCACTCAAACTCTTGAAAATCGTCGCAAAAGTGATACTAAAGACCTTAAAGCCGGTGGAAAAATACTTCAAAAAGTCGAGTCTGTTATTAGAGAAGAGGGTGAAGATAATGAAAGTCATCCGTTACCTGAAGGACTCATTGATGATGAATTGTTTCAAAAGTGTTTGATTAGTACATTACAGACATTCTTCGTTGAATTTGTTGAAAATCGTTTAGTAAAAGACAAAACTGGTTTAAATGAATGTTTTGCATCACTTCGTGTATCGTCAATAAACAGCGACCGAGAAGTTATCAATTTTGAGACACAAATCAGATCTATTGATATCAATGCTGATATGATTAATGTATATACAAATCTTTGCCAATTGTTGGTACAAATGTCAGCCATTCCTGCCCTATCCGACAAAAAGACAACAAAATTACAATTTTCAAGTTGTGATGAACTGCAACAATGGTTTCAACATTTACTTGTTTTGTCTATTTATCCCAAAGATTGTCTACAAGTTTGCTATACCTCCATATCATCTGTTTTAGACTTAATAACACTGACGAAAGCTCTACTTTTTGATTTACCAGTTAATCAAACAGCTGTTACAGCAAATGGATCACCAGTTTTTGACTTCAGCACAAATGATAATTCTAAAGATAATAATAAAGGCTTTCACTTTGATCCAATGATATCAGCAAATGAATTGGCATTTATTTTTCATCAGACATCATGGTTTACACAGGCGACTACCAAACTGTGGTCAAACTTTGAAGACAGTAAAGCACATCTTCATTTGGAAACAGCAACACTTCTGCAACAATTACATAATCTCGCTGTTGACTCATCTATTTGTGAATCAGTTATATGTACATCAATGATATCACCCGATGAAACAGTTGCCTATGAATCCAGAAAAAGATTTACTGTTTTATATAACATAACCCGAGACTTGAAGATGAAATCAATGCCGTCGGCGATGGCCAGAGAGTTTGATAGACCGCTGTTTTTTATGTTAGACAGTTTGTCTAATAAAGTGGACTCTCATAACGCTCAGGCTATTGATTGGCTAAATCAGTCTCTAAAGTGCGGAGATATCGCCAGAATTTTAGAGCCACTTTTGTTTATTATATTACATCCCGACACGAGTCGACTGTCTGTACAACACGCAAACATACACCAACCCGGTATCAGTTGTATTGCTGACACTAACTGTAAATCAGTCGATGAAATAGACAACGCATCTATTGCTAACTCGGAATCCAAGATATACGCCATTAGCAGTACCGGAGGCAATGTTATATATCACGTTAACTCCGACGGTCGTATGCGGTTTACTCCATCACCCGTTCCCTCTAATAAAGTACTGACTCTCACACAAACTGCCAATAATTCTAATTCACTTAACAAATGGATTACACAGAAAGTACATCTTTCACAATATGAAGTTCCTCCGAGTCATGAAAACAATATTATGGATAAATACATGTCAATCAATATGGTGTTGAATCCATTTGGATCAATGTCTTCATTAAATAGCGATGCTTTTGAAATATTTGATTCGAATTCTGTGCCATTTGCCAGATCTTTACCAAACCTATCAAATATTAGACGACTGGACACTAAATCTATAAAATCAGACAATTTTATGAAATCTCCGACACCATATTCAACGCCAGTTCCTTCTCGAACTACAACTACTTGTTCAACTCCAGTACCATTGAAGAAAATCATGGATGACTCTGAGCTTACCGACAATGAAATTGTTGTTTCAGTACTTGAAGAAGTGATTGATAAAGTTGTATATGATTTAGAAGATAGTTCCGAATCAGAAGATAGTCAAACAGCAATAACTAATTCCGAGACAATAAGTGTGGGTCCCAATAGTCGACCCGTTTCATTAAGCCAACTACACTCCCATATGCTACTCTACCAGCAGGTGTATGACTCCAAGCGTACACTTTATGCATTGACAACCCTTTGGAATATCATATTAGCTGAACCACAACGTGTACTCTTTGCGATGGCAACCACTAGTATTAGCAATCGATTAGGTTTGAGATCACAGGAATTGCAGGCACTCTTGTCTAGACATCGCAACTCTATATACGGCAAAGGATTTTATAGTGATTTAAGCTCGGAATCAATTACTTCATTTAGAAGCAGTTCTTTTCTCGAAGTGGTAGTATCCGCTTGTATGCAATACTTGCGCAGCTATTATCCAAGTTTACCACAAACCAGACTTAATGAGGAAGAGATTGCTGGCAACCAAAAGGTGCGAATTGTTTCGTGTGAAGTGTTGCGACTCATATTCAATCAGTTGTCGGTTGCGATTAAAGGAAAGCAGACATTCTCTACATATTTATATGATTTACTTATGAGGTGTAAAATTCAGAAAACTTTACTCCAATGTATTGTTTCAAGTGTTTACAACTTTATGGAAAAGAAAGAGAAAGAGCCGACAAATACTAATGACAGTGCTTTTGCCGACGCACTCATTGAGTTCAATGAATGTCACAATTCGACGAATGGCTTCCAAGAAGACCTTCAAAAGTCTTTGCTTAAACTTCTGGAGGAGTTAATGATTTTAGAGCACAAAGTATCACCCAATCTCTCTGATAAAGAGCAGCCGACACACAACAGAAAAGGGAGTGATTCAAGGGCTGCAAGAATTAGATTTCAACCACAAATGTCTTCTTTAAAATATTACCCGAATATGTTAATACCAGCGCAGTCTATGTTCTTGTCGGCCATTCAGACAGCATTACAACAGTCACACAAAGTTCACTTACATTCAAATTGGTTGGACTTAGTTGAGGCTACTCTTTCATATGCCGGACGATCACTATCACGACTCGTCGTTTGTGTTTTAACTCAATTGTGCCAAAATCTTGAGAGTACTTCCAATAAAATAACAATGAAGACAATGAAAGACGACAAAACAGAAATGTCATCTAATTATCTGATAGTTCTATTAAAAAGTTTGGCCACTCTCTGCCATTTTTGCTTACTCGACACTTCTGGTACTCCGAGTAGTCCAACACTTCAACCACAGACACAAGCAATTAACCCGAATTCGGCAACACTTATAACTTCGAGTTCTAATCCATTCTCAATGTTTACTAATTTCTTGCATGTATTCAGTGTTTCCGAGTCGAGTCAAGAATCTTCGACTTTAGGTCGCGACTCTAATAACGATCCTTTAATATCGACCCGAAAGACTGTATTGACTCATTTGCCAAGAGTTTTATCTGCTCTTCTTATGGTTTGGAAGCAAATAAAATGTACCGAAAAGGAAGAATTGGATAATGGATGGCAAATAATGGGCAGCAGTAGAGAAGTCAAACAAAACATATTAACATTTTTGTCGCCATTGTCTCTCATTCATGGCTCACATTTTATGACATCAGTAGCCATTGTTTGGTATGACATGAGAGATAACAACGGAATTAAAAATCGGAAACAATGGTCTCAAAGTTGTTCAACTGATCAGTTATTATTAGTTGAATTAGTGGCTGCTATTCGTGTGTTACCCATGGAATCGGTTCTGCAAACTATACGACAGGCCATCAAAGCGCCTCCAAATGCCAACAGTTCAAAGCACATGAAACGACCGCCTATTGAAGTATGTATGTTACAGTTCTTCTTGGCCTATATTAAAGCATTTCCCGGATCCCAACTTCTTGAGTGCTGGAAGTCTGTATTATCGCTACTCAAAGATGGTCTGCAAATCTCAACAATGGCACAACCATTAGTTCAGTTTCATTTGCTGGCTATTCTTCATGAGTTTGTTCAGGCGGCGCCACTTATTGAGGACCGCAAAGACCAAAAGGATTTACAAGATGTGGCACAGAAATTGGTGGACGCGTGTACTACAGTTGCCGGCGCCAGACTGGGACAGACTAAATGGTTGCGCAGAAATTTAGAAGTGATTCCCGGACCACAAGCTGATCAACAAGAAGATGATGAAAGCAATAATTTGGACAATACTTTCCATACAATTGATTCAATCAATGGAAACATTGATTACTCAAACATATCAGACGCTGACAACTCATTTCTCTCTAAGTTTAGTGTTCAGGCATTATGTGCTTTGGCTGAAGTGAGTTATAATTTGTGCTAATTTTAGCACAATATTGACTAATATTGATCTCTATATTAAATATTAATGTTTTGAATAGTTTGTAGCGCCAGTACTTGATGTGGTTTACGTGAGTGAAGAGAAAGAGAAAGTGGTTCCTTTGGTACAGAATATTATGTATTATATCGTTCCATATCTGAAGAATCGGACCAAACATAACGCCCCGAGTTTTAGAGCCTGTTCTCACTTACTATCAAACATATCGGGTTATCAGTACACCCGAAAAGCGTGGCGTAAGGACGCCTTTGAACTATTATTGGACCCAACTTTCTTTCAATTGGATTCAGAAAACTTTGGTTATTGGAAGACCATTATTGATCATTTGATGACTCACGACAAGAACACATTCAGAGAATTTTTGGCCCGAATGTCAGTCACACAATCTGGTGGTGCACTCAAAATGTTTAGCAATAAAGACCAAGAGATTGAACAAAGGGCTCATTTGGTCAAAAGGTTGGCATTGATTCTGTTCTGTAGTGAGAAAGACCAGTACCAGAAGTATATGTCGGAAATACAGGAGAAGCTGATTGAATCGCATCGTTTGAGTCAATCACCATTAGTTCAGGCACAGGTATTACTTTGCTTCAGAGTTATCATCCTAAGGATGTCCGCACACCACTTAACATCTTTATGGCCTTTCATCTACACTGAAATGGTTAGTTATTTTGAAATTACCGCTAATTATTAATCAATCGTTAATTAATTTCCTTAATATTTTTACTGTAGTTTCAAGTGTTTCTTCACATTGAAATGGAATTAATGTCAGACACACCTGAGTTTAAGTAAGTGTTGTTTTTAATGACATCTATTACTATATAATTAACACATTAATGACATTTCATTTTTGGGTTTAATGCTAAATCATTTGATGACTAATAATGAATGAAAATCTATATTTCTATTAATTGGGTTTATTTATTGTCTATCCTTTTCTAACACAATCTTTGGCTCTTTACTATTCATAGGAAGAACAATGGGTACGACTTTGAATAATAATTATTTATTTACTAATTTTAATTTATACATAATTTTATTTTATTTTTTAAATAGTGCACATATTCAACGTCTCTCTAATTTGGACTCGAGTTGGGTGACCAGTCAAAGCAATGGATTGGCCGCACATAATAATCCTCAATGGCTTCAACTATATTTGGCCGCTTGTAAGCTATTGGACATTGCAATTGCACTTCCAGCCGATTCTCTGCCACAGTTTCAGATGTATCGGTGGGCGTTTGTCTGCGGCAACAAAGAACCCAACACTATGTCTAATGGAGTTAATAGAAGTTCACTTCATCCGAATGGCAATCCTATAACAACTCCTTTTGAACCACATATTGTTCGCATTAATAATCTAATGCATACAAAGGTATAATAAATTTAGTAAAAATTTTAATAATTAAAATTTATTAATAAATTGTTTTGTTTTTCACACACAGAATCCAGAAGTGGAGACAATACCGTATAGAGCGCGGTGTCCGCTCATCACTAAGACATCAATTAAAAGTTTACAAGAATTACATCCATTTTTCCATACATTACTTAAATCAAGTTTGCAGACATCAACTCAAAGTCATCAATTGAATGATCCATTAATGACAAGCGTATCATTGGATGACGCGCTTGCATTCATCGACAAAATAGTGGAAATAGATTTTTTCGACTCAATTCCTAATTTATAAACCGATAGATAATCGGTTAACATATTTCATGAAGTGCCTCGAAGTATATGATTATCAGTTATAAATCATTGAATTATAAATTATTTAAGATATATATATATATATATAATATATGAATTGTTAAATATATTTAAAAAAAACTCGTATTTAATTTTTTGGAGAAACAATTTACTAAAACGTTGGGTATAATCGCAACAAAATCTGTTATTATTTTTAAGAACAGAGTTCTATATTATAAATATTTAATGAAAGATATATATAATTATATAATTAGAGCCTCTATTATTATAAATGAACAAACATTATATTTCTGTATTAATAATTTATTTATTTCATTATATAACAAATAATGTCTAATTTTAATCATTTAAAAAGAAAATGTTTTATCCCTACTATCCTGCTTTTAATTTTTTATTTTAATTAATGTTAGTTATTAATTATTAGGTTATTAATTAATTACAACAAATTATTATTGTCTTTAAAATGACATTTCATTGTGATATTACTTTATTTAATATTTTTAATTTGTTTTGGCCTCAAATTTAATTTATTGTAATTTATGTTTAAATTGAATAATAAAGCAATCATTTTTTAAGTTATCAAATAAAAAAATTTGAAAATATAATTTATATTTAGTAGAAAAATAAAATTATTTAACTATAGGTTTGAACTTATTTATTAAACAACAAAATAAATATAGAGTAAAATAATAACTAAAGTTGTTATAGATTTGTTGTTGTTGTTATTATCTTAAGTAAGTATATCATAGATAACTACTGTAATACACTAATTGTATAAATACAGTAGTATTGGTAATATAATAGAAAATTTTAATGCAACTATGGATAAAATGTTAAATCAGAGATATTAATGTTAAATGCATTTAATAATATGAAATGTAGTTCATTGTTAATATTAATCTATATTTCTTAGTTGTCATTATTGAGTGTAAAATATAGTTTATTATTAGTTCAAAAAAAAAAAAAATTGCAAAACTTTTTTAAAGCCGATTAGTGACAAACAAATCAAATCAGTTAATCCGTTAATCATATACAGAGTATTAACGAAATGTCATTTTAATTCATAGTAGTAGTGATTGTCTAATAATAATAATAACTGTTACACAAAAATTGTTTGGTTGACAAAAATTATGTAACATTTTTAAATTTTAAAAAAATTATTCTTAGCATTTCAAACATTCAAAAGTCTTAAAATTTATAAATATTGTATAATTATTGCTGTGATTTCAACTTTCAAAATATTTATTATATCCCATTTTTTTCTAGAAAATTAAATATAATAGTTATATACAGTATAATTAAAAAATTTAACGTTTGTTCTTAAAAAATATTTTTTTTAAAGTTATATTTTTTAAATACACTGAACAAAAAAATCTTTAAAAAATGTTTTCAAATTACTGATTAAAAAAATAATATTTGTATGAAATGAATGCAATAGAAATATATGTTTAAATATTTTAGACACATTTTAGCTGATGTTTTATTTATTTATTTATTTGTTTAAGTCATTTTGACATATAGTAAGTAATTGTGTTTGGCTTTTAAAATATCATTTGAATTGATTAATTCAGTACAATATATCACAATATAATATATAAATAAATAATAATAATTGTAATTATAATAAACATTTTTGCAAAGGCGTGGCGCGTCTATAGACTATAGACTATACTGTAGTATAGCGTATAGTAAAGTAAACTATAGTTTGTCTGCATTTGACTTGAAATGTATTATAAAATACAATACTTTACTTACCTTTCAATGACTTTGTTTGACTACTTATGGGACACAAAAAAGTGTTGAAACACAACACAAATAAAACTATTTTTGACACAAATTTTTTATATAAATAAATATATTTTTCTAATGAAGTGTTTTGTCTTATAAAGTAATGTAACAGAAGAAGACAGAGATGGACAACAAAATAGGTGAATATCAGTCAAATCTGGAGGATATCCTGACGTGGATGTTGGGCGCCGAAGAACAGCTCAACAATTGGGACACAATTGCCGACAAAGATGTAGAAACTGTGAAACAACTGTTTCACGCAAACCAACTCTTTATGATTGAGTTAAGTCATTACCAACAGAAGATTGAACACATGTTTACTGAAGGACAACAACTCATCCGTTCAGATGTTTGCCATACAGACGAAAGGGATGAGATATCATTGCAGATGGAGTTGTTGAGCGCCCGTTGGGATCAATTGAGATTTAAGGCGATGGACTCACAGCAACAGCTAAACGACTCTCTTATGGAACTACAGAAGAAACAGTTGGACTCATTGCGCGAATGGCTGACCACCGCTGAAGTCAAGATTTGTGATTTTTCTAACATCGGTTCCAGTCTTTCGGCAGTCAAAGAACAGGTAAAACAACACAAACTTCTTCAGAAACAACTAGAAGAACAACAAGAAGTGGTTAATTCTGTGTCAAATATGGTTGTGATTAGTGATGAAAACGGCGAAAATGACTTTGCCTTCTTAGAGGATCAATTGGAAGCGTTGGCCGAGCGGTGGCGTCATGTCTGCCGCTTTGTTGAGGACACCGGCAGTAATCTGCAAACTATTTATAATTCATGGAAAATATTGAGTGAAGAAGAGAAAAAATTTAGCAAATGGTTAACAAAATTAGACCGAAGACTCACCGAAATGGAAGACGCGGCCAATGAAACGCCTCCGGGATCTAAGTTTGTGTTGGATTTAGTGAAGCGATTGCAGAAAATTGAGAATGAGATGGAATTACAGCAAACAAATTCATCAAATCTTGCAGATCAGGCACAGATACTTCTCGCAAAGATTAGCCGCGGAAGTGATGCCGCCATTGAAATCACCCGTAATCTGGAGGCACTAACCAAACATTGGGATGCAATTCTTCAACGAATGGAACAGTTGGGCGAAGCACTTAATACATTAAGTCAACCGCAAAGTCGTTCATCTGTTTCATCACAAAGTTCTTCACCTGAAAAGAAAGAACGTTCGTCTTCTGAGTCATCATCTAATCCGCCGACGCCAACGGCGACCGCCAAAAAGCGTAGACTTGATTCGTGGCGTATTCAAGAATGGCAAAGACAATTGGATACACTTTCTTCTTGGCTCGAAAGGGTTGAGGAAGCACTTGGCATTGATACCGATGAGGACGAAGGATCACTTTTATGGGAATCATTAGCTATTGAAGAACAACAGGTTTTACTGGAGGACACAGAAGCAGATGTGGAGTTAAGAAAAACAGAATTTGAACAATTGATAGCACAGGGAAAACAAATTGTCGAAGACTTAACATCAAGTATACAAATATTATTATCCATAATATTATAATTTTCTTTTATTATACTTTAAAACTCTAATTCTTAATATTATTTAGTCGGTGAAGATTCACAAACAATTGAAGAAGTGGTTCAAACAATTCTCGATCGTTGGATTGAAGTGAACCAAACAATGGATGAAAGACAGAAACGTGTCAATAGTCAGTTGGAAGTGAATCGGATACACAACGAAACGGATGCCATGAATCGAGTTCTGGAGACTCACAACAAATGGTTACAATCAACGGAAACTTCTATTAATAATTCTGGAGAATTGCCAAAACTTGTGGATCAATGCAAAGTATGTAAATATTTTTGTTAAACACTTTATAGCAATTTTGGATTAAATATACTATTATTGGTTTATTAATCTATTGTGTCCTTCAGTTGCGTCTTAAGTCGATGCAGACGCAGAAGGAAAAGGTCCAAAAAATTACTGATGATATGCACCGTCTGTGCTCTGATTTACCTACCGGTACCAGTGATTCATACATTAATGACATCAAAAAGTTTATTTCCCATTGGGACGAAACCAACAAAAAGATAATGTCTTTTAATGATCGCCTCAACAGTGTCTCATCACCAGAAAGTGCTAGTGATTCAGTGAAAACGCCAACATTTAAAACAATTGTCAAAAAAGATGAATCTCCTTCTGCTTCTTCATCATCATCACTAATAATTCAACTTTTGAATAACACCCACCAGTTGTCTCAATGTCTTGACAAAGCAAACATATCAATTGATTCTGAATTTATGGATTCAGTTAGTGATATCAATGCACTCGAAAAAGAGTTGAAAAAGTTTGAAGAAATGATTAAAACTGTTTGTTCTGAGGAAACAAATCTAAAACAAATAAATAAAAGTGCAAAAGAGTTACTCGAGTTGAATACAGAATCAAAAGTATCAAAGAAATTGTTGTCCAAAACCGTGGATGAGTTAAATGTCAAATGGGATTCAGTTAATAGTAAAATCAAAGAAAGAATTGAATTAATTCAAAAGTCATTGCAAACCATTAATTTGTTGGAAGAGGAGATCGTGAGTCTTGACAAATGGATGGACGAAGTGGATGTATTTCTTAATGAAGACATTGCCATCGGTGATATGGAAACACTGGAACAACAATTGGAACAATGCAATAAACTTCAAAAAGATATTAAATTAACGATACAGTCGTCTATAGATAATGTCAACAAAAATGCTGTAGAAATTGCAAAGAATTTTAATTATAAAAATGTTTCCAAATTTAAAGAAATTAACGACAAATGGGAAAAATTGAAGAATGCGACCATCGATAAGAATATGAAGTTAAAGATAGTTTTGCAAAACAGTAATGCCATCCATGAGATGCTGACTCAATCCGAAAACTATATAATTTCATCTAAAAATGACATCGAAAGTGGTATTTGTGTGACTGGAACTGACTTCCAAAACAATCAAAAGAAACTTAAATTAATGTTAGAGACAGTATTGTCGAAAAAACGCGAAATAATTGGTATTAAAGAAAAATTGGATGAAATTACTTTAAATCAATTAACCACTGGATCTCTTGAGGAGCTTAAACAACGTTATAATTTAGTTCAAAATAATTTAGATAARTATGAAAAAATATTAACCGAAGCGATCGGTGAACTTAAGAAAAGTCAGGCTTTGAGCGGTGAAATGAAAAGATTGTTAATGAATGAAAATGATTGGTTGGATAAATTGGCCAAAAAATTGAAACGATCGCCACAATTGGCGGCAGACGCTGAAGAAATTTCTGAATGTCTTGATGTAAGTTAATTGTTATAATTATTGTTAATTTTATTATAAACAATCATTTTAATGGAAAATATGTTTAGGATTTGGAAAACTATTTGCGAAACAAACCAAACGAAAGAATAGAAAGAATCCAAGAAATAAATAAAGTGTTAATTGAAAGACAGATGTCGTCCGATCAGTCGATGAAAGACTTGCAGACAGTGATTGACAGATGGGATAAATTAAGTCGAGAGGCGAGAGAGCGACAAAAAGAATTGGAAACAACTCAAAGTGAGTCCCAACAGTGCGAAAGACAACTTCTATCTGTTTTGCGATGGATTCAGAGTGTCGAGTGTGAGCTCAAGACACGACTTGACAACGAAGTGCTGGCCGAAGACTTACCGGAACAGGTGGACAAAATGGACAAAGAATTTGAGACATACGCCAACACATTGATATCACTTAAGAGTTATACCGATACATATCGTCTTCAGGACAGAAATGAGGCCGCGATTCGACTCGAAGAACAAACAGAACTCATTCAGGTTTGTATAATTGTTATATGTATAGGATATATAATATTTGCATATTTTAATGTTATTTCTTATATAAAACTTTATTGAATTTTTTCTGAAACATTATAAAACCAATTTCTTCTTCTCTATATTATTAGAAACGTTATGACGATTTGCTAAATAACTTCAAGCAATATAAGAGCTCCGGTTCTTCTCAATCTAAGTCCATAAAAGTAACGGTCAGTCAATTTTTGTCACTTATTTTCAATTTTATCGTCTAATAGATAGCAAAAAAAAGATTCCTAAAATTGAATCAATATTTTGCAATTGAAATGATTTTATGTTATCAAATGGTTTTTATATGTGGTTTTGTAAGGTTTAGAAATAAGTAAATGTAAAACAGATAAAAGTGCGACAATCAGCACATGAAATCAATACATTAGTTATCAATAAATATTCGGAAAAATGACTTTTTTAACGACTTTTCCGAAACTATTTGAAATTTTTTTGTCAAAAAAATAAAAAAGTAATTTAATACAGTTTCTATCAGTCAATCAATGCAAATATATTTGATGAAAATATGGTACAAAACATATGAAATACAGTATATATTTACTGTATATTAGATTTCATTGAATTTTTCAAAAATAGTTTTTGTCTGATTGTGTTTTTTTTAAATTGTACTAAAAAATGAATGAACATTTTGTGGTGATGTCAGTGAGTAATGAACTTTTTTTATATATCACTACTTCACTTATCTTAATTTACTTTAATGGTATCACACATTTAAGCCGAAAGCCAAAAAAAATAATGGCGTAAAATAATCATTTATAAGATGCCTTCAATTTGATGTTCATTTTTTTTATATTTTATTTGTTTTACTACAAAATACAATTTCTATGTTTTGAGCAAATTTGCTATTTTTATTTTTTGGTCATTTTATTTTACAAACATAAAACTTGTAAATGCTTAACATATAATGTAATGCAAATAATGATTTGTTAAATCATTTGCCAACAAATTTGCTACTTTTTATACTATTGAACATCTTATTTAACATTTTTATTATATACACATTTAGTCTTTTATTTACATGAATTTTATGGTACGCTTAATACCATTGAATATAAGACTTTTTACCATTGATTTGCTTATACAGTATAAGAAAAGATTGACTCTTTAATCTTTAATTGCAGTTAAGGTATAAATATTATAGCATTTTATTATATAATAAGCCATATTATTATCTGTTAAAGAATATATACGCTATGCTATATTTATGCATATACTTTGAGCACATATACTGTAGCGCATATATCTACCAGTGCTGGGGATTACAGAGTGTAAAGACCTATTGTAGTGTTCAGTGAATGTATTATTCTTGTTATATGACTATAGCAGTGGTAGTAATCTAACCGATCGATCAATTCTTGAGGGTAGTGGTGCTCACATCGCATGCTCTATAAATCACTCGGAGTTTTGTTGTGAATCAAAAAACTGATTATAAGAGCCAATGTCTGGTCTCACCACTCAAAGAATAATGCAATTCTTAAGACATACAATCACTGATTCAAACCAATTTAATAATGTTTTTTGATGATAATGTTGTTTTTAGTCAATAAATGTGCAAATTTTACAATTTTGTTATATTTAGTGTTTGTTGATTTATAAATTTAGTGTATATTTATATAATAGTGTTAATTATTAATCATTGTTTGTTTAATATTTATAACTTTGTAATAATTTAATTATTTTATACTTGAATTTCTCTACATTTTACACATTTATTGAAATATTTTTAATAAATTATTAAGTAATTTATATATTAAATAATCTGAAGACTCAGGAAAATTTACTGCCGGTTCCCGATGAGAGCGATAAAGTTGATGACAAACAACTAAGTGTGTCTTCAGTGAAGGATATTCAAGCAAAATCTGACGAAGAAGTTGATCAAAAAGTATCAGAATTATTGACAAAATCAGGTGATTTGAGTAATTCAGATAAAAATTCTGAAGAAAATAAAGAAGAAGAAGAAACCGAAGATAATAAAGAAGTAAACGAAGAAGACATGAGTAACCGATGGAACAGAAGTAGAACAGAAATTAGTGTCGAAGAATGTAATCAATTGTTACTATCTTTACGAGAACTGATCGAATGGATCATTAAGAAAGAAACCGAATTATCATTACAACCGGCTATTGGAGGAGATTTGGCTGTTATTTTAAGACAACAGGACGAGAATCGTACACTTAAAAGACAGTTGGATGACAAACGACCCATTATTGAGAGCAGTCTTCTGGCCGGAAGAAATTTTGTGGCCAAAGAGGATATCGGACATCACGAAAGCAGCGATTCTGAGGGTATGTTTTGATTTATAATTATTTTTATTTAAAAAAAATTTGAGAAACGCCAGAAACTATTGTTGATTGAAATTGATATCTTTAATGACATTGAATTTGACAGATAATGTATTGAAAACATTTACTAGTGTTGATGAAAATTGATAGTATTTTTTAAAAGGCGTGCAAATATTTGTAAGCAATTTGTCATATTGTTAGCAATTGTTGGCATAATTGCGTTACACATAAAAAAATCTTATATTAAAGCATTCAGAAAAAAGATTTTACGCTTTAAATTGAATTACAGTTTAATTGGCTTTAAGTTATTGCATAAATTGATTGTATGAATGTATTATTAGATTGAAGTGTAAAATTTGAAAATTTATATTAAACTTTGAGTGCATTCAAGTGATAAATGATTGAATCATTGAATCATTAGTCCTGACAAAAGTAACTTTAGTTTTGCATTAAGTTTATTAGCGGATCCATTGAAAGGCATTGGGATTGGGGACTGAAATTGTGTTGAATGCGAATCAAAGGGCAAATACAAAACATAACAGTAATGTCTATTAAGCGACAAATGCCAGTCATTATGAATCTTAATGTTCACTACATATTAGCGCTGAGCTCTTCATTTGTTAAACTGACGACTTATTTATTGTCTATTTTTTCTTGCAGTCAGAGATTACGATGGGGACAGTCGTGCGCATACATATCGTGTCGGCGATGGTATTGAACTGACCCGAAGTATCCGTCGGGAAGTTAGCAAACTGTCTGATAAGTGGAATGAGTTATTGCAACAGACAGAGCAAAGACTTAAACGATTAGATGATGTTCAGAGGGTCTGTATTCTTATAATATTCGCATACATGTGCTCTGACAGCCTATCACTTGTCACATAACAAAACCTCCGATCCATTCAATACACATTCAATACTTTTATTTAATATAATAATTCCTATCTATTCTTATACATATATAAAACATAAGGCAATCAATGTTACGCCATAAGCATTGTTCGCCTATAATATCTATATCTGATTAATGTATTGATAGGATTTTAATGGTATTAACTTTTGTGTCACACATTTGCTATCCATTGCAGAGAATGCACGGCTTGCAGAAGGGTATGGAAGACCTGAGCGCTAAATTGCATGCATTAGAAACACATAAAACCAAATGGCCTATCATTACGGACATCCCTTTGGAACAATTGCCGAATCATCTGATCCAACTCAATGTATGTATTAGGCTATCATTTTTTCAATGTTTACTTTAGACTTASAAATTGACATCAAATATATATACTGGTATTATAAGAAATTAGTTATTTTTTTATTGTAGTCAAACRCTATTATTACCTCAAATATATTAATTTGTAAAAACTGCTTGAATAATATACAATATATTATGGTATATATACATATAATAAGTATACAATTATCACAAATTCGTAAATGATATTAAATTTACCGTAACWTTATATTGATTGATATCTACAGTATATAAAATTTCAATTACATTCAGTTTCAGTGCAATAGAATTATAAAAAAGTGTAAAAAATCATAACCGAAGTTTCAATAMTTTAAATACAGTGATATACAGTAATCTTATATTATTTGTTTTATAAATAATGCACATATTTTTCATAGATTTTATTTTATATAATAAGTAGGCATTGCGTTTAATTAGATTAAACAATTTACAAAAAAATATATTAATTACTAAAAAACTTAAATTATCAAAATARTTATTTWTTTAATAATTACTGTATTTATTATATAATAATTATTATTATAAATTATAACATGATTTAAACAGTATTTTGTAAGATATTATTAAATTATCTTATTAATTAAAATTATCTTAATGTGTTTTTACAACATAATTTCATATATTATTTAAAATAAACTATTTTACTGTATGAGAACTACTATGAATATTAATTATAAAATTTGTGATATTAAGAGTCTAAATAAATTTTTAATAGCAAAATTATAAAATACTTTCTGTATATTATAAAAATATTTGCCTGCTCAAAATCTCAACTGACAATAAAAATTATTAATCATTTAGTTTAATCATTGAAATAATTATTTGTAATTAATTAAAAACGTAATCAAGTTTTCCGGTCATGTTTTGTGATCAAAATAAATATCACAAAAAAATTATACAAAAAACACAATGACTTTGTTTATGAGTTTTACCAGTGAATGAGATTTAGTGAAAACCATAGAGAATTTATTATGTGATTTATTAACTATTGTATAATATTGTACTGTATATATAAAAACATTTGTGAATATTATTGTATATTTGTATTTAGTTTTTATACACTATATTCTGTAGATATTCATACTTATGTTAAGAGAGTTGTGGATAAAATAATAAATACTTTTATATATAGTTGTGATGGTAATTGTGATTTGTAATTGATATAATTAAAAATATTATTTATTTTAAGCTACATTTGCTTACCGTATAATTTGAATTTAATATCAAATCAAATTACAAAGTTTGCAAATGTAAATTATATGTAAATTATATTGTTTATAAACATTTCTAATTTCATATTTTAATTGATATAAAATTAATTWAATTAAATTGTTAGGAAACTATATATAGATATTAGTTTTTATAAGCTATATTTTAAATTTATTAATTATTTAAATTTATTTAAAGTAGAGGGTGGATATAAATAATTTAGTTATTTCTGTGAATCGAAAATTTTTTAATAGATTATAAAATATATTTATTAAAACTACTTATAACTTACTTAATAATTGATATATTTTGTTGAAATTGATGGGACAGTCATTCCATGAGAGAGTATCACAAATTCTGGTGCAAACAGAACAAGTGAACGAATCGTCCGCACGGATAACGGGCCTCAATGTACTCCTATCCCACTCTAATCTCAATTATTTGGAGGAACTCAACACTCGATCACGTTTACTACAATTGGCTGCCGATGAAAGACATAAAGCCATTGAACAGGCTATTAGAGATCATGGATCAGCTCAGCAACAATTCCTAAATGCAGCGGTCGATCATCCCTGGGAACGGGCTGTGGCCGCCAATAAAGTGCCTTATTATATAAAGTAAGTCAATTTAAATTAGAAACTCTTGTTATGTCAACAAATCATTTATTATGTCTAAACAACTGTATCTATCTTTACAGTCACGCAACTGAAACCACTCATTGGGTAAGTTTCAAGTTTTTTATTTGAGTGCATTATTAAGTTTATGAATTTTAAATTGAATATTGAATGTGATGTGAATATGTTATTCAAATATAGGAATCACCAAAATATACAGAAATTTTAAACTCATTGAGTGAATTCAATGAAGTGCGGTATAGCGCCTACAGGACAGCCATGAAGTTGCGTACTGTTCAGCGCCGGTTGTGTCTGGATTTGGTGCCATTGGAAAGTCTTATATTGGCTTTCGATGAGTTCGGTCTAAGGGCACAAAACGATAAACTAATCACTGTCTCTGAAATGATCAGTTGTTTGCAGAACGTGTACGAGGGTATAGCCGTCGAGCACTCGACTCTCGTTAATGTTCCCCTTTGTATTGATTTATGTCTTAATTGGTTACTCAATCTCTATGACACGTAAGACTATATTTTGTGTTTTGTTTATAGTATAATATTTAACATTTAATAACATTATTTTTCACACCAAAAAAATCCTAACTCCAGACAACCATTTGTTATAAATGTTAGCGTAATATCAATAATTGTTTTTATATGATTTGCACACTAATAGTACTACTCGTACGGGACATATAAGGATCCTTTCATTCAAAGTTGGTTTATCCATACTTTCCAATGCATCGATTGAAGACAAATACAAATGTAAGTTAACAAAGATAACAAACTCTCTCATGAATATAGTATTAGTGATAAATAAACAAACAGACAGACAGACAGCAAACTTTAGATTAAACAATATTTTATGATTTGTTTAATTTTTTTTCTTATAACAGATTTGTTTCGTTTGATTGCAAACACTAACGGCACTGTAAATGACAGACAATTAGGCCTTTTATTACACGATTGCATACAAATTCCGAGACTTTTAGGTGAAATCGCAGCCTTTGGCGGCAGTAATATAGAGCCGTCCGTCAGATCATGTTTTCTTAGGGCTAATAATAAAAACGAGATAACGGCCCCAGACTTTCTTGATTGGCTACAACAGGAACCGCAATCTATCGTTTGGTTGCCTGTATTGCACCGATTGTCCGCATCGGAAACAGCCAAACATAAAGCCAAATGTAATATCTGTAGACAATATCCGATTGTTGGTTTCAGATATCGGTGTTTGAAATGTTTTAACTTTGATTTGTGCCAAAACTGTTTCTTTTCCGGCCGTCGCGCTAAACATCATAAAATCACGTATGCATTGATCTGTTTATTTGTTTAACTATTTAATTGTCATATTATTTAATATATTATATAATTAGACATCCGATGCAAGAGTACTGTGTTGTCATCCATTCAGGCGAAGACGTCCGAGACTTCACTCGCATTATTCGCAATAAATTTAAATCAAAGCGTTTTTTCAAACGCCATCCACGAGTCGGTTATCTTCCCGTTCAGACAGTATTAGAAGGCGATGACTTGGAAAGTCCGGCGCCATCTCCTTCACATACATTACATCACTCCACTCAAGACATGCATTCACGTCTTGAACTCTATGCAAATCGATTGGCAGAAGTAGAACTCAGAGGAAGAAATAGCGTTACTCCAGATGAGTCGTTAGTATTGATTGTTATTTTATTACGAAGTTATTTTTGATTGCCTTTTATTTTATGATTTTTTGTTTATCTCAACAGTGAAGATGAGCATCAATTGATTGCTCAATACTGCCAGACATTGGGCAACGATTATGGATATACAACATATGCACCACAAAGTCCCGCACAAGTAATGGCAACCATTGAAGCCGAACAAAGAGATGAATTGGAGTCAATCATTCATGAATTAGAAGAAGAGAATCGGTATTTTATTAATCATTTTTAAAATTCAATTATAGTATTATACATGAAATTTATTTTTTAATAGTATTTTACAAGAAGAATATGAAAAACTAAGAATAGAGAAAACAAGCAATAGATCACTAAATTATTCAAATAATTATTTGAATCATAAAATTGGATCTAATATGTTGAGTGATTCAGAAGCTGACACCACTTCMATATCGACACCTAATAGAGAGGATGCGATGTTAGCCGAAGCGAAAATGTTGCGCCAACACAAGGGACGACTAGAGTCTCGGATGCAGATTCTTGAAGACCATAATCGACAACTTGAGACTCAATTGCAGCGATTGAGACAACTTCTTGAAGCAGACCCCGAACCGACTCAAATTTCATTACTTCATCAGAACACGAGCTCATCATTGCCTCGAACGTCAAGTGGACCACAGCATCTAAGTCTTCATAATAATAACATATCATCTCTATCTCCCAGACCACGACATCACCACATGAACGGAGCTGATAATCAAGGTTTGGCTTCAATTGGTCATTCATAGAGAACCATATATTGTTAATATTTTGATTGTCGTCATCAATGACAGGACCATCAGCTGTCAATAATGCACATCAGGTCAACAATTTGCTGCAAACGGCCGGTAATTTAGGAAAAGCTGTCGGAGTATTAGTTCACGTCATGACTGATGATGAGGCGGGAAGTGATAATGAAATCAATGTTAATAATGGCGTTAACTCTAAACATAAATAATTATACATTTCTATTGATTTTTATTAATATAATTTATACTTTATATATATAAGACATGGGATATACTGTTAAATTGCTGTATGAAATACTGATAAATTAATTATTCAAATTAAAAATTATGGTAATAGTTTAAAAGCAATAGTATTAATTGCCTTTTATTTAATTATTATGTTATTTATTGTAAATATTATCAAATTTAAGAGTTTAGATGTGATTTTAATAATCACTTGTTTTTTTACATTATACATTGGATTATGAATTTTTAAAATATATAATTAAATTATTATGATTATAGTTATGTTTATATTTATAAATTAAATTATAGCTCAAAATCATTTAACTGTCAATAATAATAAATAAGTACAATAACAATAAAATCATTTTATATAACTTAAGTAATCATGTTTTTTTTATTATTATTTTCTTGTAATCAATACAAATCAATATATTTGGCAATAAATATGTTGCATATCATAGAATATTCTTGTAGTTTCACAGAATATATATATACAACTTATTTGCATTAGTTTTAAATTATTCATTCATATTATTTAAAATGCAAATTCACTCTACATTTTGTGTTTGTCTGGTGTCTGACGTAAGTCGAGAAAACATAAATTGTAACAAAAAATGCACCAAATATTTACTCATTGATTCAATTGTTAAAAAATAATCTTTTTTATACGATTGAGTGTGAATGCATTATTGTTTAAGTATAGGAAATAATTTAATGAATAATTAATTGATTGCTTAAGATTAAGGACTAGACTGTGTTTGGGCTCATATATTATCAATTGCCAGAACACTGGCACTATCTTATAACCCTATCAACCATATATATAATTATATATATATATATAGAAAGAGAGAGAGAGAGAGAGAKAGAGAGAGAGAGAGAGAGAGAGAGAGAGAGAGAGAGAGAGAGAGAGAGAGAGACTCAATAGCACTTAATAGGAATCGGTGATAGGCTRCTGAGCCATACCAGAGCTGGCGCTCTAAGACACGGTACGGGAAAGGCAGACATCGTTATGGAGCAGCTCTGACTTACAACACACACGGCTCAGCCTTAGGTATCCATCACATCAATTGCTTTAGTTCTGGTTTATCATTCAATATGATTGTATACAATACGAGTTGTTTTCAATGCTATCTRTGCTTTCATATTATATAATACTAAATAAGATTATTTTGTGTCAAATGTTTTGGATCGTTAGCTTTGATGTATACATTGATTACTTGATGGGAGAGACTCATAGAATTGTTGTTAATAATTCATAATAATAATTAATATAATGATAGTTCATCAATGTTTTCCTATAATTATCATATATATTGTCATCATTTGGTGCTCAACTATAGTCACGATGACTGTCGCCAAACAGGGTAATTACCATCAATTTTGTTAATTTAATTTAAATTTAATTTTATCCAACATCACTAATTGAATTTATATAAAAAAATCTTAAGCTAAATGTTTTTTTTTGTTAACACACATTAATTATATATTCAATATATATAACGAATATTCTGTTTGATAGGTAAGAATATTCTTATACAGTATATACACTATATTAATATAAATACATTAGTTGTATATAATACTGTATTTTGTTTTGAATTAGAATTTTCAATTAAAATTATAATTAAAGTTTATATACAGTATCAACATTATTATGATTGCAATCATTAGCTGATTGATCAAAATAATACTACATTTGTGATCACAATTACAATAACCAAACTTAGTTGATTTAGTGTAATCAAAACATTGTTAAAAATTAAAATTCAAGTTAACATTTAAAATATGTTAACATTAAAAAATATGATTGAATGATTTATTCAAAATAAAATCATATTATATGACACATCCATTTAATGCAATTGACATTTTTTGCAATTGACAATACCATTTGATTTGGTAACTGTGCAGTCATATAGCTCTTATACAATATAAGTGTTTGTATGTATTTATGTATGTATGTATGTGTCTGTATTTGTGTGTCTATATGTATGTATACAATATATATGTATATTGTATGGTATGGTATGGTATGTGTTAGTATGTGTTAGTATGTGTTAGTATATGTTTGTATGTAAGCAATACAACAGACACTTCGCGGCTACCATTGGTTAATGAAATACTGGTTTGCGATCGACTATAATATCTATGAGACTCTCTGATTGTCAGCAATGATAGCATCAAATTGATTGCAAAATACAATTGAGATTTGTGTGACACCCGTTGTGATCAGTAATTATAAAGAGCATCACATTTGACTGATTAAATCATTTAAACACATTTAAGTACTACTTAAGACTAATTTCTTTTATGGATAATTATATACATATATCTTACATACATATATATTGTATATATCTAAATAGTATAGTCATATTGTTTTTATTGTTAAATATTAAGTAAGAAAACTTATGACATATCAAATTATAAGACAAATTAGTAGAAAATATAAGATAGTAGTCTATCATTTATTTTAATGTCAAAAATAGCAACAAAAATATTATACAAATTAAGAAATCAATGTTTCGAGTCGTTTAGAGTTAATATTTTTAAATAAATGATATGTTCACCAATTTTAATGCTATGCTCTAAACTTATTATATATGTATATATATTTTTAAAAACACAAAATATTTTATGATCAATAAAACTTAATGATATTCTTCAACAATCTAATGATCATTTTGTTTCTCAAAAAACTTTGAGCCAAAATCTATTAAATTTCAAGCCATATTCACATCCCCGACTCTCTCTCTCTCTCTCTCTCTCTCTCTCTTATCTATCTATCTATCTMTCTATCTCTCTATCTATCTATCAATACATATACTATACAGCTCTCGATACATACATTTGTTCATTGGAGCAAAAATTTGAGGATTATTTGCTGTATAAGTATCACAATTGCTTGTCTCATGAAATTGAAATGCAAAGTTTGTGTGTGCAGTCAAAGTGCAAACATTATGAATGACTAGAAAATTGCAATTCAAAACTTAAAGTTCATTATATTCAATGAGAGAGAGAGAGAGAGAGAGAGAGAGACGTCTTTTTTGAAGCAGAATATTCTGTGTGACATAAGATAGACTTAATATTCATGAAATGTGTTATTCAATGCAGAATGTGATCGTATGTTCATCAGTAATCCGGATGGCCTTAAAAACGGCACCTTTAGGTCACCCCATATAGTGAACGAAGCGCGACATTCACAGCAATGCATTTACACATTCATTGCCTCTGAAAATGAAAGAGTTGTCATATCGTTCTCGTTGTTTGACTTAAGAGGAAGTACTCCAGAGTAAGCCATTTGTTCCATACGTTTACTATTTTTAATGCATTATTATATTATTATTCAAACAGTCACTCGTTTTCCGTTCATATAATCAATATTTGAATATAACACTAATATAAGACTATTATAACTGTATATTAAGATTTTATTTATAAATCTGTTTGCCTTATAAACAGCTGTAGCGGAGAGTATGTCGACTTATACACAGAACTGGAAGAGCCGGCACAGGATCTCATCTCAACGCCATTTGGAGGCCGTTATTGTGGACGAACTCTTCCAAGAAAGAGGATATCACTGTATCAGACACTAGTACTTGGATTTTATTCCGATCAAAAACAAGTCGACGATAAAGTATTTGAAGGCTATTATGAATTCATCGACGCCAGTGAGTAGTCGTTTAACTCCCATTCCTCCCTGTCCTCCGTGTCCTCCCATTTCTCTTTTCAATTCACTTATCCTTTTTATTCTTTATATTTAGTATATATTCTCTATTTTCTATTCTCTACTGTATTCACAGTTATTTTCTACTATTTTTGTCATTACTTGTGAATAGCAAACCAGGGATTTAAACATCAACCGACTCTTCTTTCTCTAAATACAAACACTTTAAGAGTCACTCCATTTGTTTGTTAGTCAGTAATAATATTTTTGCTGTTTTATATTCACAACTATTTTTATACATTTATATTAGTTATTTACAGTACAGTACAGTATATGTATATCATTACAAAAACAACAAATTTAATAATACTAATGCTTTCTGGGCTTAACATTAAATGACATGAAGTAATCTAAGTATATATTTTGTTACTAACTATACATATATATTCATTTGCATAAGCATTTGAATAAGGCTTATATTAGAGTATATTTATAATAAAACGGTTAGTTTTCTTTCGACAAGTGCTTAGATTTGTTAAATGCTCAGGGTGCATTTTTGATTGACAATTATGCAAAAATTGTGGGGTAATTAACCATTTATATATTGAAAACGTTATGTGTATGACATACACACACTTAACCTTACCATCAGATCATTTATCTCTTTGAAACATCAATTTTATCTATTGTTTTATTTTGCTGCCAGTGTTATCAAAATTGTTATATACAGCACTTATATGGGATATATACTATATATCATTGGCTTAGTTTTGAAATTGTTAAAAGCTATACAAAAATATATCGCTATTTTTTGTTGTTGTCTTATAACGTTATTTTATAATTTTTTATTGTATTATTATTCCTATGCTCTTAATATATAGCCTGATATACAGTATATTGTATATCTATATATATTGTATTTATTATATAAGATATAATTTATATTATATAATAGTATTTTGTCTCATATATCCCAGTAGTTTGTTTGGAACAGTAGTTAATCAATTTGAGCTTTTCGTGACATGGATTGTGATATAGAGAGAGATATTTACTGTATATATATATATATATAATGCCCGACAAATTTGGTTGAATAGTGTGTCCCATAACATCTCCAGTAGTAGTGTTTGTGTTAGCAATAACTCAATAGACAAACTTATATATAGTTATCGATGAAATCAAATTGTGAAATACATTTTTCTCAACTATACTCACGTTTCTAATAATTTTTTCTTTTTATTTCTCACTCTCTCACTATAAATATATTTTTATTATGACTTTAATAACAGAGAGAGAGAGAGAGAGAGAGAGAGAGAGAGAGAGAGAGAGAGAGAGAGAGAGAGAACAACTTATTTTATTACTCACAGCAATGGGTTTTAAAAAGATATACAAATATATATATATTTGATTCAATTCATTCAATTATAGTTAACGCATCAATCTTTCAAAAAAAAGGTTTACAAAAATTTAGTGAATTAAAGGAAAAATAGAGACTTAGTTGTGATACTGTATGTTGTATTCAAACTGCAAACCATTTGGTCGACACATATATAACTTATATCTTGAGAGAGATGTTGTGTTATATATCTATAGACATAACACATAGGAAAACACAGAGCAAAACCTCCTTAAGGCTACAGTTATTGATCTGTTCAATGCTTCACATGTTATTTACAGTGAAAATTGATTTCAACTACTATTTTGTGAACACTTTTTATATACAGTATTATACATATGGTATGGTATGGTATATACGGTATTGGTATTGAACTATCTTACTGTTGAGTCTTATATTTGTTCAATTAATTTGTAACCTTTAAAACTCCACTCATAAAAATTTGTATCATTTTTTTTTTGTTAAAAGAAAAACATTACTATAAATTTCAAGTGTCTGATGAAAAATAAAATTCTTATATATACCGTATATATATATATTATATCCAATTATACATTATATCTATAAATATATTACAATTGTTTTGTTTCAAAGACATACTGTATAGAGTAGTAGTACACATATGCCATTCAGTGGTCTAATCATTAAATTTATATTTTTTTCACTATAAAAATTTCGATCAATTTTTTTATTCAATTTCTTTTATTTTCTTTTAAAACTTTTTTTTGTAAAAAGAAAAATCTTCTATCATTTCAAACAAATGGCTCTTATTTTGATATAACATAATATCATCAAAAATATTTGGAAATATTATTGAAATCATTGAGTGTTTAACCGATTTTCTTTATCGTGTGTTTGATATGTGTGTATGTATTGTACAGTATATATGTATTTAGTTATGTTTGATAGAGAGAGGAAAGGCAGACCCAATAGCTGTATGTTTTGAGCTCTCAAACTCGTCATTTTGATAAATTGATTTGCTTTCACATCCCATCTTTCACTTATGATATCACCACTAACTCATTGCTCATACAAAAACCTATCCTAAACTATAGGTCCATTTATTGCGGGAACTCCTGCCCCACACAAGTCGTGCAGTTTTACAATATATAGCGATCAGAAACGGGAGGGACAGTTCCTGAGCCCAACATATCCCGGTGTTTATCCTAAGAACCTGAACTGTCAGTACAAGTTTATCGGGAAAAAAGGACAACGAGTCAGACTTGAGTTTATGGACTTCGATCTCTTCTATGGCGGTCCACAGTTAGTCCACTTTCTCTATAATTTTTATTGTTATATATATTGTGTCTAACGTTTCGTGACATTTAATATAATAAATGTTGTATGAAATGTAAGACTCTATCAAATTATGGCAAACAACAAAAAACTAATAACTATTTGTCCTCCCATTCCTCTTATTCCTCTCATTGCCTCAAATATATAGCTGTCCTTTTGATTATATCAAAGTATATGACGGCAGTTCAGATATGGACCCACTCATTGCTACTTATTGTGGTCAACAGAGAAATCTGATGGTGTATTCCTCGGGAGAGAACCTATTTGTTCAGTTCAATACACTTAAGAGAACCGCCGACAGTCAGAACAGAGGGTTTTCCGGTTGGTTTGAGTTCAGCGAAAGATTCGTTAATCTCGGTATCAATTTGTTGTCTTTTATTGTAAATTTATTGCTGTTAAGATATATTGCAATTAATTATTTATTATATTATTATAAAAACAATACTCATATAGTAATTAAGTTTATATAAATTCTAATCATGTTATTTAACAAATAGTAAAATAAATATAAAAACATATATATTATTAGTACAGTATATGAATAATAAATAATTGGAATTATTATAAAATTTAAAAATATGAATATTAAGTACTGTATAAATAATGTAATAATTATCGATTATAGGTTTTATCGGTAAAAATGATGGCCAACATATAAAAGGCACGGAATGTGACCAAAAAATTTTGAGTCGAAAAGAGTCCAACGGAACTATATATTCACCAAATTATCCATTTTTATATCATTCAAACATTGTTTGCAAATATTATATATACGGACTCCAAGACAGTCAACATTTGGAAAGAGTGAACTTAGAGTTTGAGAAATTTGAGATCCCGGCAACTGATCCAAATGAGTGAGTAATTCATTATTAGATACCACAGCTATGGCACCAATTTATTGATCACAACATTGTTTTATGCATGTATTGATCCAATAGATGTAATGACGCTTATGTTAGACTCTATACTCAAAGTCATGATGCGATCGAAGAGTTTGATTATGTTTTTTGTGGGCAAACACTTCCTTCACCAGTGATCTCTGACGGGCCCACTCTTATCATTGTTTTCAGTAGCGGCTCAACACAGGGACAGGGTTTTAAGGCCCGATACCTATTTGAAACCGACTATAAAGTGCCGGGAACGCCGTCAACTCCCGGTCAGTGCCACTTCTCATATGTTAGTGAAAGCTCAAAGACAGGCGAAGTGAATTCGCCCCGTTATCCGAGTAACTATCCCTCAACTACTCACTGTATATACGAATTTTTTGGTCAACCCGGACAACAAGTCAAACTTGTGTTCAATCACTTCAAAATAAATCCTGATCTGTCGGCCACTTCGGCCGGTTATAATGATGTTTGCGTAGATGACTGGCTTGAAATTTATGAAGTGTTGGCCAGCGGTCGTGAAATAAAATATGGCAAATATTGCTCAGCAACAACTCCGGGACCTATTGTCACTGATTACGGTGTGAATCGGATGAAAATCATATTGCACACCGATGACACTGGAGTGTCCAGTGGGTTCAGCGCTACATACAGTTTCATTGAATCAGGTGTTACTTCATTAGGAGGTATGGTATTAGAAATAATGTATAATAAAGATATACTGTATTTAATAATATCACCATTTTATTATAACCCTATCTTAAATATTTGATAGATTGTGGCACTAATATAACGGGTCAGGAAAACGGTGTGATAACATCACCTAACTATCCCAATGGATATTTAGCTCACCGTCAAATGTGCAATTGGTATATAACCGTCCGACCCCGATATAAAGTGCTTCTATATTTTGAATCATTTTTGGTTGAGGGCGAACCTCCAGGTATTTATTTTTATCAATTAATATAAGTATTGTTTTATTTAATCAATATTTTTTAAATATATATATATATACCAGTGCGAGGTTGTTCCGGTGCTGTAGTTAGAGTTTGGTTAGATCTGAGCCAACAGCCCGTTGAGTTGTGTGGCAGTGAATTAAACAACGAAACTTATGAATTGACTTCAAATATAAATTTGCTCAAAATTACGTAAATATATTAAGCAATCATAATATTTTTATATACATATTAATTATGAATTTTTATAATTCAGATTCATAACGGCTGAAAAAGCTGTCGGTGCCAAAGGTTTTAAGGCCAGCTTTACGGAGATACGCGAAAAGGGCTCAACTTGTGATCAGTTTAGATGTGCTTCCAGTGGTTATTGTATTTCAGCCAATAGTTATTGCAATTCAATACCAAATTGCGGTCATAATGATCGGTCCGATGAACTCAATTGTATGAAAACTTTTTTATTTTAATGATTATCTGTAATTTACAGCAATAAGTTTTTTTAAACGTACGGCAAATATATTTATAATTTATAGGCAAAAAAGTTGTTGAAATAAACTTTTTGATGATTGGTTCGGGTGTGTGTGCGGCAGTCATTCTGGTCTTAATCATTATCTGCAGTTTATGTCACCGAAAAAGCAAACGAAGGCGAAGTAATGGCAGTATTACCGCTCAGTTTGATATCTCACGACCCAAACCACCGCAGTTTGAAATCCCTCCCTCTCTTCACTTCCTGCCTATGGATAGTGTTTGAAAAGAAATGTTTCACTAAATTATAATAATTTTTATGATTATATAATTAATTAAATAATATTGATTGTAATTATATTATTAAATGTAAATTTTGTTGAATTATAAAACAAAATATTTGTAAATATTATATATACTGTATATTATGAACAAACAAAACTACAAAAAAAATTGTTACAAATGTTGTCCAATGCATTGACAGTTAATCTTAATTTTCAGTCTCTAAGCCATCAGTTGATCCAAATGAAGCAAAATTTAGAAAAAAATCATTAATAACTGTATTATATAATACATGTTGTCATCAAATAAATGGTTATTTAATATAAATTTTATTGAATATTCTGTAATATAATTCATACAAAAAAGTTATTAAATAAAAATTTATTATTTATAAAAATTAATTTAAATATTATATTAATCATTAAATTAATCTTAAATTTAATTTTGAATTTTCATTACATTTGATCCATAACTTGACTATTCATATGAAATAATACCACAAATGTCTTCACAGAGATATCACTTCTTAGAGTGACAACAATTCATGACGTAATTTATGTATTGTTTTGTGAGGTCATAGCCATCAATGTCTGTCAGACAACACATCCTTTTCCGTTCACGTCTTGTGTCTAAAAGGTTGGCATTAATTGGTATTAATTGCGGTAAACATTGATTTCAGACAATTATCTTACCATTTGATCCACTGTTGACCGATATTTATGTCTATAATTGGGATTAACATATAATATGTTCCCTTTTTTTTGAGGACAATTGAGATCAATGTTAAGATAATTGGCTGACAATATGTTGTTTATCACTTCTTGAGATCAATTAGTCTAATTAAAACAATTGTCTCATTGTTTTGTTTCTTATTTATAGTGATTCAAGTGTCTGAAGAAGAAGTGGCTAATCTGTGAAAATGCATCTCTTATTGCGCTCACAATCGACTCATACCTATGATGTCAATCCAAATGAACAGATCTTTGACATTAAGGTAATTAAAAAACAATTGATTGCATGCGATAAAAGACATGAAAATGATTTTTTAGTTGATCTCATCATTTCTTTTTGACACCAATTTGTTGACACATTTGATGCTTTAATTGTCTTTTGTTTCTAACATTTTTTTAATCAATTTCTTGAAACAAATAGCTGTTCATTGAAAGAGCAGAAAACATTTCAAATGAAGATCAAGTTCTTTATTGTTGTGGTCGACCTCTTGAAGAGGATCAACTGATTAGCTCAGCTAACCTTAAGGACGGCGACTCTATTGATGTCTGCATTCGTCTCAGAGGTGGCAAAGTTCACGGTTCACTGGCCCGAGCGGGTAAAGTGAAGGGACAGACACCCAAAGTGGAGAAACAGGAGAAGAAAAAGAAGAAAACTGGAAGAGCTAAGCGACGAATGCAATACAACCGACGTTTCGTGAATGTGGTCGCGACTTTTGGCCGAAGACGCGGTCCAAATACTAACCAAACGTAAACGGATGGACCAAATCATTGGATGCATTATAGTCTTCAACATTCAATCTATTTAAAGATTAATGAATATGTTGTTAAAAAATGTATTTCAAAAATAAAATATAAATATTTGAATTAAAAATAAGTTTATTTTTTAGAAATGATTTGAATTGCGATTTATATATACTGTATATTACAGTATTAAAAGCAAAAGGATTTTTTGTTTTTAAACTTTTTGTTAAGCTATTAATGTTTGTATTGAAAATTGCTTTCCATTTCTAGCCATAAATGTATTATTATTATAGTTATTATTATGATGTGCCAAATGAAAGCACATATTTGTGATGTTATTTGCGGATCAAAAAAGTGATATATATTTTTGATACATACAGTTGTTTTAAGTGTAGTATTGTGTTGTTATTTCATGTGATGACCTCTTAGACCCGTTTCTGTTCTCATTTCAATTGGTTTCTGATGAGACTCCGGCTCAGGTATGTATGTATGTACAGTATGTATGCGTTTATGAATAGCCTCTGTTATAAAAGTATAGTAATATTTTTCTTTTAATAGAGACAGCTATCGTGTCTGTTATATAATACCAGAGCACACAAAACTGCATTTATTCCTATCTATAACGTGTTGTGTTGTGTGTAATGTATTGTATTATATGATAAAAATAACAATACGTTTGGTTGGATTGCTCTGTGTTTTACATGTTTTAAGAGTGCAATTAACCCAAAAACTACTTACGATCCGAACTCACACTCTCTTTTGGACAACACTTTACGGAAGTCTTATTATTATTATATAAAAGATGATATATATATATATATCTAAGAAAAAAATATTTTTTTCATATTTTTTCATGTTTGAATGAATGAAATAATATTAATAATAATAATAATAATAGTATGAGAAATAATAAATGAAATCCAAAACCAAACTATAAGTGAAAATTCTTTATATAATCTTTTTTACAGACTATGAATAAAACGGTTTATTAATAATATTTTTTATATACTTTAATATAAATTATATATAATGTAATATAAAAAAGAATAGAAAAATAAAAATGTTTTCAATTTTTTTTCATTTAATAATTGCTTTTATATTTGGGCGTTCACTATATATACAGTATATAAAGTTATATATATATATATAAATGTATACTACAGTATTGAGTTAAATCATATTTTATATTATTAACAATATAGTAACAATAAGCGGCTTAATTGCTCCAAACTATTAAAAGTACAGTATTTAGAAGTTTAAATATATTTTTAAAAATTGCTATTATTATTATTGTTATTATTATTGTTGTTATTACTAAATATTTAACGTTATTTAAAAACACATTGAAAGATAAAGAGAGAAAATCCTCATAAAAATAACACTCACTTTTGCATCCGTTGACACAATTGTTTAAAAACAGATATTACTTTCTAATAAAACAGTTTTTTATCTTTCAATACAATTGAGATTATTTAATAGCAAAACTTGTTTTGTATTTCACTGAAAGGCACATCAAAACAGTAATAATTAGAAATGCATTTTTCATTACATTATTATTATTATTACTTTTTTCTATTACTGAAAACACTATAAACTAATTTGTTTCACTCTTTGCCATCAATTATCTGTTTATAAGGCCTCCTGAGTGGCCACAATCGGAAACGTCAAGATATATACTAATAATAATAAGTTTTATGAATTAGAGCAAAATGTTTGCTCAAAACAACTATAATTGCTTTTTTGCTTAAAATACCTCTCAATTTCATCTAAAATATCTACTCTTTTTTGTGATACAAATATAATAACAATAATAAAGTTTTTTATTATTTATCTTTCACTTTTGTGATGCTATAAAAGGGTATAAAATGTTTAATTAAAATAACAATTACTTAATTAGAATAAATAATTTGTGTACATTTTTATTGTTAATAATATAATAATATTATAATACTGTTATTTTTGTACTATTTGTATACTGTATATAATAAGTGGGCAATAAAAGTGAGAAATAAAAGCTAAACTATAATTAGTCATGAAATGAGACAAATTTAATTATACTCTAATTATGGTTATATATAAATTTATATATAAATAAAACAAATAAAAGTTTTATTTATAAACAATTTTGCAAATAAATACAAATAATAATAAAACATTAAAAGCTAATCATGTTTTTAAATAAAACGAAAGCAAAATTTTTATTTCAACTTTTGGTTTTTTTTTTGCTGACAACAAAACATATACTACAGTATAATGTTAGCAAATTAATAGGTTTTCAAAATATATACATAAACTTAATATAAGTTTGTTTGTATTATATATATATATATAATTTGAATGCCGAGAGTTTTGAACTCCAAAAACAAAATAGTTTTCTTCTAGCATTTTAAGTAATACTTGAACAACACTCTAACCAAACTATTGGCCAACAAATAAAATATTTAACAGAAAAAATTAAAAATACTAATCATTTATTTAGACACTAACTGAGTCCTTAAATTATTGTTTATTATCCATGAATTGTGAGTATGTTTTCTCTCTCTCTCTCTCTCTCTCTCTCTCTCTCTCTCTCTCTCTCTCTCTCTCTCTCTCAATATTTAAACATAATTTTAAAATATAAAAATAAGCTAATGTTAACATTAAGTTTGATGTGTGTTTAAAAAAACTATTTGTGTTTGAAATAATGTGTTGTGTTTTCTTGATTTACAAAATGATTAGTTTTTGATTGTTATGTTAAGCTTTAAAAAATTATTAGGAGAGCGAAAGTTCATAAGATGTTAGAAATATAGAAAAATATAGTCATAAATATTGGCTAAAAGATTATGAAAAATAAATAAAACGATTGCAAATAATTATGGATTAAAGCGTAACGAATGATCCGTGAAGACAATCACTTGCGATCAACTGATTCATCAGTCAAATCACATTTTATTATTAAGTTTGTTGTAAACGTCATACAAAATAATTAATAAAATACATTAAAATTAGGCCTCAAAAACAAGTCAATTAAATTGGTTAAGCAATTATCATTCAATTGATTCAACTAATGGATTCAGGAATCTGTTTAAGAATATTAAAACTAAAATCTTTTACCGATTTCTCATCTCTTTATTTGCTTTTAAAACTCGGGATTTTTATCCAAAGCCAGCAATACCTGTCCTCTGATGTTATTAGATGTTATAATGTGTTTGAAGTGAAAAGAGCAGTGAAAACAAGCTTTGGATCATCTCTTAGGAGGCGATCATCCGTTTGTATGATTCGTTTGATGAGTACTGACCTAAAAACCCATTTCCTATTTCTTATTGCATTTACAATACAATACTTAGAATATTGTACTATAAGTATAACAACACAAGCAATCAAAGCCTCATCTAATAAATAGCAACTCTTATAGAGAGTCAAAAACTTTTATCATTTCATTCAAATTGTTTTACAATTGAATCAGAATTTAATGCCATAAGAGTATCGCTTAAAACCAACTATTTATATGTTTTTATATCAAACTATTATATAATGTATATGTTTTTGTTAGTATTTATTAATATTTGTAAGTTTTATTCATTAATTTATTCATTACTTTTTCTTAAATATCAACTATTTTATGGATAAAACATTTAAATGTAAATTAATTATAAACTAAATAATAGGTACGGCTTTCACTTATGTATCAAGTGTTGAGTCCGACGATCACCGCCTAAAAGGATTAAGTGATGCCGAGATTGCAATCATCGGATTATCGCCACCTAATGAGCCGTCACAGAGAGCACTGTTGGATAGTGTAATACCAGCACTAAAACCCCAAGAGTCACTTTCATCTTCTTTCATCACATATGACACCATCGATGAAGAGGAACAGCCCATCGCTAATGAGGAGAAGCCGTTTACCATAACGTTTCCAATTACCAGAAGCTCTCGCAATAAGCAGTCGGTTCAGGTAATTATCGCACGTTTTTAATTAATTTGCATTTAATTATAAATAATAAGATAAAACTGATAAAATTGTTTTCATAAAGTATTTGTTTGCATAGATTAATCATAAATAAGATGTAATATTATATATATATATTCTCCTATCTCTCACTCATTTTTCTCCAACAGAGTATAGTAATCCCATTGCCGTCCAATTTGGACGACAAGACCGGTATAATAGTGATTGAAGATCACGACGACGGCGGAGGAAATCTTGATCGACGCACACTTAGGGCTCAGTTTTTTGCGCCGACACGTATCAAACCATTCAAACAACAACAACAACAACAACAACAACAACCAACTCTACCATTCAGAGAGACTCTCGACGAAAACCGTATGAATTATTTTGAAATTTTTATTTTTTTTTATTTAATGATAAATTAGTTTACTTTAAAACCCCACAATTATACAATCAAATTCATATAAATGTGTGATTGTAAATACTATTTAGTTTTTTAAAATGTGTTTAACAATAGTTGTATAAATTATATGTTATTATCTGATTGTTTAATTTTAATGTATTGTTTTCTATCAGTATTTTCATTTTATGATCTTAATTATAATACTTAAACTAAAATATTAGCAATTTTCACTAATAATGACTATATTTATACTAAGGTTTAAACTTTTATTAAACTTATCCGCAATTGTTGTAAAAAACAAGTGATAAATCTATAGTATATTATACTGTAGTATAGGTCTACTACAGTATATAGTATATAACATATCATTAAAAGTTTCACTACTTTTTCGTATATAAAATAAGCAAAAGTTTATATGTAATAACAATGAGAGAAAACTACATTTTAAAAAAACTATGAATACATGTATCATGAAATCATGTATTCATCGATTTAAGTTAATATTAATTGAATTAGACATTACATGAGTTATTTTAAATACTTGTTAATACTGTACAGTATATATAAGTTACACTAAATTATACATTATATACAATATTATACAGACCATTAATCATTGATTTAACTCATTATTAATATACAGTACCGTAAAATGACTATACTATAGTCAAACAATTTCATCAAATATGTTACAAAACAAGTATTCAAACAATATGTCAAATTTAATTTGATGTTAATATTATTTGATTAAATTTTAATATTATTTTCAATTTGATGTCATTGTATTGTAACAGAAATAGAGTTAAGAAATATGTATTTTTAAAAATACAAAAATATTTCTGGAAACTTTATTTTTGAGTTCCATTATTAATCTATGAATTTCTATATACATTATAATGTAATTACTATGTTCACTGATTAAGCGTTAAATATATTGAAAAAGTATATCTGATATTTTTAAAGTTTTCTAAAATTTTAAATTCAGTTTTTTATACATTTTTTTGGTAACTTTTAATTTTACATAAATTAAATATCCATTAAATTTTCTTAGAAATTTATTTATAATAAATCTATATTATTTGCTAAACATTAAACAGAAGTTTTAAAATTTTAATAAAATATAATAATGCACTTTAATATAGGTATAGAATAGTTTTTTATATAAAAAAATAATGTTGAATATAAATGATTTTTGTTTTTATTTTATTTCACATAGTTGTCTAAAAAATATTTTAAACAAATTTTTAAATACATTAAAACAATATGAGTTAAAAAAAACTTTATAAATCATTTTTAATAATAATAATTATAAATATTATAAATATACTCTACTTTGCAATTCATAAACAAAAACAAAGTATTCATTAAAATTCCGTTTTATGATGTTTTGTGAATAATTAGTGGTATTTTCAATACCTGTTTTTATAAGTTATATTATTATTTCATTTTAGTATATTTTTAAAAAATTTTATTTGCCATTTAAATTATATTTATAAATTTACAATACAGTAAATTCTAATACTTTCACTAAATATTTAGTTTTATGTGTTTTAATTCCAGATATAATTTTTAGGTAAACAATTTTCCCAAAAAAACTCATGCAATAATTATTATTTTTTTATAGTATTTATTTAAATATATAATTTCCTGATTTATGTTACAATTTTCACATTATTATAATTACTGCTAAAGCTAATGGTTTTGTGAGATATACGCTAAAAATCGTGAATTAATTAAAATATTGCATTAATTATTATCAATTGTATGCTAAAAAATATTTTTGTTTTGTTTTTTAAATTTTATATTCAATAAATAACAGTAAAATAAATAATTATATAATTTATAGTCAAAAACAAAACTGAAATATCTTCAAACCGGATTAATGGCTTCAATAATAGTCAAAAGAGATCACAACTACCGATCATAACTAACAATCGGTTGACCAAAAAGATAGCCGAGACAAGAGCCGAACCGTCCACTTCAAGTTCGGTTATTTTTGATGACGATGTACTGACAGTCACCTCAACATTCTCACCCGAATCGGTATTTCGACCGAAGTCTACCCTCTCATCCAATAACAATAAAAAACAAAACTTTACAAAAGTTTTAAAATCAAGTCTTCCTATTATTGATTCATTGGCTTTAAATATGAAATCTAGACAAAGAAAGAAAAAATCAAAGACAATCAAAATAGTTCCCAAAACTACGACAACAACCACCACTACTACTACTACTACAACACCTGAACCGCCGACCACTACTTTTAGTGATGAAAGTGAAGAAGAGTTTGAAAACACAGAAAATACTGAAAGCACGACATTTACAACACCAGAGACTACCACAAGAACTAACATTTTAAGACAATTTGCGTCTTTAAATGAACGATCAAATGTTCGCCGAAAATGGAATGCAAATTTAGTGACCACTACTTTGAGGCCAACAACTACCGAAAAGCTCACCACTACTGCAACTCCTGAGTGGACAACAACTCAAAGAATAACAACAACACTGAAACCTACTGAGAGTACAACACCAACACCAACACCAACAACAACAAAGAGGAGAGTTCCGCAAAGAAATATTCGCAGACAATGGACCACTACATCGACTACAACTACTCCAAGTCCAACAACTGTCACAAACAGACGTTGGGAGACGACAACTATTAATCCAATTGAGACCACAGAAGCTGATTATGAGTTAATATCATTTGACAATTCAGCGAATAAAACAAACTTTGATTTCAGAAATTCTCTCCGATTGGTTAGGGCTAAGAATAAGACACGAACTGAAAACATAGAAAGAGAAAACAGAGACGAAAACAATGGAAATGAGTCTATTCTTAGACCAAGACCTCCGGGTCCACCACAGATACCGGGAAATTTTGGCGCAGGATTTTTACCGTCAGGTAAAGCATTCAACGCACCCCATAATGTCCCGGGAAGTGCTGGCGTTGACTATCCAACGTATAACAGAATTCCGGTCACAAGTTTCGACTGCAAGGATCAGATGTATCCGGGATTTTACTCGGATTTGGAAACGGGTTGTCAGGTATATCATAGTTGTAATGGCAATCAAAGAGGAAGCAAACATACATTTCTGTGTCCAAATGGCACTATCTTTAGCCAGGAGTACCTGATCTGTGATTGGTGGTATAATGTCAACTGTGCCGACTCTCCTCTATACTATCAACTAAATAAAGAAGCGTTTGCTAATCCAACGATTAAAGCAAATTCAACTAAAATTAAAAATACAATGAATGCCAATAATAGCAATAATAATAATAATAAATTGAATAAAAAGCCGAAGACTACCACAACTGAGTTCGTGATTCGCACAATCACTTCAACTGATTTGCCTTAATATCCAATTAATTGCGGTCTTATTATATCAACTTATTATAAGATTACTGTTAACATCACAATCACGACTTTTTTTATGATACATACTATGCTTTAGAATTTGTTTGTATTAAATAATAAGATAATATCTATAATTTTAATTAACATTTAATTAAAATCTAGAAAATCTATATAACTATATAATAAATATAATATAATAGTTAATTAAATACATAATTATATATTACTGTAATAATATTTAATGTTTTATACGACAATTTATACGATGTAGTTCATCATCAAAACCATAGCATTGTGTCCATTAATAAATCATTCATTAATAAATACATTATAAAAATAAATATATAAATTGAATAAAAATCATTTTAAATATATTTTAAATATATTATACCAAAATATAATTAAATTTAATTATTTCAACAAAATCAATGTAGTATTAAAAATCTATTCACCAATAATATGATAAAAAAATATATAGTAAAGGTTTTGTTATCAAATAATTTTATTTATATTTTACATTATATTGTATATTACAAATATTTTAATGTTAATTATATAAAATAATGAAATTGATTATCGCAAGTGAATCAAATTGTAATAATTTGAATGGTTAGACATCATATCATCATCAATGACCTATCGTGTTAAGTGGTTTAGGCTTTTAGTAACATAAAAATTTGATATAATTACGGGTAAATAAAATATTAAATTCATATTTCAATACTTTATAATATATAATAATTTGATTAATATATTAATAAATTAACAATTTTTTATATGTAATAAATGTTATTAAATAGTGACCGCAAATATCTGGACAATAGAGTGGAGACTCTTGTTCTCCCAGCGGACAGTCGTATATCCATCAGTGGTGTTATCCCAGTAACAACTTGTGGCCGTTTGAAGGCCGGCGCCGTTCTTCTGGATGATAGCACACGTAACTAATGACCCGAAAAAACAAAACAATTAATTAATGATCAATTGGTTTACAATYTGTGTATTCCGTTATCATTGACTATAGTCTATACTACTGACCGATGTATTTGAATTTATTATTATTTTTGACCAATTGTTGCATCACTTGTTCAACTATAGTGTTTGACCAGTTGGTCACTTCTGAGTGYTGGTATGTATTGGAACCAATGATCGTTTCGACCACTTCTTTGGTCGTTTTGTTGACCACATCCGAGTCAAACCACTGCAATCAGATTATCACAAAAAAATGTTGAATCAATACAATAATCAAATGATGTCTTACATTATTATCTGAGTTAGTCATCTGTGGTAATGGTTTACAAAGTGATGTCCAGTGAAACCTAGAGATAAATCAGTGATTATCTGCTAATTGAGTCATAAATTGTTTAACACTTTCAGTCAATCAATTGTTGTCATAAAATATCGTATCATTTGATGATAAAAATTACGTCAATTCATATAAGTATTGCACTATTAATACTAAAAAGTATTAYAATAGTAATTATATTAATATTAATAAAATTATATTATATTAAAATTTATTTAAATATTTGTATTTTTAGATAATTGTAGTCATTTTAATTTGAAATTAAAACATTTAACATATTTTGTCATATTTTATCTTTATTTATGTTTATTATGTTTACAAAGTTATTGACAAAAAAATATTTTAATACAAATAAAAATAATAAATATTTAGAAAATTAATTTATAGTAATTATATATTGATTATAATTTGTAACAATTATTTTGAAAATTAATTTAAATAATTTGAATGTCAAATGTAATGATTCAATGGATATATTGACAAATGTGATCATAACTTAAAGTCACAACTTTTCGTTTATCACTTAACAGTTGAACGTCGGCCTCATTTCGTGACTTATGTCTCTCAACAATAGTTGCCAATTGTTTGCGATATTTTCCCTCAACTATCATCACTTGTGAATCACTATCTCGAGGAATAACAGTCTCCAACATATGACAGTCAATATCGTCTAAAATACGATTATCACTTGTCTTACAACAGCACTTATCGCTGGATAAGACATCAATGATCTTAACTTTTTCTTTATAATACTTTGCATTTTTATATTTTTTATCGATTATTCTTACTCTAAGGTTAGGCATAAGCCATGATTTGTGATGCGATGAATGATGTCTTTTATGAGATGAAGTTTGACTAACATTACTATGAATTTCATGTTTGCCTTTTGAGTCTTTGCTGTTTTCACTACCATTTTGTTTATCTCTTTTCTCTTCTTTTTGTTTGTATTCATCAAAATGTGTTTTATTAATAACTTTTCCTTCGTCTTGAAATTCTTTCTTCGAGACAACTCTTATCAAAGCAATTGGTGTTTTGATGGTTTCTTTCTTGAGCGTCAATCTCACTGTAACTCTTGTCAATTCGTCATCAAAATCTTCAATCACACCATAAGATCCCTTATGAGCTCCAAATTCAATGCAAACAAATGATCCTTTCTTTAGCTGCAAATCTTCTTTAAGATCTTCAGATTTCTTAGAAACTGGTTTTGGAATCGATATGTTTGCACCCAAACCGAGTCCTTTAGGTCTGATGACGGGTTCAATTGGCACATATGCCTCTTTGGCATTAACTCCGATACCCATTCCCGTCTTCCAACCCATACCTCTAAGCATTGCTAAACCAAATTCTTCGACCGGAATCGATTGATAATCACCGAGTGTTGGCTCTGTTGGTCTGATAGAGACATCAAAATTATCATTTGTTTCGTATCCTTCAGGAACTCTATTTTGAACCAAAGAGTCCAACACAGGAATTACTAGCGAAGAATAGATGGCACTCTTAGATTGATCTTCAGTTAATTCTTTGACTTCATCTAACAATTCTTTCTTTGCTCTCTCTTCGAGTGTCTCTTCAACTTTAACATCACTCTTATTGTCACTAATTTCTTCAGTATTATTATTATTATTATTATTATTATTATTAGACTTATTAATCGATGATTTATCAGAATTCTTTGACTTTAAATTATATCTATTATTAACAATAAGCGGAATAACGAGTTCCTTCTTTTCTTGCTTTTGAACAGTACTCTGGATCTGTTGGCCATCAATGGCTAATACGAAATCTGTATCTTTATTATCATTCACTTCTTCGGCTTTCAATTCGTTATTTAGTTTGTTATTCAATGTAAACGTATTTGGTTTGACTTTTTTACTGAAACCAAAGGCCAGTGGTTTGGCCGTCGGATGACTGTCGCCGGTATTGTCCGACATATTCACCACTAAATCATATAAAACTTAACAACAATTTGTTGATTGTTTTTATCACTTTTTATTATTAATACAATAAATGCTTTGAAAACGACAACAAACACATCTGTAATCACTATTTTCCACAAATAACGAGTCGAGAGTCACAACAATACAACTGATTATCACTTCTATTGGTTTTCATTGGGAATCAGTTTGTGTTAAACGTTATCTATAGTAATGATAGTAACAAATCAATTGATGAAATGTTTGTTTGCTTTTGAAGCACATGTTGTCCGACACTTATCTGAAAGTGTTTGCTATCACTTATTTGATCACTTGATTGTCATCATTAAAGATGAAGTTTTCTATACGAAAACAATGTTTTGGTCGATCAAGACTTGGATTACTATCATTTGAGTGTATGTCCAGTGAGAACAACACTAAAACTAATACTTCTTATTCGACACCCATTTGTCTTCAATACACAATCAATGGATCGGTTCCGCACATTGTTCACGACCTCTTAGATGATCTCAATGATGATAACAGTCCAATGCTTATACCACTTCCCACTACTCTTCTAATGAATGAATCTTTACGACAATTTAATAAAACATTTGATGGACTAAAATCAGGAATTCGTGATTATGTGGGACTCAAGAGGTGGCGACCAACTATTGTATCAATTCAGGATCCATTGCTTGAAATAAAAAGTGGTCACAACGCCACCGATGGAATTGCTGTCTTCTGTCGCGGTGGTAAGCAAGCAGTTAACTCGTCGAGACTTATAGATATAATGACAAACTTCAAGCCCGACGCCTATCAGTCCATCTGCGACAGTGACACTCCTTCTAATGCCAGCAATAAAAGGATTTATAATTCAGTCGATAGGAGTTTGTATTTAATGGATGAGTGTATTGATAAACATAATGATTGTCCCGATTTGAAGGACAAAAATATCAGTATTTTGGGCACAATTCAAGGCGGGCTTCATATTAGATCCCGACTGAAATCAGCTAAAGAATCGGCAGATAAAGCGGTCGATGGCTTTGTTATCGACGGCTTTCATTTATATGGTAATCAAAGTCACTCGCAATTAGACCTGAATTCAGTGAAACCCATTTTAGCAGAAATATTTGAAATATTACCGAAAGACAAACCAATGATAATGTTTGGTGTGTTAACTCCCTTTCAAATTATTCAACTCATTGATAGTGGAATCGATGTCTTTGATTCTTCTTATGCTACCGTTATGACAGAAGATGGCATCGCATTACAAGAAATAATTGATAACAATATACTAAAAGTTACAAATCTATCGATTGATTTGAAAAGTAAACAGTTTAAGGAAGACTTCAATCCAATAGATGACAACTGCCGGTGCTATACCTGTGTGAATGGCTTTTCCAGAGCTTATATAAACCATTTATTAAATGCATCGGAAATGTTGGCCAAAGTTTTGCTTAATTTTCATAATTTGGAAACTTTTTACAATTTCTTTCGGCAAATAAAAGATCTGTTAGAAAGAGACAAATTTCAACAATTGTTACAAAACTTATGATAATTACTGTATATATTAATATTACGGTAATATTGGCAATATATCCTAAAATTTCATATTTATACAGATATTCATATATAATATATTACGATATAATTGATTTTTTACATTGTTTTCATATGTTATTTATAAATTACATGTTTTTTTCTATATTATGGTATATTATATACTGTATATAAGATAATTAATTTAATAAATACTAATATTTTATTCAATATTATATACTATTAAGTTTCTGCTCTGCCTTTTGTCATACAAGTCATAAAATAAAGTTTTATTTTGTGATTAATTGTTTTGAGAATTAGTTGAATGCGAATCAATTGTTCGTAGATTACAACATAAGTGTCTTTTAATGGATAGACTACTGATTGTAAGTCTCTATAGATATTATTGAATCGTTTAATTATATACAAAACATTTGTCTCATTAATCACATCAAAGATCCAGTGTTGGAGATGTCGATCACCTAACAATTGATCCGCTTCTTTGTTTTCCCAATTATCAAGAATTGTTTCAAAAATGTTCAAAACATAGCAACTGTTTTCAAAGTACTTGGCTTTCAATGGTTTGTCTTCAAGCATATACTGACACATATGTGATAGTTTGGTCACTACTATCTCGAGGAAGTTAATCGATTCATTGGAGATAATGTTATTTAAGTTAATATCTGTTAATAGATTGACTCTTCTTTCAAAATAATTGCTTTCATTTATACGATCCGATTGAGTGACATCATTGAGACATTGTTTAGCAAATGTCGAGATCTTTTCGGTGATAATTTTATTGATTTCTTTGCAAATGTCGTTTCCTTTTCTATGTTTGACAGCAAACAGTGGTAACTTCTGAATGTAATCACAAATTATAGAGTATTTCAGTCTAAGATCAGTACTATTGTCGAGTATTTGATCAACTCTTGAGCCCAAGTCTTCAAATAAGTGTTTTTGTTGACATTTGTCTGGTCTTTGGTATTGGTCTTTCAAAACCTTTAAAATGTCTTCAATTTGATACCAATGGTCCAAATATGGATCATCGATACTGTCCACCACATCGTCATCATCACTAAAATCCATACAATAGTCAACATCAATGTCTTTATCACTCATTTGATCCAATATTTGTTTGTCAGATAAACAATACACAAATACATTGAAAAACTAATGAATTGTTATTTTCAATGAAAATCAAAACAACATTAAAAACTCATTAGTAATGAGTCTATCAATTGATTCAATGGATATTCAATAGTAATGTTTAAACTTTAAACCAATTGATGACAAAAGTATTGATCGCTAAGTGTTAGTCAATAGTGTACTGAAGTGTCAATTCATTCTATTGAAAGCTTGAAACGCATTATTAAACGATGACGTAATAGCATTCAAATATAAGCTTTCAATTGGAAAAAGCATTGAATGTATTAAAACTTTGAATTCCATATTCGAATCAATTGATCATTAAATTGGTATTTATGTGTCACGTGATTGTCAATCAATCAATCAATCAATCAATTAATCAATCAATCAATTAATCGATTGTTTGTTTGATTTGAATCTCAAATAACTGTTGTTTTTTGTCATCAATTTCTTTGACAACATTGTTATCATTGTTTTTAGCGTAAGATTTATTAATTTTTTAAGTGATAGTTAGTGTCCAAAAAAAAGTTTGTTTTCCACTTAACTGATCCATAGTTTTGTGTCAAACAAAGTCAACTGTTTTATCGGTGACCGATGTCTTTGTTCTCTGGATTCTCGTTTCGGTCGAAACGACCAATTAATGGCAACTCTTCAGAAAACATTTGTAAGACAACTGCGTTTACCACAAATGTTGAGACCAGTGGCCGACTGCCGGTGTTTACACCACAACAGCGATCACTGTTGACAATTGATTCGACAAAAAGCAGTCAATCGGCCACAAATAAAGCCGTCTTTACTATTCCTCAACCATTATCCCAAAAGAGTCGCTCAATTGACGGTCTGACTCCAGAAGCAACCGTTGAAGAGATTAGCGATGACTCGGCGGCACTCAAACAAAGAGTCGCCGATGAGTTGGAACGCATCGAGACGTGGAAGGAATTGATGCAAATGGAAGCCAACAAACGTCTTGAAGAGATTAGTACTCAAAAGACTTTGATCGACGAATTAAATAATAAAATGATTGAATTGAATAATAAAAATAATCGACTCGAGAGTCAAATAGCAAATGAAATTTCTGAACGCGAAGAAGTGATGACCAAAATGGCGAACACAAGACAAATGTTTATTCGGCTTAAAGATAACATCGAAGGTATTGAAAGACGTTTCGATGGATTCACTGAAATCAAAGAATGTGTGGAAATAGTGAATGAAAACCGTAGAMAACAATATCAAGAATTGGCCGAACGGTTTCATCGGTTGGATATCAACCATAAATACATTTCTAGTGATTATCAAAACAAATTATCTGTTAAAGCAAACGAAGTGATAGATCTTAAAGAAAGACTTAAGAAAATAAATGAAGAATATAATCATTTGCAAACTGAGTCAACCAATAAAATTATAAATTTAAATTCAGAGATCAATCGTTGCCAACAACGCGAAGACAATTTAAAAGCATTGATGGCTGAAAAAGAAAGTCAAAACGCAAGTCTTATCTCAAAAATTGATATTTTAGAGCAAGAGTTGCAACAATTGAAAACAATTCTCGAAGACAAACAAAAGACAAATGAAGAATTGACGGATCAAATTAAAACTATTGGTAATCAACTCAATGATATTGAGAATAAATGCACTGAAGTAACGGAAGAATTGACTGAAATGAAGAGTAAACATGAGTTGTCAGTTGAAACAATTCGTCAGATGAACGAAGAGCAGGAAGTAATGCGCGAAACTCATGAAAGTTATTCTAAAACTTATGAAAATGAGATCAAATCATTTGAAGAGATGGTTAAAAATTTGGAGACAAAAGTTAATGATTTGGAAATTACGAATAACACCAAAGAAGAAGAGAAAAGTGCTTTGGAATCAATACTCAAACAAGAGATTGACGTCAGAACTCATGAAATCGATGATCTAATGACACAAAAGAATTGTTTGACAGAAGAGATCAAAAAGATTAATGAAAGCTTGCGTTCAATCACTGCTCAGAAACAAGAGTTAGAAGAAATAACTTTAACTGAAAAACAATCACTTATTTCTGATTATGAGAACACTATTAAAGAGATGACAACAAATATTGAACAAAATGTGAGTCGAATTGAAGAGTTAGAGAACAATGCAAACCAAAGTTTTTGTGAAAAGGAAACAATCAAACAACAGTTGACACAAGAGTTGGATCAATTGAAGAAACAATTAGAAGACTTTTCCGCTAAGATATCGGAACTCGAAAACAAACTTAAAGAAAAAGATTTTATTAATAATAACAATATGTCATCAATTCATGAAATGTCTTCAGAGATTGAAGTCTTAAAGACTGAGAAGTATAATCTTGAGAACAGATTACAACGCGAAGAAAGTAATTACGAAATGCAAATGTCTAACATTTCAACAATTCTTGAGAGTTGTAAAAGTGATTACAATAAACGTATTGATGATAAGGAAGAAAGGATTGTTGAACTCAAGAGAGAGTTGGAGAGAATGAGACACTCAAACAAGTATTTAAATGATAAATGCGAACGTCTTGAACAAGAAAAACAATCGACAGCTGTTAAACTCCAAGAGATGACAATGAGTGCTATGCGTCCAATCAATTCATCACCCAATCGGTGCTTAACTCCTAAGTTCATGTCTCCAATTGAATCCACTCGATTGTCTGCTCACAGAACTAGTTCTCCTATAATTCAAAGATTTAGTGATTCTTTAGCACAGAAATTGGATCAGTCAGACAATGAAGATGTGGCGTTGTCTGCAAAACAAGAATTAGAAAAAACATTAAAAAAGAAAAATGAAAATTTGTCGACAAAATCGGCAGAAAGTCAAATGACTTACAAACCAAAGGAAAGAAAGACATTTAAAAAGACATTCAATTTGAATGATGAAACCAAAAGCACTGATAGTGTCTACGAATTTCTTTCCGAAGACAATAGATTGAAGAAAATGAAAAAATCACAGAAAGGCTTTCAAACGATTGACGGACAAAAACATCGAATCGATTCCCCGCTTAGAGTGAAAATGAATTTAGTCGACAAACTTGAAGATATCGAAGAACTCAAGAATGACAACAATAAGTGTAATAATGACGATAAAGAACCGAACAAAAAGAAACACAAATCTGATAAAACTCAGAGATTCGGTCTCAAGACATACGCGAAGACCAATATTAGAGCCGAAAACGTTATCAAAGGCAGACCGACACCAAACAAGAGAGACGACGATCTCTCGTGGATTTTCAATTGAATTCATATTTATAATTCAATCATATATTTAATAATTCATTTAATATTTTATTTTTGTGTTTTAATAGTTTAATAGATTATTACTCATAATTTCATTATTATTATTAATATATTAACAAATTAGATATTAGTTTGTTTAATACTTTTCTTACTTTTTTTGTTAAAATTAACAAATTCTTACATTTTTATATTTATGTTCATTTTTATGATATTTTATTTTTCATAATTCATAATTGTTAAGAAACAATAACAAAATATAATACATTTGTAATACATTTAATGTTAGTAACAAATTCAATTCAATTCAATTTAATAAAATATAATTTCAATTTAATTTGTATAAAATGTTTTGGATAAAAATCAAGCCTTAATTGGTAGCGTGTAATCAATTGTTAATAATATCACATACCTGTATATGATGTAAATATTTATTCACAATAATTTACATACATATATACTGTATGCAATATATATACATTATTATATATTATATATAAACGTATATTATATAAAACTTATTTGTTATATTTTTGCACATTAATACCGAATACATGTATTTAATAATCAATAAAGTTTTTATATATATTTAATACTTTATGTTTTATTGAAATTAAATATATTATAACTACTGTTATTAATGTGTAACAGTATATTACAAATTTATGTATAAGAAAACTGAATAATGTAAGTGTATTAATATTTTTGTCTATTTATTGTTAATTATTAACATAAGGCTTGTAATGTCATTTCATTACACAAACTTTCATAATTATTATTAATAAATGGATTCATATTATTTAAAATATTTGTTTTATTGGATATTTTGTATATAATTGGCGTTATATTAAAATTTAAAATTTAGTTGACTTTAATATAAAATTTAAAATTTAGTCGACTTTAATATAAAATTTTGGACACTGGACCTAGAAATAAAACTAAAATTGATCAAGGTAATATTTCTACAAATACAAATATGTAGTAGATTGTATATTAATTTTAGTATAATAATTTTAATTATTTATTTGTAAATATAATAATATTATAATTTAATAATAAAATTAATTATTAATGATAAATAAAATCATTAATAATTATTTTATTACTTTAAACAAAAACAATACAAACATGACATTTGTGAGAATCTGTATAAATTCTGGTGTAATAATTGAATCATTTGATAAAAATAATATCAATAATGACTAACTATTAATATAATAGAAATTTTTGTAATAATTAAATATTAATACAGGTTTCCAATACATATACTGTATTTTGTATGAGTATTTAAAAGGGTTAGAAATGACAATTTATTGTCAAAAACAAATAATTCATTATTTAATATAATTGTGTTTTGAGTAAAACTAAATTAATTTTTTATTCAAAAACAATTAGTATAATAATAAAAATGTTTAAATTAAATATATTTCCGATTGTTTTCATTCAGTTTTTGATAATAATCGGCAAACAAGTTATAACCAGTAATCAGACAGCGATGGCATCGGATAATTGGTCTCAAGTTTGTTCACAATTGCAAAGCGGTAACTATAAGACAGTTCGTCTTCAAGACTCAAAAATACGATTATTTTTTGGAGACAATTATTATACATTCACTTTGGGTGACATAAGAAGCCTACAAACGAACCAAATATCGGATCTCTTTCCCTATGATTTGAGTCCAATTCAAGAATGTTTCGAAAACAACGGCAAAACATATTATATAAGACAGAACCGACTGATTGAATATAACGGTGCAAATATCGGACAATCGCGGAGTTGGAATCCAAATCAGCCGACTATCTCATGTGTTGCCATTAGAATAAATGGTTATACCGTCGGCTTCTTTGTTCCGCCGAATTCATACAACTCGATGTCCGGTCAGAGTATGTCGTCCGCAAACAACATACAAGTAATAGCTTACGGCAGCAGTTCATCCGTTTCAATGTCCAACTATAACGGTAATCAACGATTAATATACAATGGATGGCAAATTCCCACTCAATTCAACGCTTTCGTCGCCAATTCAGACCAATCGTTGACCTTCTTTAATGGCAATAAGTATTGTATTGTCTATAAAAACGATAACTCAAATGGCTTTGTCTGGAGAGACGTCACCGCATTGTTTGGCTGTTAAAAGGCATCAAATTATTAAACATTTGTTATGAAAATTAATCACATTTTTATTTGTAATTTAATTTCATTATTATTAATAATAATATTCTTAGAAAACAAAGTATTTTTTACAATCAATTTTGATTTAATTAAAAAAATTAAATTTAATATTAAGATATAGATCAACATTAAACATGTTAAAAATAAAGCTAAACATTTAGATAAATTATTAATTTATACCTAATCTAAATACCGGTATATTAATTAAATAAAAATTTTGCTTAAATTGTAAAAATAAATATTAATTGACATTCAAACCTAATTAATACAGTAGATCTTAACTGTATTATTATTTTTTTCATATTATATCAGACAACTCATATCAATTAAATTATTTATTTGAAACTTAGTTAATTAAGCTAAGCATGTATAACATGCAAATTAAAAAAAAAAAACAATATCCAAAACTATATGCTAAACAAAAAAGAGTTCAATTCAAAAAATTAATGGTAATTATCAAAATAGGTGTATCAGTATTTATAATCAACTTAGAAATTGTCACTAATAGTAAAACAAATATCTATTATCAAATAAATTATGTTAATTAAATACCAAAAATTTGTCTTAAAAATAAATTAAACAAATTTGACATTTTTGTCTACAAACAAATTTAAAGCCAATTTATGACCAAATATTATATAAATCAATTGTTTTACAAATCACTAGAAATTTTCTGATAAATTACTTTTGAGAGCCCATCGCTAAACTAGAACCGGAAGCCGAGTTTGATGAACCAGTGGGTGTATTGTCATCGCCTCGGGAGGGCTGAGAGCACTTCACTTGAATCAAACCGTTCTTAAGCATAGCCGACCTCAAAATCAACGATTTAGTCCTTCGTTGCCATTCGCGGCCCATTTCCAGTGCTCTCTCAAATGTCACAGTCCTCTGGTCCACGTCTTTTGCATAAAGAATTTTGTTGTGGGAATCAATTCGGGCCTTAAAAATATAAAATTTTTAAAAATTCACTTAAGATAAACTTTAATCTCTTCAGTCAATACCTGTATTTGTCCTTCAAGTATAAGATGCATGAGTTCGTCCTCAAGAGAGGGAACAGTTGTATTGAAAGAGACAGACATTTTGTTCATATCGGCCGACAAATAGGGAGAAAAATATTGAACTAAAGCGCGATTTCTAATGTGTGAGTAAAGTGTGTGCACGTGTTGTGCCAAATATAGATCAAGAAGTAGATTGTCTTTGAGTTCGTCAAGAATTGACAGCGAAGAGGCATATTTAGAGTCATGAAATTTAGTGATGGCGTCTCTTAGTTGTGGCTCTAATTCAAGAAACAATTTAAATGCTGAGTTTGATATAATATTCTTTTGTAATTCCATTCTGTCAAATGTGGCCAAAGCACAGAGTCCGCCATAAATGGCCACATTGTTAGCCGAAACCATTTCTCCGTATTCAGCACTCAAGTGATCAAAATTAGCGGCCAAAAAGTGTTTGGCGGCACTCTTATACTTCTTCGAGGCCAAATCGCTCAGTCCGGCCGCACAGTGCAGTCGAGTGGCAATACTACTGGTTGTATTGTATTCGGGCGTTCCCTCAGCTTTGGTCACGTAAGTCAACACATGCGACCAGTTTTGTAAATATATGCTAACTTTGATGACATTTAGACACATATTGAGAACATGTTTACCACTCGTACAGTAATCTCTAGACCGTGAATAACATTTGAGTGCATTCGAGAGATCACCGCAATCAAGATAGTGGTCACCCAAGTCGTCGTGTCCACGCCTTATACTCTCCTTAATTGAGTTTGACTTATAGTTCTTGAGATCGGTGTCCAACTTCTCCAGTTTGAGCGCCGCTTTCTTAGTTTTTGTTTCAATCCAATTAGTATCTAACGGACCGATAGACGTCTCAACATTAGTGCCATTCATCGCCAAAGTGTCCGCCAATTTTCGGTAGATTTGTGTATAAATGTTAACATTATAAGTATTGTCTTTAACATAATTCATAGCCATTTTGAGGGCTTCGGTACGCAATGGTATGCAATGATCGGCGATAAACAACAACCGATTTATTCTGGCCAACCCTATGAAGGCACTACAGTACACCTCGAGATCGATTGTCGGATTTTCGACCAAATAATTGCCGATATTGTTATCATTGGCCCCATTGTTGACCACTTGACTGTCGCCGCCGTTGCCGTCGTTGTCATCATCCATATTGATGTCCAACACCATCGGTTCAACATTATTCATGTGATAATTATTCATTGGCATTGTCTGTCTCGGATCGCGTGCGGTGTTTACCGAAACTCTGGTCACTAAACAAATTAATTAAAACAAATTATTACTTTAATTATTGTTTTTCAAGCTTTCAATAGCTATTGAAATACAGCGACAATGCATTCAATGCATTATTCAATCGTAACACTCAATAATAACGTTCGAAAGTATGAGATAAAGGTTAGTATTTTAATGAATGTAATTATACACTAAATTTGTAAAAAAGGGAATTAAATAATTTTAACGTAATTTATGTATAGTTATAGTGAGACAACTTGTCAATGATTTTGCATTATTTCGGCGTTTTTTCAGTCAATTTGAAGACACAATTGATTTGTTTGGGATTTTAGTGAAGACTTCTGTCAAAAACAAATATCAATTGATTTGATTGTCGTTTTGTTTGGTATTATTGACAAAGTTTGACACAAAATGTAAGCATTGATTTGTTTGATCCATGTCTTCATAACTCTTTCAGATAATAAATTTAACATTTCTTTTGACATTTCTTTTGTCGGTTTTTTAAAAATGAAGTCTTCATTAATTTTTGTTGTCATCAGTTATAGTGATGTTTCGGAATCAATACGATAACGACGTGACCACTTGGTCACCACAGGGACGTCTTCATCAAGTGGAGTACGCCATGGAGGCCGTCAAACAGGGATCAGCTACGGTTGGCCTGAAGAATAAGGATACGTTTGCCATACTATTGGCACTTAAGAGAAGTACATCTGAACTGAGTGCCCACCAAAAGAAGATAATACCACTCGACCAACACGTAGGGATGACTATTGCTGGACTCACAGCCGATGCCCGTATGTTATCTCGTTATATGCGAAGCGAGTGCACAAATCAACGGTACGCTCATAACGAGGCGCTTCCCGTCAACAGATTGGTCACTAATTTGGGAAACAAAATGCAGAGTTCGACTCAACGCTATGATCGGCGACCATATGGTGTCGGCCTATTGATTGCCGGCTACGACTCGATGGGTCCTCATATTTACCAGACCTGCCCATCCGCTAACTATTTCGATTGCCGAGCCATGTCTATAGGCGCTCGATCGCAATCTGCCCGAACCTATATGGAGAAACATTTGGACGAGTTTTTGGATTGTGATTTGAATCAATTGGTAAGACATGGACTGTTGGCACTAAGAGAATGTTTGCCCAATGATATGGAACTGAACAACAAAAACGTTTCCGTCGCTGTTGTCGGCAAAGGCCACAATTTTACCGTTTATGACGACCAACAGGTTGAACAGTATTTGGCTCTCATTACCGAAGCTGAAAGAAAAGGCCGCGGAGGAGGTGTTGCACAACAACCAAGCGATGATACGACAGAGAATCCAGAGCCTCGTGTGGCTGAACCCCAGGACATGCAAGTGGACTGAATTTAATATTCAATTTAATTACTAAAATATACAACAAATTGGATAAAATTTTTTAATTTACAATAAAATATTCTGTTAACGAATTGATTGAATTTTTACTACTAAACAAAACGATACATTTTATTTGAAATAATTTTAATAATTTATATCTAATTTATTAAATAAATAAAAATATTATTACCGTAAGTAACTAATAATTGAAATTATTATAAAGGGATTATTATAGGAGAGAGAGTCTAATAAAATGAAAGTTTAAACGTATGAATGAATTTTTGAAAGCAATTATTAAAGCAATGTTTAAAAGCACGAGAAGTACAGTACGTGAGGCAAAGGATCTTCAAAAGTCTTGAATGCATTCGATTCTGGTTTTGGTTTTGTAATTCTGTCAATCATTCTATTCTTTCTTTGACTAAACTCTTCAACTGATGTTTACATTCAATTGACAATCAACTCATTCGTGTTGTCTTTAATTTGTTTTTTTATTAAACACTTCTCTGTGAGAATCAGATGGAACTCATTATCCCTAACTCTATTAGTCATCAAACAACAAGTTATGACACAACAAGTGATGGCGAGATGAGAATTCCTCGGCCGCCGAATGCCTTTATGTTGTTTGGCAAAGATTACCGCAAAGTATTGGCCACAAAGTTTCAGARCTTGTCTAATAAACAAATTAGTAAACTGTTGGGCAACGAGTGGAAGAATATGAATCTGGAAGACAAAACTAAGTATCAACAGATGGCTCAGGAGGCCCATCAACAACACCTTCAGAAATATCCAGGTTTTCAATTTAGCGCTATATTTGTTGGATTTTAATTAAATATTAATTGAAATGAAAATTAATATATAATTTAATTATTATTTTTATAGGATATTATTACAGCCCATTAGAGGCACGTCAGAGAAAAGCTGAACGAAAACGCAAGACAAGAATGTCACGAACCTATCAGCGAACCAAAGAAGAGACCGTAAATGAAAGTCCAATGATTGCGCCATTTGGTGGACACAGGTTTGTCTTTGAGAAACAAATCATTTTTCACATTTATAATAAATTCTTCATTTTTTACAATAGATTTCCATTTCATAGTCCTATCCATCCATTGATAAGACCTGTGTTCGGTACACCTATTCCTCCGCGAGTCAGGTTTGGTCAGCCGTACTTTCGGCCGCCACAACCGTTCGGCGGTTTTGCACATTTCACAAATTTTGTTTACCCGCCAACTCCAAGACCTCAACTGATTGTTTCTGTTAATAATGACCACAATTATGCGGCACAACAGTCTACTGATCAGTTGAGCGAGCATTACATTGACATCAATGAAGATGAAGTTTCTCTTGAATCGCAACCACAACAACAGCAAGAGTTTGTTTCTAATGAAATATACCAACAATTTGAGGACCAACTGCAAGATGTGTCGCAAACTACAAATCTAGAAATGCTATCAAATTTCTTGCCTCCGATGCATAATCCGAACATTGAGGTCACATCTGTCGATATCAATGGTCTCAGACATGATATTCTTTCTAATGAAGAAGTGACTAAAATGATGAACGCAAGTGTCGATCACTATGTGAATCAATATATCAAAGAAGAACCCATTGATATGACGACAATCGATGATTAGATGAATATCAGCGAAGAAATTGTTAGTAAAACTTTAAAAATAGTGATTGTCAGCCAAAAAGACTTTAAATACTTGTTTGAGATTTTTTTATATAAAAATTAGTTATATATTTATATAATTATTTTATTTATACATTTTTTCATTTATTACTAGATTTTATTGATATTATATTTAATTATATAATTCCTATTTTTGTGTTATATAATACATTGCATATATAATGTATTTATGTGTGAAAATATTGTTCAATATTATTTCAATGTTACTGATTTTTTCTGTAAAAATAAACGTTTAAATATTTATATAATAATTATAATTTTTGTTGAGATATAATTTAATTATATTAAAAAATAGTTTTATTGAACACCAAAGACATGGCCTTAATATTATCGTTACGTATATTACCTTAAAATTTCAAAGTTATATCAAAATATGGGAAAAGGCCTTCTCTTTAGATATAAAAATCATAGGAAGTGATACAATAGTATCATATTATTTATTATTAATAACCATTAAAATTTTGTTAAAAGTTTATGAAAAACTATACTATTTACTTGTTTTTCTCAAAATTTTGATGCAATATTTAAAAGCTATTATAAGTTTTTTTTATAGATTTATGCTATTGTTTTTAAAGATTATAATAATTTTGAAAATAGGCTAAAGTATCTAAAAAATAATAAAATCATATAATTATTATTAAAAGATAACTATTGAAAATGTATGATATAATCAAAATAAATTAAATTAAACCTACGATTAAAAAGTTAAGGACGAGATATTTAAGTGTTTTTTTATACACAGAAAGTCTCATTGAATTACAATTGATAGCAATACAAGTGGGCGTTAATATAGCTAAAGGCATAACACATACAGTAATAGAGTCACACATTAGACACCAATTGACTCTCGCATTGAATGAATGAATGAATGAATGAATGACACAATTGATTGCTTAAAACACAAACACTGTGTTTACGTATCGCTTATGTTATCAAACAAACACATTATGTCAACAAAGAGATACCATTAAGTAAAGAGTTATCATTGAGACCATCGGTGACCAAATAAAAGAGTGATTGTGTGACCACATCATCCATGTGTCGATTGTGTTGTTAATAATCTGATGAGTAGTGACAACAGTGATGGCAATATCCATAACAGATATCTGCGAGAACACCAAAATGGGTCGAGAGTTTGCACTTCTTGGCAATTATGAGACGGCACTCGTCTACTATCAGGGAGTCGTCCAACAGATCCATAGATTATTACAGACCATCAGTGATGCCAATCGAAAGGAGAGATGGCAAGAGGTTTGTCACCAAATTATTAATAAAAAGTGAATGATTTTCTATTTATATTTGGATTATATAATGATATCATTTAATAGATCCAACAGCAGATCGCACAGGAATACGAAGCGGTTAAAGATCTGCAGACAGTGTTATTAGGATTTAAAGGAGACAGACATAACACACGACCGATTAACACAAGACATTCGCCACAGTTTGGAGGAATATCGGATGATATCAATAGTGATGGTGATTATTGGCCGCCATCGTCACCGCGAGAGCCTGATGTATGGCCGGCACCGACTCCTGTTGAACACAAACCGGGACCACCGGTCAAACAGAGACAATCGCGACGAGAAAGCACATCATTGGGTAATAAAAGTGGTCGCGAATCGTATCCGAGTGCTAGTCGTTCGTCTGCCGTTAAGAGCGGACCGAAAAAGGGTCAAAACAACGACACAAAGAGTTCTGGAAATAAAAGTACTGATCAAAGGAAGAAAAGTGAGAGTATTGGAACAGATAAAGAGGAACCAAAAGAACGAAAGTTTGACTGCGCTGGTCCTGACAATGAATTGGTAGAAATGCTTGAACGAGATATTCTTCAGAAGAATCCGTGCACTAATTGGACAGATATTGCAGCGCTTGAAGAAGCGAAACATTTATTGGAAGAAGCGGTAGTGTTGCCGATGTGGATGCCTGACTACTTTAAAGGAATACGTAGGCCATGGAAGGGTGTATTAATGGTTGGTCCTCCCGGTACCGGAAAAACAATGCTCGCAAAAGCTGTGGCCACTGAATGTGGAACAACATTCTTCAATGTTTCCTCTTCGACATTGACATCGAAATATAGAGGAGAGTCAGAGAAATTAGTGCGACTGTTGTTCGAAATGGCCAGGTTTTACGCGCCGTCCACTATATTCATCGATGAGATCGACTCTCTCTGTTCACGTCGTGGCTCTGACACCGAACACGAGGCCAGTCGTCGAGTGAAATCAGAATTGTTAATACAAATGGACGGTATTAACAACAACGACGACCCGACTAAAGTGGTAATGGTATTGGCGGCCACAAACTTTCCGTGGGATATCGATGAAGCACTTCGACGAAGACTTGAGAAACGCATTTACATTCCGTTGCCTAATGAAGATGGAAGAGAAGCACTGCTTAGTATAAACCTGAAAGAAGTAGAGAAGTCTCCCGCTTTGAATATCAATGATATAGCGCTTAGACTTGACGGGTATTCGGGCGCCGATATAACGAATGTGTGTCGCGACGCCTGTATGATGTCTATGAGGCGCAGGATTGCCGGTTTGACACCCGAACAGATCCGCAGCCTTTCCAAAGACGAACTCGACCTTCCCGTAAGTCCGGCTGACTTTGAAGAGGCCATCCGTAAGGTTAATAAGTCGGTGTCGGCTGAAGATCTGAAAAAGTATGACAAATGGATGGCAGAGTACGGCTCAATGTGAGAGCCTGTCGTCCAATTCGTACAACAAATCAATTGTTTGTTGAATTACTTAATTTTTTAAAAAGCAAAATATTTTAACTAATATTTAAACAAATATATATTTATTTGTTTTTTAATTTATAAATCATATATTGTTTAGCAAATTATGAGATTTATAACTTATTATTCACTAATATATATATATATATATATATATATATATATATATATATATATATATATATATATATATATATATTATTTAATGTTTTTATTTAGTAATAGATTTTATAAAATAGTTTTTTCAATGAATTGTTGTTATTTACAATTACATTATATTTATAAACCATAAGACTTTAAATATGATGAGAATTAGGGGTAATATTTTTGTTGACTAAAAACCAATACTCTCTTTCTTGTTTAGGCCTTAATTTTGAGCCTTAATTACAATTAATAAACCGATTATTTTGTAAAACATTCCCAACAAATAAATAAATCAATAAAATATTTTATCACTTAAAATAAGTCCAATTTAAATATATATATAATTTAATAAAATTAAAGTTAACATTAATTGGCTTTTTTGGTAACTTTCTTGACATTCCACGCAAACCATAGTTTAATTGAGAAGAACAGCTGAAAGAGGTGCACCTGAAGAGCCACAACAAGAAATGTGTACCAAATGAGTGCCACCGGTAAGCCGTTCCACACTTCTTTGACTTTCGATAGATCTCGGGTCTCAATGAAGTTCCACAAGTCATTGAAATAATAGACCGCCGCATATAAGACGGGAAGTAATGACAAAACGAATGTCATAATTGCATAAAACCTAATTGAAGACAAATTATTGGTCCGAAGCGATGACAACCCGAATACCGATAGGACAACACTCGACGCCCATAACCACTCCCAGAGTCGCGGCTTCGGTATGTATAGCTCCTGAAGCTCTAATATGAAGATATCCAGTCTGTCCAATATGTCATCCAAGAGCTTACACATCAGCACAAGAAAGAGAATATAATGAAGAAATATACAGAACTTGAGGCGAGACTTATTCAGTGCACTAAAAGATCACATCATTGAACAGTTAATTAATGTTTTCAAGAGATGAATAAATATGATAACTGTCGACCAAATACCTGATCTGATAGTGTTTAGCGACGGTCTGTCTGTGGCCGAAATCGCTGCCATCAGTTCCGGTCACAACACGACCCTTGGATGACATGAGTGATGTCGGCGAGTGATTTGAGCGAACTATCAAATGATGATTATTATGATTTTGTGATGTGATCTCAATTGTTCACAAAAATAGCACATCCAGTGATCGATGACTTCACACACATGTATGCCATCACTGAATGCAGAGACACTCCGTGTCATACATTGTCACAACTTTTTATTGTATATATCTATCAATTTAAATGATGGCTTATTATCATCCAAATGATCACTAATTAATTGTTTTCACATAAAATTAACATTTAATGCAAACTAAAATATATTTTACAATTATATTATTATTGTGTATACATTGAAAACCCTAAATATCGGTAATAATACTAATATTTAGTTTTAAAAAATAATAAAATTTTTAAATTATTTTTAAAAAAAATGTGTTTTCAGAAAACCAAACTAATAAAACTTATAATTAATTTAATAAATTGCAAATTATGATACTATAAACTCAATATTTCAATTACAGAAAAAATGTATTATCTGATTGTGTGTTAAATATTTGAGTAAAAATAAATTATTGTTAATTTTTTAATAACTAATAATAGTGGAGTTTTCATGTTTAAAATAAAATGAAATAATTCAATTGTGAATAGTATATAATAATAATAACTAATTTTGTAAAAAATCATTATACTTTATAAAAAAATAAAAACTGTGTCCAATGGTTTAGTAGACATCATTAGTTTTCTTAGTTTTACTTCGTTTACTGGCAATTATATCTGTGTTTCCATTTGACGGTCGTTTGCCGGAACCGCTCGGACCAACATTCGGTCTCTGAACTTTAGATTTGGCTAACAAGGACTTATCGGGTGGTCCGCCGATAGTTCGTTGCTGTTTTCCCGAACCAGTTAACAATGGATGCGTTTCTGTAAATACATAATTATTGTCAATAGAAATGACACAAACAAACCAAATAATTCAAACCATCTTTAGGTCCTTCTTTGAGGTCAATGTCTATTGTCTTAGATCGGCGTGATTTTGTAGGTGTCTCCACACGTGGTGTAGGAGTGGTAGATACGGGCACTTCGCCTTCGGGTTCATCGATATCGGGAGAAATTGGAAGATATATCAAAGCGTTTTGATCATCTTCTTCTTCGTCACTAATTTTTTTAAGTAATGAATATTTTATTGATTAAAACCCAATTTTATTATTATTAAAAACTATTAAAGACCTGCTAAGAAATGCATGGATAGTATGCGGAGTAATCACATCAACGACATCAATGTCTTCATCTTCATTGTCTTGAGAAACTCTGGCCGGAGTTCTGTCCTCGTCTTCGATATCAAATTCTGACTCTCTTTCCTCATATTCGACATTTTCATCCAATTCCTTAAAATCGGGCGCAAATGCCGACCAATTTTCTACCTGTGGCTGAGCCCAGATTGATACGACACCACTTGATATACTGGCAATTATTGGTCGTATGGGATGCCACTATCAAACATATTATGAATTACAGAAAAAATCATAAAAATGACTTTTAAAAATCATCAAAAAAAACTAACCACAACATCTAAAAGAAGTTCGCCTTTAGTTCCGTGCAATATCTTAACGAGAGTTCCAACATTACGTTCCCATACATAGAGAGCGTGTTGTCGGGCAGAACCGGCACAGATATAGTCAGCGTCGGGTCCACCAGAAAAGCAACACTTCTTCCACATCGTCTTATTTACTAAATCCTGAAGTTTCTGAATGGGTTCCGGTTCGCCATTTTTGCCGCAACACAACACTTCATTTGTCTCATAGACCCGAATCACTCTATCAGCAGTACTGACCAGAAATATATCTTTCTTTCGGGGAGCAAATTCTATTTGTTTGACCGCAGTGTTGGACACTCGAAATGATGCAATTACTGTCAAATTAGTAATATTTGGACCAACTTTGACAACAAGTATCCTTCCCTTTGCATTACCGGTGTATATGTATTGACCTCTTTTGTCAAATGAGGCAACAATATTGAGATCCGGATCGTCGTCTAGAGGAACCATTACATGAGTTTTTGATGACACTGTTATCAAATGTTAACAAAAATAATAATAATCATTTAATGCTAAGACATAATAATATCATCCAATTATTACCTTCTTTATGAGGAATGAAGACAACTATAGCCGCGTGTTTTAGCGGACAAATCAAAATCATTTTATCGTTTCGTGGATTGAATTGAACGCGAAGTATGGGTGAAAAGAAACGCCACCGAAGGATACACTCACTCGTCAACACATCCCACACACAGACAGTATTATCAGTTGAAGCACTGACCAGTTTCTGGCCATTTCGGGACCAACTGTCAAATTGAGATCAGATACGAATAGATTAGCAAATATAGTCTTAAAATGATTACCAATTAGTAACCAGACCTAAGTGAACAAACAGGATGTACGTGAGCTGATATAATTTTGGCCATTCCTCGGGTCAAAAAATCCCAAATAACGATACGGCCGTCATTGCAGCCGACGGCCAGACAAGTGCCGCGTCGGTTAAAAGCACAGGTTAGTGCCAATGATATGCAGTCAAGCGCTCCATCAAACTCTTCGGGATAGTTCTGCCCGAAGTGTTCCAAGAGTTCCAAATTCATGGCCCGAAAAGTGGTCACCGATTTGGACCACAAATTGATTGAAAAGTTTTTTTTGAATTCAAAACAAATGATTCACAAAATGTTTGGTTTTCTCGACTGAGTCTGCGTTCAGATATTCAGTCACAGTATTGGCACTCAATTTAAATCAACTTTTCATTGCTTTTATTAATCAATAATTTCTATTGAATTCATTTAACACTTGTTATCATTTAATTGAAATTAATTTTATTAAAAAATTAACTTATTTTTTATGAAATTTTAAAAACAATTTTACATATTTATAGCAATTTTATCTGTTATATGAAATACTTTTAAAGTGTATCTATAGTACAGTATTTGTATATAATTGATGAGAAAATTCAATGTAATTATTATTGTAGTAGATTTTGACATTAATTAACTTTTAATATTTTTTGAGATATCTCCTTAAGCTTATAGTAAATACAGATACAACAAAATTGTATTAATAGTACCAATTTGTTAACGTAATTAAAATAAATGTTGAGTTCAACTTGTTTTTATAAATATTATTGAAATACAAGTCACATATTAAAAAAAAATATTTCTTATAAATTAATAATTAAATTTAACTTATAATTTATATATATATATATTCTAACTACAATAAATAATAATGTTTAAAAGTAAATTTAGTTAAAATTAATCAATTAAAAATTAACAAAATTGATGAACAAATTAATTTAATGTTATCAAAAAATAATAATAATATTAAAATACTATACATTCATTGGATTATTAAAAAATTACATAAATATTTAAATAATGATTTAATGATAGATTAACGATATATTCATAATTATATCCCATGTCTTCAATAGTTGCGATACGTGTCGGTCAACACTTTCCATACGTTGTTCTCTGCGGTCAAYAGAAACGATTCGGTGAAACTTCGGGTAACATTTGAGGCAAACTTCATCTTTCCGTTGCAGACAACGGTTATGCAAATCTGTTGTCCGGCGGCCGCCTCGAGAACGGGTTGAGCGTCAATAGAGAACAGCTGTGTCTCGACGGTGGGCAACGACTCGTAAAACGTTACGGCATTTGCTTTGCCGGTCACGGGATTGCCATTCCAGAGGACATTTGCCGACTCATGAAACAGTTGACCCATTGTGTGTCGGCCTTTGTCCAGCTTTTCRTAGAATAGTTCGGCGAATTTCTTGCCGTCATCGCAGCCCTGAGTGATACGTAGCGCCGATGCTGTCGACGATGAACCAGTCGATGGCGATGTTAAATGTGTGGCCATTATGTGACCAATCAATCGGTCGGACAATCAATTGACGGACAACTCTGTCACTTGAATATCACGTTTACTTGCATTTCATTGATTTAACTAAACATACATTACGTCAATAATCATGAGTTTAATTATTTTAATTTATTTAAATATAATAATCAAATAAATGTTTTAGAAATAAAAAATATATAATTTACTAATAATTTACTTTTAATTAAAAATTTGTTAATAATATTAATTTCAGATTTAATTATATTATTTAATAATTTATTAAAATATTATAATTATTGGACGTAATTGACGACCACTAGTAGTAAAGCGTGTGTTTGATGTAATAATTGCAATCATTTTTGAAAACACCGATTGTTTTGTTGGCCACTCTTTGACCTCAACCGACACATATCCCGTGTGACCAGCGATGGACAACAAGTTAACGGGCGCTCAGAAGGAGGAGCTGATGGATACAGTCAAACAACAGATAGCTGTGGCCAACGCTCAAGAATTACTAAAAGTTAGTTATTATTTGAGATTTGTTGTCAATAATAATAAACCGCTATTTAATGGAAATTGAAAATTATTTTTACAGAAAATGACCGAAAAATGTTTTAATAAGTGTATTACCCGACCGGGAACATCATTGGACAACTCGGAAACGGTATCTATCTATTWGTGAYATCTGTCCGACCATTAATTATAGTTTTCTTTGATTTTTTTGTGGTAAGAAATGTCTTAATCTATGTGTTGACCGTTTCGTCGACGCCTATAACTTGACGACCAAAGCCTACGGTTCGCGAATCCAAAGAGAAAAAGGACTGTTTTGAGGCCAACCCTAATACTTAGCAAACATACCGTTCCTCTCACTTAAGTGTTGTGTTAATTCATGCGATACTAAAGCATTGAAAAACTATTTAGTTTTTTGTTTAACTTTTCAAAAGTAATTAACATTAGATTTAATTATGTAAATGAGTTAATGAGTTGACATAACTATTAAAGAGAAACGATTTTATAGTCTTTAATAATTATTTTGTCGTCAATTTTGTGTGTCATAACAATTGATGTGTTTTATGTGTTAACAGTTATGAGATATAAGTGCCATAAATATAATCGGTAATTATATTCCCAATTGGTATCACAAACACACATTCAATTGTTTGTATAGTTAGTTGTTTAAAATATTTTTAATAAATTGCAAACTCAAAAATAGGATTATTATATTACAATTATATTTACATATAATTTTTAGAAATTATCGAAAAATGTATATTAAAATATCGTGCATTTAAATGTATGATTTTTTAATATTAGAAAAAAATAGTAAAATTATTATGGAAAAAATATTTATTAATTATTTTGATATTACTTTGAATTTATATAAATACATAATTATATATATATAGCGAAAAAATTACAATAAACTATTTGAAATTGTTTACACAATTGAAATATAAATTTATATTTTCAATAAAAAAAATAAAATTCAACTTTTAAATATAATATATAATTGTTCAAAAACAGATTATAATCAATTATTTAATATTAAAAAAATAAAATTATGACCTCTTTTTCATTATTTAAAATAACATTTGAAAAACTAATAAAATAAATATTTCAATCAATATGGCAAGTGATTTATTTTATAAGTTTTATAAGTTATTGATGAAAATAATAATACAGTTTAACTATTTATCATTATTCTAATATCTCTTTGAAAAAATCAATTTTCAAACTAATAATCACTGAAAGTGCGCCCAAAAAAATAAGTTATAATACTATTTTTATAATAATAATTATAATAATTTTAGTTGTATTTTTTACATACTTTCCTAATTTTATTGTATTGTTATTTGTAAGGAAATATTTTAATGGGTTTTTATTTTTAAAAATACAATAAATAAATAAATATATATATACTGTATATTTTGAAAAAACTTGGGAAAATATTGTTCGCGTTTTTTTTGCATTGTATTTAAATCCTATTTAAATTAAATATATATTTACTTATATTATGTGATCTTATTTTCGGTAATTCACATAATGAGTAGTGAATAATTTAAAAATAATATTTAATATTATTAACAATAATATAATACTGATTTTTGTTGAAAATTCTGACTTTTTTTTATAAAACATCAAATCGAGTCACGAATTGGTTATTTAAATACAATCCATATATAGTATAATTAGTATCTCTTATAGTATTGTATTTCTTATGATAAACTATACTAATAGCTCATGAAATACCTGTATATATCTCTGATGTACTGATTTTTTAACTAAAAAAAATTATAAATGCTGTAACTGATCTATTAGTATTGCAATTGATTTATATTTTGAAATGATTATGTAATTTAAAGGCAATTTTAAAAAATTATTTACATTTTAGGCGACAATTCGATAAAATATTGAAATTAATTCATTGATAATTTGTAATTATGTTGGAATGCATCGGAAATGAATTGCTGGCAATCGTTATGTTAACAAAAATATATTATATATATATATATATATATAACTTATTAATCTTAAGATATTTTTAAAAACGTAATTAATATCAGTTTATATCAAATAAAATGATCCCAAAAGGAAAACAAACAAATGAATAAATAGTAAACTTATGATTAAATATCTTTTTAAAAATAGTAATTATAATTAAAAAGTTTGTTATAATAATAAATCAAATAAAAAAACGATTAGTTACTTGTTTTTTCAACTAAATACACAAATATTGAAATAAAATATAAATAAAATTAAGTGGTAAACAACTTTTTTTCGCTAAACAAAACTTGATTTTCACATATATATTGTGTGCGATTTTGTTTATTTGTTGTGTGTGTGAATGCAATGATATATAGCTTTTCTTTATTTATTATTTTAAAACCTATTAAAATCGGTGACCACACATCGGACCATCGGGTAGTCATAATCATACCGTTGTAGTCAGTTTGCGTAGTCGGTCGATCTCGATCTGAAGAGTGGCCAACTTTTTGCGTTCGTCCGCCACGTCGTTAATGAGATCTTTGATTACTTTACTATACGACTGTTTTTGCGTTTCAACCATCTCTTTAAGTTCAGTCACCTATAGATTTCAAGATTTTTTTTTATTATTATTATTGTAAATATAAGTTTTTCTCAGTTAATAAAATAATAATAATTTATTCTCCTCTCAAAATATCTATTGTCTATATTATGTATTTATTTATTCAATTCATTCATTCACTCATTTTTTTTATTTGTATTTGTTTTTCTCAAATAAATTGAATGAAATAAAAGACAATTAACATTGAAATTTGTTGAGACAGACAAACCTAATATTTGGAGATTAAAAAGCGTTTCAAATAAATAAATGAATGAATGAATAAACAATGAATTGAAACGATTGACTGTTCGCTACAATCAGTTTATGTTCTCAATTGAAAGACAAGCGTTTCAAATGTATCTTTGATTATGTATAACAACAACAACATCGCTAACTAGTGTTTTGAGTTTTTTTTGTTGGAAAAATTAATGTCAAAATGTATGTGAAATATTTAATAATAGACTTTACAAAGTGTGTGTGTATATGGTATGTATGTATGTGTAAGTGTGTGTCAATAATATATATATATTATATAATATATAAATGACAGTAAATACCTGTTTAGCCAACTCTTCAAAATCTTTTCGACTAACTGTCGACTCTTTCAACACTCGAACTTCTTTCTCTAATTCCGTGATTTCTTTCCTATCAATCGCCGAATTATTGGCACTTTCTTCGGCAACTTTAGACATTGCACTACTTGTTGTGGCTGAAGATGCGGAACTGATGACTATATTAGTTGTTTTATTTGATTGTATGTTTGATGTCACAGTCGGCGGCGGTGGCGTCAAAGTTTCACTGCCTGTCGATGATGTGACACTACTAGTGACTGGACTCGATGTCACATTGGGTTTGGTTGACTTCACGGGTTTAAATATATGTGAAGTAGTTGTCATCGAGTCGTCGAGTCTTTCAGAGTCGCCAATAATCGATGTTTGTAGCAGTGATTTATTACTAAAATCACCCGAAAATCTGTTGGGATTTTTTGTGGGTGAATTCAAGCCTACTTTGGAAGAGTCGTCGGGATTTTCTTTACGTTTTTCCTGTGCTTTCCTCAGTTCCATCATCCATGGTGGTAATTTATCAACCTTTTCAGGAGGTGATTGTGACAGTGAAGATGGTTTTGTTAGGTCGGTCTGGTGATGGCTATTACCATTTGTCTCGACTTTATTTGTTATTGATATGTAACCCGAAGAGATGTCTCCGTTCTCTTTAGACTCTTCACCAGTTTCTTTAGGTATAAATATAGTGGATGGCGGTCGTCGAGATGATGGCCCCTTTGCACGGTTTGCTGTTAAATGTGTTAATGGTTTACTCGTTGAATCCATAAAATTACTTTCATTGCCATTATTGGTCACATTTGCTTTATCAGTGTCTTTATCTAAATTTTTATTTGATCCGTTTTCATGCGGTACTACATCTGGTTTAATAGATGAAGATGTGGGGGTTGTATCTGATTTTGGCTTCGATTGAAATAATGACGAATTCAATACTTTTGGCTTTTTTCCGGGTATTACCGGTGCTGATGAAGAACTACTATTAGAAGCGACACTGGGTTTTGGCACCTCTTCTGATGGTTTATTAGTTATACTCTTATTTATCTCTGAAGAGATTGGTTTACTTGGAATTGATTTGGATGTATTTGACGAGTTTTGACTGCTGTTCGGTGGCTTTTCAGTTGGTCTCTCAGGTTTTTTGACACGTGATGTTGAGTTAGCCTCATCGGGTACTCTAAGCATTTCAACGAAGTTATCGGGAAAGAGTGCGATGCGGCCATTGAGCTCACCCTTCCACCAGCCGACGTCTTCAATATCTTTTGATATAATATTAATGATTTCGTTTTCTTTTATGGTAAGTTCGTCTTCATTCTGAGCTTCATAAGCAAACAATACTCTCGCCTGTTCTCTAACAGGTTTCGGTGGAAGTTTTGGTGCCACTTCAGGTTCAGAGGCGGGTGCGGGCGGAGGAGGCTTTTTTGGCAAATTTTTATTGCGTTCGAGAGAAGTGTCGCCAATCGGTGAAAGTTTGGGTTTAATACCGCCGGCAAAAATGTCACCAAAACCTACTTTGGCAATAGGTTTTGGTTTCTTCTCCAAACTGTCGTCTCTATTGAGCGATGATTTTGAGCCCTCGACAGAGTCACTGTCGCTTTTGTCGGCCGTCACATCTTTTTTGGTAATTTGTGGCGAATCGACAGTCATTTCGATGACAAAATTAGATGGAAATACACCAGTAATACCTTTCGATGAAACACCTTTCCACCAACCTTTTAGAGGTTATATATATATATATAAAACAGTAATTAATAGCAATTCATTTATTTGTTTTACAAATTATTTCACAAAAAATAAACTAAAACGACAAAAACCTTCTTCGATCTCTTCCAACACTTCAATAATTTCGTCGACGTCGAGCTTGAGTTCGTCTTCGTTTTGCGGCAAATAAGAGTAAACAACTTTACATCGACGAGACTTCATCGCTGCAAATGCTTAACAAATGCATTAGATTTTCAACCAATAAATTCACAAAAAACAACAGTTTAAAAATTATAATTAAAAACAATATAATGTTTTTGTTTTAAAACTGAACACAAATTATTAAAAATAAATATTTATAATTATTATGATCACAAATAATGGTAACACATATTAGCAGAAATGATAATCAAAAATATATTATTTAAGCACTCGTTTTGAAAGTATATAAAATATAATTCAATCGATATTCAAATGTTAAAAACACAACACTTTTGGCAAACAAAACGAGTTTTCGCTGAAGACGTGACAGAAGAAAAAAATAATATTTTTCTTTTAGGATAACTAAAGAAATAAAGAGATAAAAATCAGTATTAGATTTATATTAAAATGCAATTAATTTAAATATATTGCATCAATTGGTCATCAATAGTATTAAACAGACATTAATAAGACATCAATATAATGTTAAGGAAATGATTGATCCGACGATAAGATAGTGACTCAAGAAATTGTATGTATTGGTAAAGACAATGAACGCTTAGCTAACTATTGACTCATATATATATATATAACTCGTCCGACACAGTGATTGTTTAGTGTAACAGATATAGTGGTGATAATCACTTGAATACAGGAGACAATCACTTGAGTCCTCAAATGAGGTCAAACACAGCACTGCACTCAACAACAAGTCGTGAATCCGGATCTCTATTTAGCCATCAATTTGTTGTTTTCAAAGCATTCATTCATTTATATAACACTTTAGCACATAATTCAAGACATCACACACTTGTTATGGCTTGAGATTGCCATCAATGGTAAAGACAAACTAAAAAATTCATAACAATAATGCATTCAATAGCCAACTAATAACTAATTTTCAATGCTATTAATCAATTCATTTTCAATGTCATCAAACAAAACATTGTTTTTCAATTACATCCCAAATAAATGCCAAACAATTATTGCCTTAAAAAACAACAACATTTGGGTTTTACTAACCAATTGATTCAATAGTAATACACTATATATTTACTAATTATTTATATCATATATACAGACCTTTAATTTGATTAGTAGTCAGAAAGTAGAGTCATATCATCAATAAATACAACAAAAATTGTTGTAAACACCGATACTTTATATCAAAATTAGGTAATAATTATTATTTAGTTATTCATTGCTAAATCATAACAACAATAATAGTAATAATGTATGAAATGGTGATTTAAAAACTATAGTATTATTATTATTATTATTATTAATAAAATGATAATAAATGCGATCAACAGTGGAATGCATTCAATACAATACAATAGAATGCAATGCTATCTCTCTCTCCATGACTTCAATTGAATGACAGACTTATTGTGAAATCAATGCAAACGTAACGTCAAGAGTCTTGAAAAATAAAACACAACACTATTCTCAATATAAATACTCAACAAAACATTGCATACACTATACGCTCACTATAACTAACGTTATGTTATGTTATGCTATATTCAGCCAACAAATGTATCGCTAGTTTTCAGCCCAACAGTGATAGGCGTCACTTGTTTTGCACGTCAACTATGTATTAATATATTATACAGTACTGTATATATTGTAAAACCACTTGTGCTGTACTTTTTGCAACTTTAATTTTTTTTAAAAAAAAGCTAAAAACTTGCATCGGTATTATAGCTATATATAGATTTTTTTCAATGGTAAAACCTGTAGAGCCCAGTTGGTTGGCCCGTTGACTGTCCTCTCAGTGAGAAAAAAATCACACATAAAAATGTCAATTTTTACTTCACTTATAGCTTATTAACCAAATGAATGTCTTTTTTAGGAAATGTTTTAACTTATTGACTGCAACTCTGTTTATAATCTTATAAAACAAATGTTTTACAAAACTATATAATTATTATTAGATGACAGGATAGGGATGTAATGTGACATTTTAAGACTATGTATAATAAATTAATTGTTTTCCTTATGTAATGGGAAATGACTAATTTTATAGTAATTTTCAATTGACTATTAAAATAGTACTAATAAAAAATGAGAAACCGATAAAATTATATCAAACTGTATCAATCAGTTTCAGTATTAATCAGTTAACAAAACTAAAACAATTATTTGTTCATCAATTGTGATATCACTTGTATTAGATATAAAAATATATTGTATACTAAATTAATATATAATTTTCTAGTTTTATGCCTTTTATTTGAGTCATTCATTAAGTAAATTTGATGCCAAATATATTTATAAATTAAAGACAATTTAAATCCCTTAATAAGCCAGACCTTCAAATTCTTTGCCAAATAAAGTTATTGTTTGCTTTTATCACATCTTTATATTATATTTAGTTATGTATTATAATATTATACCACAGTATACGGGGAACGGCATTTAAAAAGGAAAGTTGAGTCATTAAATTATGTATACATTATTTCAATAAGTTTTTTATTTGTCATATTAGCACAACTTTCTCTCGTTTTTGATATCATTTGAAATAATTATGAGAACTGTATGGATATATAAATTTTTATACAAATTGCTATGATTTGTGTGATAATAAACAACATAATAAAAACACTTTAATTCCTATTTATTATAGTATTTTTAATGTGACTTTATATATATAAATATATATAACGTGATAAGAAAAATAACATTTTCAATAATTTTAATGCAACTGATTATATTTAATTACTTATTCATGTTTAATTATATAGTATCATATGTTTTTTATAACTGCAAATTTTTTCTTGTTTTTTATTTAAAATATAAAAACATTAAATTTATAATTTTATGTAAATTGACGCCTCAGTTATCTATTATATTTTTATAGGTAATATAAAAGTTTAATTTTTTGAAAAACATAATAAAATTTATCTTATATACGTATTCATATAAATTAGTTTACAAAATATTTTGTAATTTTTAAAAAATTTCATTATAAACTTCTGTAATTTTATAATATTCAATAAAGCGTTAAAATAAATGCAGATGTCTTATAATTGAATGGGACTTAAATATAGTAAATGTTTTTAACATACTTTTTCGCAATACAAAACTTATCAATAATATTATGTATATAAACCTCAATAAATAAACCAATTATTGCAACGAATATAAAAATATTATATAATACTGTGTATATAATATAATAATAAATAATTTTAATTGAATTTATCTTTTAAAAATAAACTATTGTTTGAGTTATATATACATAAATACATAAATTTAGTTAAACTTTTTTTCGTAAATTACTTACTTTCCCTTCGGTTAAATAAACATAAAATTGAAAAAACTCGTTAAAATAGTTAAATAATATTCATTACTATTATGTTATTTGTTTTGACAGAATGGGAACAAAAAACTTTTATATTATTATATATAAAAAGTAGTCGTATTATTGTTACACTCTGTTATAAATTATAATTATATTATTGTTAATTTATTAATAGAAACAGGCATTTAAACAATAGTAAAACATTTGTCTCTCATATAATATACGGGTATTTAATACTATTAATAATAATAATAAAATTTATTAATAATAATATGTTATCTAATCTAATATCCCAACAGTTTTTGATTATATTTTTTGATATCATCGAAAACCTGTGCCTTAATGTTAGTATTGGCGGTGATATCAATGGACAACTTGATTGACTCATTGATCGATAAGATATCCTGGAGTTTATTCTCCAGGATTTGTAGTTTTTTATTGATATCGTTGTTATCGATACTGGTTTCCAGTGAATCCAACCGTGTCTTTAGCATTTCATTAGTCGTCTCCAAATCGGATGACTTGGAGTTTGACTCTTGTTTTTCCTTTTCAAGTCTCGACAGTTTCTCTTCGATTTCCGCTTTTAATTTCGGTATATCCGAGTATTTTTCGATATCTGTCTCCAGACTCTTGATCTTAGAGCGCAATGAATCCATTTCTGATCCAATCTTTGACTCTAACTGTTCAATCTTATTGAAATCCAGTTCTAGTTTTCGTCGTTCATCTCTTAACGACTCTATGGACTGCTTTCCACTGACCGGTCGACTCCTTTCTCCGTCATTGGTTTCCCTTTCTTTTGTATTACCGCTGAGATTGTCGATATGGACTAAACATCGCGACAATCTTCCGGTCACTTCATTGATCTCATCGCCCATATTCTCAATTTTGTTCAATTCTTCATTTTTATTTTCTCCAAAATCGTTCAAAAACTGATCAATTGTTTCCTCTTTTTTCTTGAGTTCTTTATACTTAAGAGTTGCGCCAACGTCTTCATATGTCTGCAGTTCACTATTGATGTCTTGTATTTGCTCTTTAATGGCTGCAATTTTCGACTCCATAACTGATATCTCATTATTATCTCTCTTCACTTGAGCCAAAAGGCGTCCCCTTTCGTCGCCAGAATTGGTGTTTTCGGCGACCAAATGATTGCGTTGTTTCTCCAGTTCCCTAACTTTGGCCATTGATTGGAGTATCTCTCGACGAATCAATGAATTGCTATTTAGAGAATTGACTTCAATTTTGTTTTTCTTGTCTTTCCAGACATTGATCTCAGACTCCAATTGTTCGCAATGAAGACCTAATTTCTCATTGGATTTTTCTAGCGTTTCAAATGTCTTATTATCTTCAGGAGTGAATTGTCTCTTCAGATTAATCCAATTATTTTGAATTTGTTTCAATTCATTTTCATAATTAACAATCAATTCTTCTTTCTTTTTCTTTTTTTCATAACTTAATTCAAGTCTTTCGGTGTACTCTTCGTTCTGCAATTTCAATGCTTTTATATCTTCTTTGATTTCATTTTCGTCTTCTTTAAGTCTGAGCCTATCATTGAATTCGTTATAAATTCCTAATTCATGTGACATTTCCGCCAACTCTTTGGCCAATGTTTCTGCCTTTCGATGATAGACACCAATACGTGATTCTTCGTTAGTCATAGAATCACAGTCTTTGCTAAGTGAAGCCATTTCTGCACTCAATTCACTGATCTTAGACCTCAATAAACTTATATAATAGCTTTTGTCCTGAACCTGACGTCTAAGACTTGATTTACCTCTCGATGATTTCGGTGCCATTAGTCCCGTAGAAGTGAGTGGTCGAGTGCTGCCCGTCATTGGCCGACTCGTAACGGGTCTTTGGCCGACTCTTGAAGATAATATTCGTGAACTTAAATCCATATCTAAGTGATACAGATTAGCTAAATATGTAAACTGTATGTTATTTTATTGATAATATGATAATTATATTAATTGATATAAATGTTTGTTTTTGAAATAGCAATCAAAGTAGTAGTCATAGAGATCGTGGACTAAGATCGGTGTTCAATGAGACGGCACAGTCGTAATCGTTGTGCTCAACAAAAATGTCTTTATTATTAATCCTCTAATAATTATTGATTATATTATTTCATATGAAAATTGTCATTAAGTTTTAAAGTAACCTTTTTTTGATTAATTTAAAAAAAAAATCTAAATTAGTGTAATTTTTTTTTATAATCAAACTAATTATTTAATTATTTTATGACACGACTTTACATTTATATACAGTATATATATATAATAAGTATATATACATCATACAAATTTTTATGCTGCAAATTAAACTTGAAGTTTTAATTAAAGTCAATTATCATTTTATAAAAATAAAAAACTCTTTAATTAAAATTGCATAACATAATAATTATTTTATTTTTTATTATTATTTTTCTTAGATACTGTATATGTTATATAATCAAATCTTTATAAATAACTTTTTATAGTCCCCGTAATAAAATAAATAATAAAATTAAAAACAAGTTGAGAGACAATAATAATAATTTCATGATTGACTGATATTGTTATTTAAATTAATGGTATTATATTATATAACAATAAATGCAATGCTATTGCTGAGTATGGCATAAAAATTATAGTTTAAACTAATAATCATAAACTGTTTGTGTTTGACATAAGTCGCTTCAATTTCGGTGAAGTCATTAAAAAGTTTTCCAAATCATTATAAGTCTTAGCAGTTATTATAATATTAGGCATCTGTTGCTGTTGTGGTGGTTGGGGTGACTGTGGTTCGGCCTGAATCTCATTCAAGTTATTCTCGTCGACCACCGGTTCTCTAGATTTGGTTATCCGATAGCAGTAATAACACGACAACCCTATGATTGCCAATGGTATGACCGCTAACACCAATAGCCACAACAACTTATTATCGATTTGTTCACAAATTCGCGTGTCTTTACTGTACTGATATTCTGAATGACAAACACATGAGTATTCCTGACAGACCCGGTTCGGGTCATAGTCCCGACACTCAGAGTTATTGGTGCACTTGAAATATACACACTTATCATCCACTAAATGAAAGTCATTATCACATCGACACTCGAGTTTAATGCAAATCATTTTGTCTTTACAATCAAAATCATCGTTACATTCTCTAATAGTCTGATTTGATGACATCAATTGATTTGATGAATTGCTTTTAATGCAATTTAAAATTAATATAATACTAATTAAATTGAATATATACATTAATTTCATGTTTTCTCAATTTATCATTATAAATTTCATATACTTTATAAAACAATTGCATTTTTAGTCGATTTAGACATTAACTAATAAGTTAAACTTTAATATTAATAACAATCTAGAGGTATAATTAATAGATATTTATCTTAATCATTTTACAATAATAAGGTAGTAATGTATTAATGCATTAATACTTTAATGCAATATTTTATTTAAAAAATGAAATGTTAAGTTCATTGTTATTTAGATTTTGTGGTGAATAACACCTCATTACACGCATTCATCAATTTTTAATTAAATCTATTCAATTAATTAGCAATTCAATGAGATATATCACAATAAACATTATAATAGTCTATTATCTTGCTAATTTAAGTACTTTTTAATGTTTTTATATTTTTGCAAAAATATATATTTTAATTAATATTTTTTTAATTTGATATACAAACTTAATTTAAGCTTCAATATATGCTAAATTATAACAATTAAGTCAATTTCATTTTATTTAATACAACAAATACATTATGCAAAAGTTTAATTTAATAATATATAAAATTATTCAAGTGTTTAATTTTTCTTAGTATTTAAATCTAATTTATTATTCAAGAAATCTATAATTTATTAAATTATATATTTTATTAGCATTTACAATATGATTGATAGCATAAAATAGTTTTGAAAATTTGATATAAAATAATCATAAATTTCAATATATGCTTAAAGTGTACATCAATATATTCATTAAATTTTTATGGGTCACTACCAAAAAAAGCCAGTTATGGTTGTGAAGGTATAAAATTACTTAAAGGCTTGTTTAACAGGTATTTTATTTTGTCATTAATAATAAAAAAGCGTTTTAATTAGCTTATGTTTATTAAAATTAAATCCCATTACCTGTTATATCGTATGTCTATTTATTATAGCGTAATAACATTTATGCTAATGTCTTAAATGAAGGAAAAGGATTATTATTATTATTATTAGACTATATGGAGAACAGACAGTCGTTTTTCATTCAAAAACTGGAGCTCTGATTGAAATGCATTTTCAAACCCAACAGTGATCTTAAATTTCGACACTATATTGTCGGTCCTTTTGATCACATCGAGCAACTCCTTTGCCAATTGCTTTTTCTCTGTCATACCGGTAGTCTCATCAACCAATTCCCACTTAAGACTAATTAATTTCATTAACTCCATCAACAGTTCAGTACTCTGTTCGCTGAATATCAATGAAGTTATTTTGACACTCTGTTCACAATATCTGACCGCACGATCAAAGTGACCCATAAGTGCATAACATCGGCACAGGTCGTCCTTACTCTTACACAGCAATCGATTTTGAATATACAGATTATATGTAAGCAATTCATCTGATTTTGACAAATTAATGAGTGCTTCAGTGAGCTTCTGGTTATTTAGAAAATCAATGCCTTTAGATGAGTATATTAATCCCTGTTCCACATTTTCGAGGGCTTTCCTAACATCCAATCCGGTACTCTTACAATTGAGACACTCGCTGGTCATATCCTCGTTATGAATGACGGCTCCATTACATTGTAAGCAAAGCAGAGCTCGGGTTAAGTTTTCTTTACGGTTTTCACAGACAAAGCACTGGCAGTCAAAAAAATATTGATATTTCAACTTTGATTGTCTGTCTCTTCGGCTCATACGCTGAAAGTTGGGTCCATAACAGTAATTAATTTCTTCGTCAGCTTTAATATTTTTAGCCGCTTTTATGATTAAATTGGATCCATTAAAAAATGTCAAAACATTTGGCTGACAACTATGATTAAGCAAACATATAGTAGGATAGAGAGCTGTTCCAACAATCTCTTCGTTGACATCGAAACCAAATTTGTTGACCTCATCGCAAAAATTTTGGTCTAAAACACTGATAAGATTTGTAGACAATTGTTGTATGTGTTTGAAAATCAATTGTCCTAAATAATGATAGTTATCATCACTTTTACTAATGTGACCATTGTTTTCAAGAGCTACCAAAATAAAGACAGCGCTCATTGCATAACTGAGTTTTGATTCAAAATTGTGATCATTTTTGTGATCTTGCAGTCGATATACTGATGAATAATCACAACTATATAATTGTTTCATGTCTTTAGTTATGTCTGTATTTTTAGAGATTTCTTTAGCTATTTTAATAGATTCCTGAATACCTGTTCTCAACAAAATTCTTAGAACAATATATAATATTCCAATTTCTTTGGATAAGAAATATAATGATTTACACTCGGATTTGTGGTATTGATTCCATGCAGTCTCACGACAAAACTCGCTACAGAATCGTATACTATTGCAACCATAACAGGGTATCAATCGGTTGTCTAGAGCTGACAAACAATGGTGACAATAATTATCATACTTATCATTATACAAATATGTAGCGAATGGCTTCTCTACAATCAATACATCTCCGAAAGTGATGTCACGATTAGCGGTCATAAAACGACTCTTAATGTCGCTGTAATTCAAATCGATGGCAACCGAAGCATTTAATAGTGAAGAATGTAATGTTTCAATTTCATCTTTACCCTCATTATGACCAATCACTTCATCATTTTCTTGAGGAGATCCATCGTTTGTCTCATCATTTGATGCTAAATTCAAATCAATCATAAGTTTATTCAAATCATTTTCCACTTCTTTCATAAGATTGTCATCTAATTTATGATCAGTTAAATGTTGTCTTAACTCATGTACCACTTCATGAGCTTCAGATTTTCTATCCAATGATGTCAAACACCAGGCTTTTCTTAATAGGATTTCGTGTTTCCTGACAATCGGACAGTTATATTTGACCGACTCTTCAATGTCCGTCAGACATGACTCATAGTCTTCTACCCGATAAAAAACTTGCGATCGATTCAGAAATGCTAGACATAAACAATTCCACTCTTCTTGAGGACTATCCTCGCGAGGAATAGGGGCCAAACAAATGGCATCGCAATAATTTTGTATGGCTTCGGCAAACATCCCATTCTTGAAGCTTTCACTACCATTTCTAAGCAATTCTTGTGATTTTTGGACACATTTGCAGTTTTTATTATCATTGACAGCATTCAACTGAATCATGTCTTCATAGACTCGCTGTATCTCTTCAAAGACATCTTTGTTATCAATGCAATACTTAACTCGTCTTTCATCTTCTGTCAATGTCTTGAATCCGTCGATAAATAGTTGGTCATCAAAGTTGTCCACCGATTTGAGCGCATATTTCAAAGTGACGGCAAACTTTGCAAACTGATCCCAGCCGTCATCCATTGCATTGTCATTACTAGTATTGTCAGACATTATGTTTATCTTTAAATGTCTTAGTAATGTCAACGCATCAACTGATCTCTGGACATACAAACAGTTGTCAATGTGTTGACCGCAACACGTGTTTGAATATCGACTCAAATTTAAAAGCAATGTTTATATTGAATTCAATTCAATAGTTATGTCAATAGTGTCTGTAATGTCCTCTATTGGCAACAATGTTGGCATCAAATTTGTCATATGATTAAAAATGATCATGGCTAATTTATTTTTATATCAGGTTCATTAGTTTAAAGGACACATTTTATTATGATTACAATTTTATAATTTTATCAAATGTACAAATTATTAATATTCATTAAAAACTAAACTTTTTTTTTGAATATAATTTTATAAACTTTTGGAAAAAATAATTATCGTATAATTTAGCGTAAACTGTAATTATTAATTAGCGTAAATTTTTTTTTAAAAAGTTGAATATGATAAATATAATATATAATATTATTTAATTATTTGTCAATTTTAGTGATGAATTGGTCTAATTTTGATGTTAGTCCTCTTCAATGAATAACTAGATCCCTGCCAATCTTGCCAATACATTCCCGTATATATTTTACTATACATTCCAGACAAATATAGTCCATTAAGATTAGCAGTTTCGCATTGGTTATACCACCAAGCACCGGTATGTTCAATTGCACAGTTACTCCCAATCATTGGATCATTGTCGTTGTCTTTAGTAGTGAATGGCATCGACACATGATAGGTCATTGAATCGCCTGCGTCTCCCTATATTTCAAACAAATTTTTTAAATGATAAAATCAAAAAATTGGTTAACTGTTACCTCATAACTACCCAATAGTTTAAGCATATAATTTTCATTTTGTGATCCGATAGCAAATGCATTATATTTGGCAAACGCTTTATCGCCTTCAAAGTCCTCCAAATCGATACGCAATTCATAGATATCTTGATAAGTGATGCGATGGATGTGATCGAGACCTAACCAAAATTCGGACGCTATGTTACCAAAACCATACTTATAGTCATACCAATCCCGGTAGAAGTCGACTGTCCCGTCGTATCGATTATGAATCAAAGTCCATCCGCCGCCGTCTGTATTCATATCGCAAAAGACAAAAAGTGGTTCATCAGAACCAATAGGTTTTATACGATAAATTCCGCTTAAGTTCTTAAAATTTTCATTTTCTTGAATGTCTTTGCAATCTTTGGCAAAATCGCTACCATTAGTACTACTATTTGGATCTAATAATGAATTCTTGATATAAACATTTGGTTTTTCTAATTTTTTCATTTCTTCTAAAACATTGCGAATACCGCTGTTGAATGACTTGGACTCGACATAACTTTTTGAACGATTTGCTATRCCAGTTGTCTCATTAATAAGTGTCAACATATTATTAGACAGGTCACCAATTTGTTCCTCAATATGATTGTTTGATCTCTTAAGACTATTAAGAGTTGTTTGCACAACCTGTAGGTTGGCCTCTATGTCGGGACTAACAATATTTAGCGGATTTTTAGTTTCACTTTCTTCTGACACTACATTTCTTTTAGCTACCGATCCTCTTAATTGATCCAAAATCCATGCCTTGCTTACCAATTGTTGTTTCTCCAACTTATCTAAGTCATCACGAATTACTTCTTGTAATGTTATAGTCTTTCCCAAATCGCTTTTAATAGCATCCAATCGATGGGATAGACGTACTTCTGATCGATCAATAGTTGTAATGATGTCTTGTCGACGACTCTCCAATCGGTCTAAACTACGGCTGATCTCATTCAACAACTTTGTTTGTGTCTGAGAATTATAGTCTAAAACAGTGATTTGATTGACAACTTTTTTAATCACTTCACTGAGCAATAATTCTTCTGAATCTTTTGACAACAACTCTGCGCTCGCGTTGGTCTCCAATTGTCTGTTATTTGAAGCATCTATTATACCGTTGACGGCGTTGTAGACAATAATAAAGACAATAAATATATAGACACTTATAATAGACATGACTTCTCTGCCATCAACTCTGCTATTCTGAACCATCACTTTTTTCTGGACCACCAAAAACTCTGCTCTAATATTAAAATAAAAGTATTTAAAAATAGAAACTTTTTGTTTTATTTGTTTTTTAAAAACTTTTAAAAAATATTGCGGTGACAGCAAAAAAATACTCATAAATCATATTTTGACACAAATTTATATCATAAATCGTCTTTCATTGAACTTTAGGAATATCTGTCTAAAAAATTAAGTTAAATAACTATTTATTGAAAAGTATAATAATTATTGAATAGTATAATAATTATTAAAAACAGAAAATTCATTTACCAGTAATTAATTGTAATCCAAATAAATAACAAAAATATAATATTACTAAAAAATTAACATTTATTATTTTAACATTATAAAACTAATATTGTATTTCAATATGTGCTAAATATAATTGTATTTCAATAGCAAATATTATATCTGTAATACAGTAGTGAATTAGTATATTAAATGTGTTTAAATAATTTTATTGATCTTTAAAATAAACTCTTAAGTTAAATATATGTATTGGTTGTAACTTAAATATTAATCTTTTCAAAGTAAATATCAAAATAAGTTAAATTAACCGATTTATAAATAAAAGATCGGTGTTTAAAAAATGTCTTAAAGTTACGATAAGTTATTATACTGTTGTCATAAAAATATAATTCTGATAACAAAATTCATAACAAAAAGAGACGTCTAAATAACAATAATGCGATTGCAATACAAATAACAATAATTAAATAAGTGGTGAATCGAGACGAAGCAGAAGTCGAGTTTAGGTTAACATTGATTGTTAGGTTAGCGCTGGCGGTGAGCATCGGACCGGAATGTGTTTGACTTATGTTTCGCCGAATCAATACTGTCTCTGAACTCTGTTGTTCGCTATTTGGGTCGACAGGCGGTTCATCGTTGTTCGTATCGGTGATATCTGTCGTATTGTTGTCAACAGTTGCAGTGGATGTCTCAGTGTTGTCTTGCGATGACTCTGTGCTCGTTCCCTATGTAGTAATCAATTAAATTAATACTCAATTGAAAAATCTAATAAAATGTTTTTTAAATACTTTAAAACAGATTTGTTTAGCCAGTTCTTTAGCCTCTTTGTTAGCATCACTTTCGGTAGGATTTGGGTCTTGAGTTTTCAATAGTTTCGAGATTTGTCCGCAAGAAGGACAGCACCACGACTCAGATTTCACAGCCAATGCTTTTCTTTCTTCTGGTGGATAATCTGTATGTCATAAGTAATGCATTAAAACATATTAAAAAATATAATTAACGCCAAGTAATCAACAAACCGAGAGATCCGATGGCACCCATGCCTTCAGTGGGCATAAAACCAATGATTGCCAATAGAGCTGTACGTATAGACCACGACGGCTGCCAAGACTCCGGATGATGACCTGAAATACTTAAACATATTTTTTTGTTGATCTCAAAGCGTCCATTTGGTGTCAACATTATAATAGACGGCGGTTTCATCGGGTATTCAGTCGGCAAAATGATGCGCCCATGATATACACCGGAAGCAAACTCAGAATCGGGCGGACCTCTGACCGTGAAATGCCATTCAAACAGATTGTCCTTAAAGAGGAAAGGCATTGATTATAGTGTGGACAGTCGGGTCATCGTAAACATTAATACTTACATCTAATGGTTGTGCAAAATACTCAGCCGATCGGTCGTCCATCAGTTCTCTGGCCTCACGGAACAGCCGTTTGACGGCTATATATAATCCAGAAAACATAGGACACTGTTAGCTCTGGCAAAGACATGCAAACAATAGACATGACATGACATGACATACCCGGAGAACGACTGTTGTATTGATTGTCCATTTGGTGAACCAGTTATGCAATCAATAACTCAAACTTATAGTGCATTCAATTGTTTATATAATAAACAAAACTATTCTATCATTAAATTGATTGCAAATTATATGCAAATAATTGATTGAATGAAATCAATGCAAAACCAATAATTGTTTACTTAATACTAATAATTGTTTTGTTTTTCAATCAATTAATGTATTTATTAGTTGTGTTGTTATTATATAATTATATTAAGCTTTACGTCACATTAGAATCAATGCTAAAATAAATAACATTCCATTAAATCGCAACAAAAAATATTAGACACAAATAGTTAACCATTTTTGACGTCAAGTGTCGCCACGTGTTTGATGTGTTGAAACACACGCAGTGAGTGAACGCCAAACCAATACACATCTAAATCAATGCATACAATCTATTGTTGACTAATTCAATATGATTTCAATGGTTGAATGTCTACAACAAATTATTAACAATTAATTACTAGAGACAAACCCAATGTTCGCATCGATAGCCAATCATATGATTGCATATGTTGTGCGCAAATAATGTGTTGACACTAAAGGTTAGGATTGTATGCCAATTGTTGAACAATGTTTAGTATAGAAGTGTATGTATTTGTGATATTAGTTGAAATGGCGGACAGAGTTTAAAGTGTTTGAAGTGTTGTTCAAAACATTTGATTTACATTTCAATCGATTGATTGCATTACACATCGGATCCAACAGTGATGTCGACAATCAATGAGACAATGAGTCCATCCAAACGATTAGGTCATCCGATGAGAGCTCGTAAACGAAACCGATTGATCTATAATGAAGACGAAGAGACACAGTTTACGGTCCGGTCGCCAACTTTCGGTCAGCTCGCGGCCCGAAAGAGTCAACGGTTGGCATCTGTGGGCACTTGTGATCAATTGGGACAATCAGTTCGCGGACCACAATCTATTGTATTAGATAAGAAAGTGGCACAAAAGGTTGGCCTCCGGTTGCGGACACTATTGAAGTTACCGAAGGCTCACAAATGGGTTTGCTTTGAGTGGTTTTACGCCAACATTGATCAGCCATTGTTTTTAGGACAAAATGATTTCTGCATTTGTCTTAAAGACACGTTTCCACACCTCAAGACACGGCAATTATCTCGCGTTCAATGGTGTAAAATCCGCCGACTTATGGGTAAACCGCGTCGATGTTCGGCCGCTTTCTTTACCGAAGAACGCGCTTCACTGAACGCTAAGCGCAATAAAATAAGACATCTTCAGCAACAAAAAGTGGTTGATTTTAGTCAATATAAAGAGTTACCGGAGAACATACCTCTATCGCTGGTTATCGGCACAAAAGTAACCGGACTGTTACGTAAACCTCAAGACGGTTTGTTTACCGGTGCTATTGACGCAGTGGACACCACTAATGGTACCTATAGATTGACATTTGATCGCTCCGGTATTGGCACTCATTCACTACCCGATTATGAAGTTCTCAGTAACGATACGCCTGAGTTTATACCATTGAATTCATTTCAAACTAAAATCAGGCCACGAATGCCGATGTTTACGTCTCCCAGATTTCTTGAAATTTTAGGCAATCAGGTGGCACAGGCTTTGGGTGATAACGATCCTCTCTTAGCCGGTCCGTCGCCACCGAAAACCGGAACCGTTAGCAGCAGTGGAAATATACAAGAAGAGGGAACTTTGGGTGGCTTTCCCATCAAGTTTTTGGCACTTTTGGTGCGTTTGTCTAAAATACTTCAGTACAAGAAGAAAAAGATAACCGAATTGAAGTCAATGAATACAGAAGCAGAGAAAAGTCGATCACTTCAGGAAAAATTGTCGCATGACTTCCAGAAACATTACGCGCAAACTATTCTTGAATTAGAAAAATTGAATACAGATTTGAACGACTATTTAAAAGCCGTCCAACAGTATAGTGCAGAAATAGCACCGGAACAGGGATTGGTACCCATAACACAACCCGATGTCGTGAAACAAAAATATTTGGTTGAATCAAAAGAGTTAGCGGAAAGAAATTTAGCCAATTGTACCGTAAAGAGTGAGCCAACCATTGACTTGATTTCCCATTTGTTATCACTAATGCTACACCTCAGGGGTTTTGCCGACTCTGAGGTTAGCGCTTATGAACTCAAATCACTTTCCGATACTTTATCTGACATAAAGAAGATGATCGATAAGTCAAATGTTGATCAATACGAAAATGAAGTGGAAATTCATGTGAACCACATTCAGACCAGTTTAAGCCATTTGGGAAATTTGGGCGCTTTTTCTGAATCTATGTTAGAACCGTTATGATTAGTAGGCCAACCCATTGTCAAAACACAACGATTCCATCAATACTGCAATTATTTTTAACGACATTATTGTTCATATAAACTGACATTTCTATTATTAAAGGTTTATAAGATTGCATGTAATATTACTATCAATTGATTATATTATGTAATTGCAATATATACACAAACAAATATATATATATATATATATATATACATGATATGATATTTATTTAACAAGATATTTAAAAAACAAAAAAAATTAAAACTTGTATTATAATATAATTAGATTTTAATTTAACATTATATATCTTTTATAACATTTTATTTACTATTTTTTATTTGTCAAATTGATCTAATGATATATAAAAAAAATATGAACCTTAATGCTAATGTAATAATTATATGAAAAAAATGTTTATCTTATTTAGAGTGATAAGAGTTGATAAAATTGTAAACATTGTATAACATTGTATGATAAGAAACTAATTTGTTTTTGTTTGATAGTGAAAATGCTGTCATTTCCGGTATATTTGTACATTGATTCCAATATTATATTAAATATTTTAGATATAGTGTATCATTGATTATATAAATAAATTCATCTAAAAATTCGGATCCATTAAGTTTGGTTAGCATTTGATTTACTGTAATTTTTATATCTACAATATTTTTAGTCATATATTGATGATATATTAGATATTTGTATATTAAATATGAATGTTAACCCATTTCACAATTAAATTGAAGATCAATGCTATTCAACAATATTTTACAAAACTTATATAAATTAGTGAATAAAATAAAAGCAATTAACCGAAAGTATATTACATTGCATACCGAATATTCTTGAGTATCGATCGATGAATCTCATCATTTGATTAGTTATGTTTGTAAAGCACTCATCAAACACAGGGAAATACACTAACCTAATACTGCTCTCTCTCTCTCTCTCTCTCTCTCTCTCTCTCTCTCTCTCTCTCTCTTTCTCTCCTTATTTCTTTAGTTTCAAACAAAATCTCAATTTATTGTAAGCCCTAAACACAAAAGTATTATAACCATTAAGGCAGAGATCACATCATTAACTTTGCTATAGTTTAAAGACTACTATACTAAGTGTAGTGCTGTTAATATTGAGAGGAAAAAGATTGAATGCCTTTCACTAAAAGTTTTGTATACATTAGTAATGAGATGAATCTCAATCCATAACAAAGTTAAATACAATAATATATAGATATTTACCGTAACAGTGAAATTAATTAAATCAATTTATAATAATTTTGTTTAATAATGGAAACAGTAAAATTTAAAAAAATATTTTTTGACTTTTTCAAATTTATATGTATGACATTGTATGAACATAATAATATAAATATGATTAGAATATAAATTATAAAATTGTTTAATAAGTTAATATGTTTATTTATGTATAAATTGTATTGTAACATATTTTCAGACAATTTTCTAAATTTTAATAAAATTAGTTTTACTATTTAATTTAGCAATATATATATATATATATATATATATTTATATACCGGTAATATTATATAAGAGAAAATATTTCAGAAATTTTAGTTAAACATGCAGACAAATGTAGACAAAAATTTAAATAATAAAATGTTTATCTGAAAGTTTAATATATGTAAAAATATTTTAATTTATACATATTTATAATATGATACTACAGTTTTATTTTTAAAAATTTTAAAACTAAATATTTAGAATATAAATTTCAATTATCGATATCGAAATGTATTTGTATTTTAGTATATTTGAATTATTATTTTTTAGCAAACATTTTTGTTTTAATATATTATTGTTTATTATTTTGAAGTGAATTATTAGAATAAATATTAAGTATAGAAAACTATTTATTCCATACAGACATAGCATAGTATATAATAAACCATATTTTTAAAATTAAATAAATTAATTCAATTAAGTATAAATAATTACTTAGTTAGAAGTCAATTAAATAGATAATAAATCTTATTATATTAAGTTAATATTATTAACGGTAAAGTTTTGAAATTAGCTATTAAATAAATATATAAAACAATATCTATTTCACTTAACCTATTATTAACAATTCATACGTTAAAGTGACGACTTTCAATAATATTAATCAATTTTATTAAAGTTTTTTTTAAATTTTTCAAATAAATCATTGACATCATATTATATGATATATCAATACTATACAGTACTAATCAACAGTGCAGATAACTGTCTCATTTAATTTATGAAAACCATTATTCAACTTTATATCAACTGATAAAAGTGTCGATGCTTTTTAAAATATCTAACTAATCCATCATTTTATATATTGATTTTAAGTTTTTTTGTATAGTAATATAAGACTTAGTGTTTATCATTTGAATACAACCTCTACATTGCTTTCAGCTCTTAATTTGATTACATATACCGTATATACAGTATATATATCCCGAAGAGTGAGTTGCGGTCAAAGAAAACGATTGTTTACGACTCTGGTATGTGTGTCGTGTGTCTAACCATTGACTGCACATCCAATTGAGAGCATATTTTTGGCTTATTTCAAGATCTCAATGATTTTGTATATTAGAGTCAGTCAGTCGACACTCAGCACATGCTCTACCCGTCAGTGAATGCATCCAATGTTTCTGATTTGTGTGCTTAACATATACAGCAAACAGATAGCTAACGGCTTTCATATCCAAAACACAAACCATTTGTGAGACAACTTTTTCTTGTGTGAAGAGAGCGAGAGATATAAATATATATATATATATATATATATATATATATAGAGAGAGAGAGAGAGAGAGAGAGAGAGAGAGCTCTGGCAGTCAAGTTTGGCATCAATTTCTTTATCACACACTTTAACGACTTATTCTTGCAATTCTTGTGGTAAGTCTATCGCAATCTCTTTATATATATTTTATTTATACTATTGTTAGTGCTTTTCTAAAATCAAACAAATTGCAGTTAATTACACATACATTGCAATAACACTATATCTATACTTTAACTTATAAAAACTAAAAATTAAAAAAAGAGATAATTGTTGATCTAGATATAAAACTTTGATATTTAAACATATTAAATTGGATATTTTTATAATTTTAATTATAGATTTTATCGTTAATTTTTAAATTTAACATTATTTAAAAAATAATTTTTCTAATCATTTATAGCATATTAAATATTTAGACGTTTATTATGATAGGTTAATATGTTTTTTTTGTATAAAAAATATCTATATTTAATTTTAAAGATAATTAATGAAAATATGTTTCTTAAGTCCAAAGCATAAGACATTTTGTTTATGAATTTATATATTAATATAAAAAATTAATGAAAATTAAACGATGCTTTAATAATTATCAAAATTTATTATTACATGACATTATGCATAATTATGTAACAATTCGTAGCATAATTTGTTACAATTTTTAATATAAAATTTGCTATTATTTTGTGTAAGACTTATTATCAAAAAATTTTTATTTAAAATAATAAAAAGTAGTATTTTATCAGTACTTTATCTAATGATTTATAATAATAAAACCCATTTTTAATTAAATAAGAATTAAGTAAAAGATTTTTTTTGTAAAATATTTACAGTATTTTGCATTAATTTAAATGAAACTAATTTAATGTCCAAATAATGTTATTTTCTTTAAATAGAGTTATGTTATAAAAATTCAGACGAATTACTATTTATCTGCAGAATATTCTGTATATTCGTTATATATATCTATATTGTATATAAACTCTCTTTTCCTGTTATTCACAACATAATCTCATTTCTGATTATATATAATATAATTTCTATTCTGTTATACAGAGTCTATATAATTGTATAATAAAAACACAAATTATACTAATCTTAACACTAAAGCATTTACCAGTAATGAAGAATGTGTTAATAAGAAAAAATAAGTGAATAAATGAATGAATGAGTGAGTGAGTGAGTGTGTGAGTTAGTGAGTGAGTGAGTGAGTGAGTGAGTGAGTGAGTGAGTGAGTGAGTGAGTGAGTTAGTAAGTGTGTGTGTGTGTGAAGAGAGAGAGAGAGAGAGAGAGAGGAGAGAATATATATAAATTAATATATGTCTTACAAGTTTTTAAACATATAACATAATGTTTTTTAGTCATAATTACTTTACGACTTTAAATAATTTGTATAAAATTAATTTGAAATTAATTAAAACAATTATTTATATAGCTACATCTCATATTGATAATAATAATTAAGAATAAATTTAATAATTAACTGTTTTATAATAATTTATAAACTAAAATAAATGAAAACTATAGCAAAAATATATTTAAAAAAATATAATTTACATAATCTGAATTTTAAATGTTTAAATATTAATATGATATAAATATTATTATATCAATATTGAAGTTTAATATAATTATGTGTTATTTACTGTATATTATTGTATATATTAAATTTGGTATTTTAGAAATTAATTATATATTTTTACTAAAACTGCAATCATATCATAATTATCTGACAGAGCTTTATGTTTATTATAGTATTTTAATGCTAACACAGAATACTACTAAATACTGTATAAAGTACTGTACAGTTCTATACCGTATAGACTATACGTTAGGTATCTTTTATTGTATAATATATACTATATATACTGTATATATATACTGTTTGATTGCTTTATGTTTCCTATTCTCAATTAATATAATAATATATCGCATTTACGGAAATGAAATTATATTTATAGAAGAAAATAAATAAATCATATGAAATACAGCGCAAAAAATATTTATTTTTAAAAAATAGTCTTTTTTGCTAAAGATGACATAATTAAGATTTTTTAATACAGTATATCTCCATGTTTTACATTATAATTTCAAAAATAAAAATGTAAATTATAAAACTATTAAAAGTTTTTATTTAGTATTTAATATATTTAAATATATTAAATTAAAACTTTTAAGATAAAATATTACATAGAAAAATTAAATTATTTAGACATTTATAATAAATATAATGTACACAAAACTAATATAATATTAATAATTATTTAGTAAAAATATCAAATTTTTAAATGAATTTCAACTCATTCATAATACAAGAGTTAATCTATGAACATATATTTAAGTAATAGACAAAAAAAAGTTATTGTATTAAATATAGTTATTATTTTTAGTATAGTTATTAGTATAAATTTAATTTTGCCTATTATAGCATATAAAGTTTAACAAATATAAAAAATTATATGCAATGTTAAGAATAAGTTATGATATTTATTCACATAAATGGTAATAAAAGTAATACCTATATCATTGATTAAGACTAGAGGCTTACATTCAATTAAATTATTGGCGAAATACACACAAAATTTTTAATCTAATATAATATAACATAAATAAAGAGTTGTGAAATAAATCACACAAACCTCAAGAAATGTGTTTTTGACATTCATTTGAATGCAATCTTTAGCTTTTTTTTCTCCAAACTATTGGTGTTATGAATTGCATTGAATTTCTCGGAAATAAAACTGATTTTTGTTTGCATGGCTGGTGTGTAATGTCATAAGTGGTGAACAGATTTCTAACACAATATACAGTTCACTGGTATTCAAAAAATGTTTAAAATAGATTTTTTAAAGAAATTTTCTAAAAATTTAAACAACTTATTGAAAATTACCTAGTACAATTTTGAACTAACTGATGACACTGAGATATGGATAACTTCACCATAAAAATTTATTATGAATTATTTGATAATATTACAATGATATTAATTTACTGTTTATGAATTAAACAAATTATAATTAATTATAAAATAAGATTTAATAAATAAACTAAAATTAATGTTTATTTTATGTCACTATCACATTATAATATACCGTAATTATTTTAAGTCATTATTTTCAATTATTCAAATTAGATTCACTTCAAACTATAAAATGCAACTTACTTAGAAAATTTCTAAATATTTTCTTGTATTTTATAAAAAAAATATTTGTTTACCATTACTATCGATAACTGAGACAAGTTTTTCTCAGAGGCTATTAGTATATAAATATAATATACAGTATTTGATAAAAATTTTGGTTATTTTAATGACTATTTATATACTGTATTAAATAGTATATCAAATGTATTGCATATATCCATTGAATATTTACTTGTAAATAAAATATTAATTTATACTTATAAATACAAATTAAGTAATTTAGAGATAATTTGATTTTTTGTCGTAAATTTTTGTCAACCAATTATGAAAATTTAATTACAGTCTAAAACTGTGGTTTAATTTAATTATTAGTATACAGATATACAGTATTAATGATAACAAATTAAATTTGCTTAAATCAAGTATTGTTTTAGTTTAGACAAATGATTGAACAAATTAAAAGTTAAAATTATATTAAAGTACATTTTATTATACGTTTATCTATACAGTAATTTATTTTATTAGGTTATTATTGTTAAATTTTATGCAACAATCAGAGTTTGAAAATTAGTTTTATTGTATTTTAAAAGTAAATACATATAATATCAATAAAACAAAAGTTTAAAAAAAATTTAGTATAATATAAAAATAATGTAATAATGTGCACAACTTTAGGTCTCAAATTGTAATTTTATTTATTGTTGTGTACTTAACTTTAAGAGAAATGATACCAATATTTAGTTTGTCTATCTATTATTGTGTTGACATTCATAATATATATAACCATTAAGTTTAATAACATACTTTTAGCAATAGAAAGTGTTTTTAGTGGATAATCAATAATATATATAATCAATAGTATTTTTTCAACTATATATATATAATATTATATACAAATCTATAGCTGAGGTGTCTATACAATAGTTATTTTTCTTGGACTTGAAGTTCAATATTAGCAAATAAAACAATTCATGTGTAGATCATTCAAATAAAAACTATTGAAAATTTAATCAATAAAGAGATGCCTTTTAAAAAATATTTTTTCCAGATAATTGAAGTGTTTTAGATAGATATATGGTATATAATACAGTATTATCTATCAATATTTGTAATATAAATTGACACTTATATATTTATTTGACAACATGTAAATGTATATTTAAGTGCCCAATTTATATTATTTATAAATAAATCAAAAAAGCATAATAATTGCATTATAATGGAAATTATTTTATTATTTGTTGATAAACATTAAGCTTTCTCTATTAATATTAATAATATAAAAACTGATTTATAATAAATTACATTTACAGTAGTTTTTGTAACATATGCTATGATTTTATTAAATATATGTGTTATAAATTATGTGATATTTTTTCGTTTAACTTTATAATGGATTTCCATTTTTCTTTTTTTCTTTATTATTTTTTCGAGAGATGTTATATATACTGTATATAAACAAGTTGAGAATGCTAGTTAGCATTGTCAGAACAATCTTTTATAAAATTATTGTGTCTGAACTGTATATCTTATTCAACTAATTTATTACTGATTTACTTTTCCACTCACAACTCAATCATTGTGTTATACATTTAGCTAATTATCTCTCTCTCTCTCTCTCTCTCACACACACACACACACACACACACACACACACACACACACACACACACAATTGATTCACTCACAAAACTTTCCAACAAACTCATGCACTCATCCAATTCAATCATCAATTATATCATTACATTTACCAAAATATAAATTAAGTTTATGATAAAAATTTAAAACTGATTAATTTTTTTTATTTACTTGAATTTTAAATACAAATAACAAATCAAAGTTTGTTGAAAATACAAATATGTGTTTCAATTGAAAATTATATGATAGAAATTTATAAAAAATATTTATATAAAATACTAATCTATTCATTTATTTAGCTATTTTCATAGATTAGGTCAATAATATTAGTATTGTTGTACATTAGTGTACAGTAGTTTATACAGTGTTTACTAAGATTCACTAAATATAGTGTATATCTATATAAGGATTTATGATTTAGTTATGTTTTTTTCTTGTTTTTTTCACAAAAGCTCTCAAGAAATATCATTAATCGTAAAAAGTTGAGAAAAATTTGTGATCACTAAGTAAATGCTACTAAAAAACATTGAATAGTTTTGTATCCATAAACATAATATAATATTATATTGAGATATCTTAAAGAGAAAGAGAGCAAAATAAATAATGAGAGAGAGAGAGAGAGAGAGAGAGAGAGAGAGAGAGAGAGAGAGAGAGAGCAATTTTAATTCATAGACTATGTTTGTTAAATTCAAAGCTTACTTACATTATATTTTGGTAAAATTCACATAAATTTTTTTAAAGAATAATAAACAGTAAAATATTATGTTTGATCAAAAACCCTATTATTTGCTATAATTTTGAATAAATATTGAAAAAATGTAAGAATTAAAATATTTAATATATTTTACAATAAAATATAAAAATACTGTATTCATATTATATTTACGGAGACTAATAATTTATCAAACATTATTATGATTGCATGATTGTATGATTGTATTATGATATACATTAAACAGTAGGATTGCATATTGGTTTTGTTTAGAGCTTTACATCAAATAAAAAATATAAATCAATACAAAATGCATTTATAAATTAGTCTTAAATGCACTCATTTGCATAATTTTATTTTAGAAACTACTGTACTTTATATTATAAATATATTTTTAGATGTTTTTAAACTGCTTATAATATATTACTATAGCTTTTATAAATAAAAATTTTAATTGCACATATAGAATAGCAATGCCCTGGTAGAATTTATTGATAATATAATCCTTATTATTTATTCAACAAATATTTTACATTTAATTATTTTTAAAATAGTTGAAAATAATTTATTAGTCTATTATAACCTTTATTTTTTAATAAGGGGTTAAAACATAAAATATATAAATACTTGATAGAAATGATAACTCTAAAAATGATCATTAATCCTCTACTGGGCTAATATAGAATAATATTTTAGTATTTTTTAAAAAATTTAAATTCAACAAAAATCTTTTATATATAATATGAGTAATAAATAGGTAGACTTATTATTGATAATCAATTAAGTGAGTCAGTCGTTGATGACAAATGATAATTAAGTTATTATTATTTTATGGATATCAGTCAATCAATATTTAATATATCAATAGTTATTGTTAGTCAGTGGACACACACAACAAAAAGGCAAATGATTGGTGTGTTTAATGAAATGAACCATAAAAACAATCGTCACATTATGTCCAAAACGTTGGACTTAACGATACAACCAATCGATACTAACAGTGAAATTCTTGGATTCTATGGATATTCGCTCATATATTTTGTCGATTCTGTGTCAATGAATTCATTGCTAAAAACAGTTATATATATATTGTATGTGTTGTTTGTCAACCAAAACAATGGCCTTTTAGTATGTTTGGTGTTATATTTTGTTGACTCGACTGTGGAAACCGATTTATCCACCGATTGGTTAGGCCTACCGGTATTATAACTGTTCAATAGTAATGCCAAAACAGTCATTCAATACGCTGCCAGAAATGTGAGTGTCATTACAAATGAATTATTATCGTAAACTTAACTTTTTTTGGCACAAATAAAGCTATTTGTGTGTGTTTTGGGAGATATTGAATATATTTCTTTACTGTATTTCAGAAACCGTAATCACAATATACAGTATAACACATACAGTACTGTACCACAAGTCTACCGGTCATCCCTTTTGTTAATTGATTAATTTATAGCCTAAAATATATATATACCAAATGTTATTTACTACAAATAGTTAATACTATTAATAGTTTATCGACAATGTCATAGATTTTGAACCAAAAATTATAAACTTTAAACTTAATACTTAACATATGACCTAGATACACAATAAATTACCTAACATATTATATTAATATGAATTTTTATATATTAAATTTTGAATGAATAAATATAATTTATGCAAAAATGTAATTCAACTTAATATATTAATATTCCACTTATAGTATAATATTTATTATAAACAAAATCAATTTGAAAAGTTGACTTAAAACTAAAAATTTATGTATATCTCACACTAGAATTACAATACTTATATTGTAACTTATAGTGTATAAGATATGACATCAAAAGATAAAGAGATCAATTTTTTATTAAAAATATGTCAACAATTTATATTGAATATATATATGTTATACAATATTTATAAAAATATGTTTGTTATTGTAAATGCGAAAATGGCAAAAATCACAAACAATATCATTATATTATACATTAAAATAAATACAATATATTGTTACAATACTTAAACATTATAAAGAATAGTATATGAAAAATACAATACAATATCATTTTTGTATCATTTTGTAAACTTATACAATGTATTGTTTATATCGACAAAAATAGGTAAAACTGAGTTTTTATCTAAAGTCTCAACAAATCAATGTTTTATAATATTATTTTTTAACAACAATTTTTGTTTAGTCTTTTTATAAATCTTTTGTAAAATATAATATATAAAAGATTTTTATCAATATAGTAAATTTATATATATATTACAATATTTATTATATTACAATAAATTTTCAGATATTTTCTTATCTCATGTTTTATTTAAAAATGTGTCCGACAATGCATTTAATGATTTAAAAAAATAGTTTGATATATTATTTATTATAGAATATTTATTTGATTATATGATATAATAAATTTTAGCATCTATAATATTTTTATTTACAAATTAAATATAAGATTTTAAAAAATTTAATATAAAAATTTCTAAAAGTTATTTAGCTTATTGTAAATACTTTACTTACTTAAATAATTTATTACATTATAGCATTTTCTGTTTTATATATTACTTTAAAATTAAAAAAATATTCAATATTCAATACAATAAATTATTATCTATTTAATTACTAAGATAATTATATTAATTTAAAAAAATAATATAATTTATGAAAAACAAATACTAATTATTTAATATTATTAAATAAATTTTTATTAGAAAAAACTCTAAATACTTTATAGAATATCTAAAATGTATTTTTATTATAAAATTTTATTATTATATCAAAACAAATTATTAAACTTCCAGACATAACTAAAATTATAAATAAGTCAAGTATCATATAAACTCTAAACATTATATAGCAAACAAATACAGTATTATATACTGTATTATAATACGTGTTGTAATAAATTTATGTGTGTGTTATGGATATAAAATTTTATATGTCAGTAAATTTTTAAATGCTATCCTAAACTTTTTATTTGGTCATTAAATAAAATAATATTGTTATACTTTTTGTTTCATATTACTAGTACAGTATATTCCAGTTTATTATATAAAATAAATTAATTTAATAAATAGCAATTATAAGAATTTTTATTTGAAAAAGTTATAAAAGTCAAACATATATACTGTATATAAATTCTCAAATTTCTAATAATAACCCGATATAAAAACAAAATTGTTTTGTTTGCTACATATGCTTGAGTTTTCGATACAATTTTACTCTTTTAATAATACAATAACAAAAAGAAAATGTGATTTTTACTCTTCATTTAACATCTCTCTCTCTCTCTCTCTCTCTTTCTCTCTCTCTCTCTCTCACTAACTCACTCACTCACTCACTCACTCACTCACTCACTCACTCACTCACTCACTCACTCACTCACTCACTCACTCACTCACTCACTCACTCACTCACTCACTCACTCACTCACTCACTCACTAACTCACTCTCAGTCACTCACTTTTGTTGCCTTTAAAATCTATTGTATAGTTATTACTATTGAAATGTTGGGTCAGTTAGATATTGGCTCATATATTGATTGAATTTTAAAGAATTAAGTATTTAAGATTTTTTATTATTAGAAAACACTGTACTTTTACTTTAGAAGTAAAATCACTTTAATATATAATTTTTGTAGATTAAACTATTTAAATTAATCTTAACAGAAAAATTGAAACTGGTAAAAAATTAAATTAAATTAGATATTTGATATTTTTCAATTAAAATAAACATATACTTTATTTTATAAACTATAAATTATGATAATTTTGTTATAAAACTGATAAACTAATAGTATCTAAACATATCTATTATACTAAGTGTTAAATTTTTATAATTTTAAATAAAGTTAAAACAGATTTTTAAGTATTACCAACAAAATATAATCTTAAGTTTAGCTAACATAAATGATAATATTAAACACTTAAATTTATATATTATCAGTAAATGATAACATATATATATATATACTGTATAGAGTATATATAATTAATTGTAAAATTATACAGGAATATTAACTGTAAAAACAATATAAGAATAAAATATTATAAGTATAATAGATTTTATTATAATTTATGAAAATAAACTAAAAATATATTTTTTATTTAATTATCAAAAATTAAAAATAAGAATAAATTAAATTTCATGGACTTGTTTATAAACTAGATATTATTTGTCTTAATTATTTTGAGTATCAATTGTGATATAAATTTACTGTATATGTATTTATGTATAATTTTTATTCATTTTAATGTTTTACAAAAAATATAATCCATGAAAACAAACATTATTAACAAATATCATGTGTGATTAGTTTTTATGTATTAGTCATTGATTTTATGGATAAAATTTATTTATAATGACTATAATAAAATTTATATAAAAATTTTAGATTTTTAATGATTTTGTTGTTGATTTGATACTTATTTTGTTTTTAAAAATAATTTTTAATTGAAACTATATTGTTAATTCTTTAGTAATATGATACAATTATTATAAAAAATAAAATTTTATATACTTAAATAAATATCATAAAAATTTGGGAAATGATAACAATTTAAAAAATATAATTTTCTTTTAACTTCAATTTATGTCTATTATTATTATTATTTCTATTTTTTTTTAATTTCGTGCCTTAAATCCATTGTTTGAGAGCTCATTACCTCTCAGGAAAAGTAAAGTAAAACTCATATTTAAGCCAAACATAAGGCGTATAATACATTGAGCGCCCAAATGATAAAAACTGTGTTTCACTTTAGTTAAAGCATTTGATAAAAACGCTGCGATAAGCACTTCATATACAATGAAATAGATTATACTATATATATATACAAATTTATGTGAGGGTTAAGCAAGGTTTTGAATCTTAGAGGAGGGTATATGGGAAAAATCATGGGGTATAGGGTGGGGTTTACCTTTTTAAACAACAATTTTTTCAAAATCCAAGGGGAAGAGAAGAAAAATCCCAAAAAATCATGTAAATGGGAGGAAATTCCCAGGAAATTAAGAAATATTCCCAATAGATATTTTCTTAAATTAATAAAAATTTAATTTTAATTAAATTTATAAAAATATAACATAATTAAATTTATAGTATAATTATTATTATCTTAATTGTCGTAAAATAATATTCTAATTGTAATATATTTTTGAACAAATAAATCATTTTTAAGTTAGATATATTTATTTTAAAATGTAAAATTTAGATACAAATTAACTTAATACTGGTTATTTTATTTTTCTGTTTATTTTGACTAAAATTTTAAAAATTAATAATAATAAATAATAATCTTACACTTAAATAAAAGTAATTTATAAATAACATCATTATAAATTAGATGTAATTATCATAATTTTAATTTTCTAAAAATAATATACTATTGTAACACAATAACTTTATTGAATTTTTTTTGATCACATAATTTGATCACATGTTTTATATAACTTAATTTTAATGTAGTTTAAACTATTTTACTTATTTTTATTAAATAATTCAATTTAAATAAGTTATAAAAACACAAAAAACTTAATTAACAATTATGAATTAAAATTGTAGTTTTTATAAATTTTAGGGGGGGTCTATTTCACTTAGTTTTTAAGTGTCAATTTTGATGAAAAAGTCTGGGGGTAAAATCCCAAAATCATCGTAATGGGGGATATTTTCGCAATACCGCACATACATATTGCTTAACACTGATATAATATATTTAGTAATAATAATAAAAATAATGAAAGTTTTTAAACAACACTACATTTGCAATGAGTTTTTGTTTGTATTATATGATGTCCTTTAAACAAACAAAAAATTAAAAAAGTTTTTTAATAAAAAAAATCTACGCTAAATTTAATATGTTTGAACAATAAAACTAATTTAATAAATATAAATATCAAATAATATTAATAGTTTAATAATTATTGATTTAACTCTAGCTTATAAATTGGATATTTTGTTCAAATTATTTATACAGTTAAAAATTTGAAAATATTATTTAAATAAGCTATTAATTGTAAATGTAAGCAATGTTTACTATTTACAAAATTAAATTTGAACACACATTTAGATAACTATTAAGTCTCTCTTTCTTTCTTTCTTTCTTTCTCTCTCTCCCTCTACACGTGACTGTCAATTCAATCGACACATCAAACACAAGAAATGACATTTAAAACTAGTATTAAATGTGAAAATTATTTTTTGTTTCACAAAATCTTGTGTTATTATATATTAGTCTCCCTTTTATTTGTTGGCATCTCTAACATGAATTCAATAGAAATTCTTATTTTTTGTCAAAATATTCTTATATATTGACAAAAATTTCATTTCAAAATATTTGATTCATTGTATAGCATAGTATTCATGATTGAATTGAATCCAATTTATTTCATTTAAAAACACTTACATATTTTGTATAACTTGTTTGTTCAATACATATGTTAATTTAAATGAATTAATTTTTTATCCTAATTTTATTAAAAATATACTGTATTAATTTTCTAAAGTGATTCTATCTACAATAAATAAAATTACAAAAATACAACAAATAAAAAAATAAATTCTGTTAATAATTTAGGCGTAAAATTTATCAATACTTTATAAGATTAACTTAATAGTTTTGATGTCAATAATAAATTAACAATTTCATAAATAAACATAATTAAATAGATATTGTTTGACTCCTATGATTTGTAATATAAAATTAATGCAAATTATATAATCTATCGCTAATGTTTTTATTGACATATACTCTATATTTTAAAGATAAAAATTTCATTAAACATGTTATATATAAATTACTGTATATACAGAATTATGCAAATTTTGTGTGTTTTGCAATATTAGAGGCGCAAAATTAATCAAATTTAATGATCCGCATCACTACCGGTGCACATCTCATATAAATTTAGTTTTATTTATTAAAATTTCTACTTTATTACATTTTTTTAGATATAATTTAAAAAAATCGTTTAAATACTGTATTTATTTGATTTTATGTATTTCATTTCTTGTTCATAAGATATAGTTTATTTATTTTTATGTTTAATATAAATTTAATGCAATTTAGTTGTAACTTATTATTTTAACTTTATGATTGACTTGAAATTATAATTAATTAATTAAATAATAAAATGATAAATTTAGTTTAATGGTTTTATAATTAACTGATATATAAGTTATTGATTTTTTTATATAAAATAAATGAATTCCTTAACAAAAAATGATAGGAATTTCTTAACTCATTTAACTCATGGCTCTCATAATATAAGTTAATAATATTAATTAATTTTGCTTTTTCTTATCATTTTCATAGTCTCTATGAGACATCAAGAATAATGAGCGCCGGGAGAGTGAGATACAGAAGCGATGGTTAATAGCGAACGGAATAGTAGTGTTGTATTTAGTGTTGTTGTGTTGGCCAGAGGTCTCTCATCAATCAAATAATAGGCGAAACTATATTTGCGAGTAAAGTAGAGCTCACGGAGTTATTTGTCTGTCGGTGCAGATGTACACTACAAGCACTGTATTTAAGGCCAATATTTTTTACTTAATCATCAATTTATTGCCGGCTTATGCTTTAGGTTTGTATTACTGGCTTATTATTTCTTACCAAACTATTTATGATACTTAATAATAATAATAATAATATTTGCTATTTATTTTTATTTGCTTTTATTATTATTACATTTATTAGGAAATTAATTATTTAAATGATTATTATTTTTTTATTTGAACATCAATTTTATTATTTAATAAATATTTAAATATTTAATAATTAAAATATTATTTGGGTTGTTTGGGTATTATTAGCAAATAAATTATTACTTTATTAACACAAGATATTCTGAAAATTAAAAAAAAATTCAATGTTTATTAAATTAATAAATATATTAAATAATAATGTGGTTTATTTGGTTAATCATATACAAAAATTTTAGGAAATATTAAATAATTTTATATAGCTATTATATATACTTAATATATACTTATATAACATTTAGTTTTAAAAATATACTTAATATAAGTTAATACAAATTATAATAATAATACATGTGATTGATTTTAATTGTTTGTTTAGAAGATTGTGTATATAATTTTGACAGCAATGAGAATCTTACGGGAAATTTTTCATCACCCGATTGGCCAAACAATTACTCGCATGAATTGAGATGTATTTATAATTTTAATGGACAGCGATTTCATGCAATTAATATAATATTTTCAGTTTTTGAATTGGAGTCGCCCTTCAATAAAGGGTTTGTTTGTATTTTGATTATTATTATTGTGTTTAATAGACAAACTATAAATAAATGTTTTTTAAATATAAAGATACTTATTTTTATATAAAATTAATTTAAATAAGAATATTATTTAACAAAGTAGATAAATACAAAAAAAATATTTAATAAATAAAATTTAATACTTAAACTACAATTTATGATAATTTGTAATCTAAAGTCAAAAAACATTAATTTAAATTAAATACCGGTATATAAAAATTAGCTATTTTTAAAATAAAAGTAAATGTTTTTTTCAAAGAAATGATAGTTAAATATTTGATAACAAAAGAAATATTTTTTTAATAAAAACAAACAAAGACTGTATTGTTTCAGATGTATAGCAAATTAAAAATGAAGAAAAGTTATGCCTTTAGGGCTCATACAAGAAATGAACAGTACTTTAGAGTAAAAGACATAAAATATTTGTTTTATTGATTTTATGTCTCATTTATATCATAAGTGAAAAGCTTTTGTCATTTTTAGTGAGTCTTTAAACAAGAAAACACTTTTCGTTTTACTATTAATTCTAAACTTAAGAAAACATTATATATTTTTTATTCCCACAAGAGATGAAAACTAAACTATATATACGGTATATATTTACTAAAATTTATATAATACAGTATATATTTTATTTTATACAGTATTTTACTTTTTAAATGTTTTTACAATCGATTAACTAAAATTGAGGCAATTTTATTTGCTAGTGTTTGTGAGTGTGTGTGTGTGTGTGAGTGAGTGAGTGAGTGTATAACTATATATGTATACAATACAGTATATACTGTTTTATATGTTAATGAAAATTTGACAAAAAAACTGAACAATCAATATCTAAACACATCAATAATTATTTTTTAAAATTTAAAATTTATAAAATAATATAAAATAATTAGATTAAAGAAAGATTATCTTTTGATCAAAAATAATTCATTAAGTTTGAAATGTTTATTTTAATTAAATATATATATATAACTAAATATTTCTTATTTTTAAATGTTATAATAATATTATTTTGTAATTATTAGAATAATTTAGATATTTTCACATTTTTAGTTAAATAATATTATAATTTATTATTTAAGTAATTTTTATACTTGGATAATAAAATATTGAATATTACATTGAAAGTAATAGTTATAACTCAATGTTTTTTATTGCACTAATATAGTAAATATTTAATTAGCTTTTTACATTAAACATGTTTATTATAGATAAAAACAAATAAACTAGCATTTTACATAAATGTTAATGTTCAATAAAATATTTTGAATGAATTTTTATTAATGATTTTATTGCTCTATCATATTATATAATAAATTTGTTTACATATGAAAATACATTCAGATTACATAATAAATATATTTACTTATTTGATTATTATTATATGTATGTCTGTATATGTTTAATGACAATTTTTTATAATGATATTTACATCTATATAGTTGTCTAACGGATTATATTGATATATCGACTATAACTGCCTTTAAGGTGAAGAGACTATTAGGCAGATATTGTGGTAATGAAGTGCCTTCACCTCTATTATCAATGCATCCACAGATAGAGATAATATTCACGACAAATCACGCCATAAGTAATCGCGGCTTTCATGGCTACTATGAGTTTATCGATGAGGGTATACATGAAAAATGTTTATTTTTATGCAACCATTTCATGTTATCACTTAATTGATTTCACCGATCGGTGTTTCGTTCAATCATAGGACTGATCGGTCCACCCGAGTCTACACCAAAAAACATAGTCGGTTGTGGCGGCAATGAAACGGGTATCGGTGGTATACTAGTATCACCAAATTATCCAGGTTAAACTAAATGCAAATTAGAGTTGTGCCAATTAAAAACTTTTGTTTTACGGTAATGTGTTTTTAGGTCCATTTCCTCGACAAATAGATTGCATTTGGCTGATTAGGGTTCAACAAAATCAACACATTTACATTAGGATGGTTGAGCTCCAACTGTTTGGTAGTATAGGTATGCAAATTGTACTATAATTTACAATTAGTAATGAAAAAGAGTTTTTAGTTAATTAGTTCTAAAAAATAGTAACTTATTTACTGTATATTTACTGTATTGTATATTAATATATCATAATAAACAAACAGTATGTTAACTATTGATCATTATTTCTATTTAATATTTTTAGTTAATAAGATATCAATAGTTTGAATAACTATTTAGTTTTTCAATAAAAAATTAAATCATAAATCTTTATGTAATGAGTCTTAACTTAATTACAATTGTAAATAAGGATTTAAAATATATTTTAATGTTATAATCAATTAATGAATTGTTATGTGAGTGACAGTCATGTGTCTAATTTACATTAATCTAATTAACAATTTTAATGAAATCCCATTTACTTTAAATTCAATTCAATTATAATTCAATTCTGATGTTTATACAGTACTGGATTCAGTTATATCTATTCAATACATAAATAGATGTTAAGAATATTCTATATATATTATATAAACATTATTAAGAAAATTATTAAATATAATGTGAAACCTAAGATGATTATACTGATTAGTCCAATAAGTTTTAAATGTTGAATATCAAGTTTATGATGAAAAATAGGACAAAAAACAGCGTTTAATCTAATGTAAAGTACAATCATTAGAGAAATTACTTTCTATTGTTATGCATAACATTTCATATACAATATTGTAATGAAATGTCTTTCTTGTATTTAATTTGTCTCTAATTTTTCTTTACATATATATATATATATATATATATACAGCATATATAACATATGATATATTCCTCAGTGCATTGGCATGTATGGCATAATTTGCCAATTATGATAATTTATGAATCTTAAAAAAGGCATAATTAGAAATGCTTTTAACATGTTTTATATATAAATTTATATAAAAAGAGATGTATTTATCTTATATTTTTGTCGAGAGTAAGAGCTCTCACTCAACACATACACAATGAGATAATGATGTTTAAGGGATTAAAACATTTATCATTTTTATCATATTTTTGTGTGTTCTCGCAAAACGTTGATAACAACAATAATAATGTATTAAATATAAGAAAAGACAGAAAGGAAGACAAGTGATGACAGAAGAGAGACATTGTGTCTGACGTTAAGAATTAAACTTAAAAATTCAATTAAACAAATGTCAGTTGAAATACAATATGACTTTTATATAAAATATTCAATTATTACTATATTGTAAATTATTTGCTAATTTGTTTATTATTATTTTAGTTTTTTCTTACATAATCATCCATAATATTGATTAATTTAGCATTTTAAATAATTAATATTAATTAAATATTATAAATATATATCTAGGTTTAGCAAACATTTGATAAAATCATACAATAATTATATTAAATATTTCAAAATATATAATTACTGTGTATTCAATAAATTAAATGAATAAATAAAAGAATTATAATATGATATAATAAATAAATTGAATGAATGAAAAATTGTAAGGTTTTCAAACCCATAATGAATAGTCAATTTAATGAGAAAATATTTTTGTTTATAATCAATGTATTCAATGGACAGCCTATTGCAAAGACGCTCAATTAGCTATATATGATGGCTTCGAGAGTCTCGAGTTCGAGCCTAAGAAACCAAAACAATATTGCGGTGATCTTACATACTATAAGAATGTTGAGGACAAGGTTCTCCTCTCACAAAGCAATCGTTTATTAATTAGGTATGTATTTCCATATACACAGACACACACACACACACACACACACACACACACACACACACACACACACACACAACCATCATATCTTTATCCAATAATAAAAATAAATGACAACTCATATATTTATTTTATTTTTTTCTCTTTGAATCAGATTTAAAAGTGACATAACATCTGAACAATGGAGTGATCAGGTGTCCAGAAATCCTATCACTGGATTTAAGCTCATTTGGACGGCCATAACATTTACAGCAATCGGTATATTCAATCAAATAATAGCTCTTAAATTAATATTTATTACCAAATTTTCATAGTTTCCACTTTTATTTTGTATAAAATACTACTGCAAACTATGAATTATTATGAGTTTATGACATTTTTGAACAATTTAAGCCCCAATAAAGTGATTTTTATTATTATCTACACTTTTTTTTGCTGAACTTTTTAGTTGTATTAAAGGTTTGTTGATATAAGCGATCGATGCAAACCCTGTCTTAAGTTATGAGTTTCCTCTTTTTAAAAATATCTGCACTTTTGTATGTGGTTTACATATTAATGGTTTTGCATAAAATATTTGGTTTAATAGATAACTTCAAGTGTATGACATTATCTAGTTTATGTTTAAAAATGTTTTTTTTTGTTAGTTTTTCATACTCTATAACAGAATCTATTAAAATGAAAGAAATTTAAATTAATAATAATAGATATTTTTAGTAAAAAAATTAATATCAAGTAATTAAATACATTTTCTGTACATTTATATATAATAGAGGATTTAATTAAATTGTTTAATAAAATGACATAAAATCACACACATTTAATTTATATAATAATATATATATATTAAATTTTAAAAATTAATTATTTTGTTGCATAGTATTAATAATAATTATGATATATATTATTTATATTTTAAGGTGAATGCAAACAATTTCAATGTAGTGGCAGTCAATTTTGTCTAAAGCCAAGCAAATTGGTCCGAAATTGTGATGAATATCATTCATTTTGTATCGACAATAGTCTACAATGTAATGGTGTTCCCAATTGTAGTGAACAAGACTTCTCTGATGAAGACAAATGTAAGTCATTTTATAGGACACTTGAAATCTATAGTAATTTATATTTGAAATCTAATTTGAGACTAAAATGTGCACTGAATTTGTGATTTGAGGCCGAAATTCAAAAACCAATTTAATTGGATTTATAATTAAAATTTATTTCCTTTGTTTACTATTATAAACTACTTTTAGAAAAATAACAAAAACAGTTTTATTTAAAATTAACTAAATTAAAATAAATTATGCATTTTCACATTTTAATTTTTGTATAATTGACATAATTATAGATTTTTCTACTTTTAATTAAAATATAATAAGACATTTGTTTAATATATAAGTTTAAGTTTTTTATGAATACTATGATAAATAATATTTATTACATATAAGCATATTATTTGATATACCTTATATACTGTATAACTTATAGTAAATATAAATATACAGTATTTATTATATAATTTTCTTAGAAAAGGATTAAATTTAATACTAAAATATTTGATTTATTAAAAATTTCATATTTTATAGTACAATAATTTTGCTAAATTCTTAATACATAACAATTAAGATACTATTATATATAGTATGTAAAGATTTGTTATGTTTGAAATAAAAGTATAATAAAAATTGAACGCAAATATTGAATTATGAAAAATGTATTTTAGGTTTGAATCTAACATAAACTCAATATTACAAACTTTATGTCTTATATAATATGAGTTATATTACGGTAGCTTTTTGTGAGTGCAATATTGATATCAATGACTACATGTATTTGACATAAAATTTTTTACTTTTATATAATGTTTTTGTTTGAATCCATTATTTATTTGGTTGTTTCCCCTAAAAAGAAATTTTTTCTTATAAAATAATGTTCATATTTATAGCGATAACTGTATAAAAACTCTGATATTTACTTTTAAAGCACTTTTACGCCAATAGTCTATATTATAGTACAAAAATGCATTTATCCTTTGATGGATTACTAGTAGTCTTGTATTTCCAACAAATTGATGAAATAGGAAAATAGAGAAATTTCTATTAAATTTTAAAATAAATATCAATATATATTAATAATATATAAATTGTTTTGTATTAATTAAAAAAATTATCTCAAAAAATAATGTTTATATGCAATTAATATTGAGATAAAAAAAAATTATTTGCTTTACATTAAAACTGACCAATACTTTAATAATAGGTAATGTATCCCTGTTTGTGGGCGTCAGCACTGGTATAGCAATAGCAATAATAGTGATAATAATATGTATCTGTTGTTGCCGTCGACGCGCAGATCGGGCAGAAACCAGACGTAAAGAGTCGGCGGCTGACCTGAATCGGGATGAGTCGAGTTTGCATTCCCGACACTCCGACCAAAGTACCTATTATGCAATGCGTCCCATTGGGGACTACTATCCGACACAAGTAACCGAACCTCATGTGATCAACTGTTCAGTTCACGGACACAGAATGGCAGTCAACGCACCCGAAGTTATGGCACAAAATCACTCGCCATCTTATCAGAGGACAGACAACATTCAAAAACTCGATTACATTCCCATTGATGTCTGACCGAAGTTTTTACTCATAATTTTTTTAAAAATATATAATTATTATAAATCATATTATATTTGATTATAAAAAACATATTCAAGTGTTTTTTAAAACTAGGTGTATAACAGTTAGTTCATATTATAAAATCAAATACAAAATGATATATATAAATATATAATTTTTTATCCATAATTCTATATCATAATTTAAATTTTTGCAATTATGATATATGTTATACTTAGCAAAACAATTTTACAATTTATTATAATATTTATGTTTAAAATATATCTTTTTAAAAAATTTGTTGATTATATAAATCTCTTAAAAACATATCTTATTTATAAAAATAAAGTAAATTTCTTAAATATATATATTTATATATATACTTGAGTTAGTGAGTGACTTAGCGGGTGAGTGAATCGGATAAGTTTAAGAGACAATATAAATATTTTTAGGAAAAATGCAATTTTTGTGGACAAAAACTATCATTGAATAAACAAAATAACAATTTATTATAAGAAAACACATCAGTTCTGTATTTGATTTTTTTATTTTATTCAATTTCATCACATCTATGAACTAAATCTACAGAATCTCAATATACTGTATAAACGATTCACGCATTGTTTAACCAAAATTTGTTAAGATTTTTATATTATATAAGTATTATGTTTTAGAATTTCGTAAAAAACAAATCAAATCGGATTATTAATAAAATATTTTTTTCTCTAACAAAATAATTTATAAATAATAATACAAAAACTTTGTGTTTTCTATTCTCTATGATATCATATATTTTTGTTCGGCTTATCAAAAAATAGCTTAAGTAATATTGAAAAACCATTTATTAAATGCCAAACTGAGATAAACCATTAGTTTTGAAAAGTGAGTCAGTATGAGATGGAGAGAGAGAGAGAGAGAGAGAGAGAGAGAAAGAGAGAGAGAGTTGATACTTGACAAGACTTTTGCTTATAAATAAAATACTTGATGTCCGGTCACGCGAGTCGTGGTTACACTATCAGTGCTCTCATAAGTCATGGATATGCCATGAGATGAGTGCTTTTTAAATGAAATAGCAATTTCATTATCAATGATGACACCAATGGCTAACCACCTCATCATCAAATTCTTCTCTTTATGTGATGTGTTTAGTTTTCATTAAAAATCTATTAAATAGATATATGGGTTTATTTGAATTGTATACTCACAGCAATTGTTTTATTTCAAATGATTCAAATAAATAGTTTGATTTTGTTTGATCTGTTTGTTTGCTTTTATACTACGCTAAGCCCTTAAACCATTGAGAGTAACCATAAAGTGCTGTCAAATAAATTGTTGTCACAATTGACTCTTTATGGCTACTTATGGATACTTATGAGTTATAAGTTATGACTATTGGATTATTTGATTAATTGAATGAATGACACAATAATTAGATTACCGATTAATCATTCAATTTACATATCAATAACATTTGGTATGTCAGCTAATATATAAATTGAATTTTAATTTTTTTCTAAATAAATCAACCAATGTATTTGCAAAAATATTTACTAATTATATCTCATATTAGTATCATATATATATAGCATCAAATAAAAACCAAACATTTGGAAAAAAAATGATTAATTTTATTCAAATATTTATTACTTAAGAGAATTACATCGATATTTTAAGGCTTATATTAAGTTTGATATAATAAGCTTAAACCTTAATGTCTAACACAATTACGTGACAACATATATACTACTCTACTGTATTTCATATGTATGTCTATATGTCTACTGTATATTAAGTATGTATTTTCACAGAAAAAATGATTATATAATGTTATATAATGTCTAAAACATAATTTTGTTTAAGTAGTTCATTACGATATATTAGAAATAAAATTGATAAACAGTTTTAAGAATAATATTGAATAAACAAAAATCAATAAAAATATCAAAATATAAAAAATTATATCATATATATTCAGTAATTAGTTAATTAAAAATATTAAAATAAAATTTTAAAAAATGAGTTAATAATTAGTATTGTTTACTAAATACCGTATATATACTGTATTAGTAACGGTTAAATGTTTGGCACAACTTTTAATTGGCAAAAAAGATTATCCTCTGATTAGATCAAGAGATTAATAATTGTATCAATAGATTGATCACTTGATAAGGATTGTCTCAATCCTCGAGCTTACGCTTTGGTTTCTTTGGATTACGAGATCGACTTTTAGCCTTACATAGAGGACATATCGGAGCGTTTCGGTGGATCTGTTGATGACATGAAAGACATGACTTCATTGGTGGCGGCTGTTGACGAAATGCTGCCGGAGTAGGCCTTTCAGTGGGTGCCGAAGTAATTGTCGAGTGATGCGAAACGGCTACCGATGGCATAGTAGCCGACATCTGTGGCTTCGGTCGAGCGGCAGCCATATGCAAGTGCTGTGCGGTGGCGGCCGCAGCTATAAGCGACTGAGGCAACACCTGATCATTAATTTCGGGCAACATTTGTCTCCACTCGTGTTTGCGTTTCTCAAACAACTCGGGCTTAAATTTGTCGCTCTCTTCGCACAGTTCTGGAAGTCGAGGCAATCCAATGTCAGCCCTAAGCTTATCAATCAGTTCTTTCAATGGTTGATACTCTTGCATAATGTGTTGAACATTCTCTTCGTGATGATTGCTGTCTTCATGACTCTGTTTCAACACATTTTCCATTGCATTGATATCTGCATGTATTTGTCTGAGCTCTTCCACGTGTGCCATCTTCTCCTGAAGCAATAAATCCATTTCCTTCTTGTATTCATCAAAACACTTGCCTTCTGTCTCTCTTGAATCCAATTCTTGTTTCAATCGTGACTTGAGTTTCTCMAACTGAATGGTACGAGACCTGCAAATATAGACATCAGTTATTCTGGTGATGACAATGACAACCAATCAATTGATATCATATATCAATCAACTCAATGGTCTACAAAAATAGATGGATTGGTTTATCATCTAAAATGTTTGTGAAAAATACCATCGATTTGATTGATGACAATCAATCAATCAATCACTTAATTGTCTGATAATAATAACTAAATGACATAATTGTTGTCCTCAATGGTAACAAACCTGATCTCTTTAAGACACTCTAACTTTTCCATCATAACTGTCTCGTTGTCATCCATTGTCTGACAACTCTTTATTGTCATTCAATAAAAACTCAATGAATGACATTCACTGTTGAGTGACATCTGGTCTCACATAACGACAACACATATGTTGTTGTTGTCTAACGTCAAGCAATACATTGCTCTCAACGTTACGATTGTTTGTAATCATCAAAAAAACAACAACTGATCCATGGCTTCATCGTAAACACCACTTCGCTGTTGTTATTCTTTTAAATCACTTTTATTTTTAAGAATCAGTTGTTATCAGTGATAATGTCGTCGTTATTTAAGAAGTCTAACCGTCGGTCACAAAACCGGTCAAATCAGAGGACACGAATGGACTCGGAGTCTGAAGACGACACCAGAAATCACTCAACTAATGGTGATATTAATGGTTTGCGACAAAAGAATAATAATGAGAACTCAGTGAAGATCAGTGACAATGACTTAAATAAGGACTCGGATGTCATACCAAAACCCAAATCAAATCCAAAATTAAGTTTTGATGTCGAAGAAGAAGGTATTCAATAACTTGTCGTTAATTTGTTAAAATAATTTTATAATTATTTATTATTATTATTTTAGGCGATGTCTTCAAAGTAAGAAAGTCTTCATATAGTCGTCGTTTGGCTAAACAGACAGAAAACAAAACAAAGAAAAAAGATATAAAAAAAGAAATCAAAAAAGAGAAGATTGAAGACGAAGATAACAATAATAATTCATACGATAAGACTTATGACAAAAACAAAAATGATTTAAATGTTGTTTGGATTAAGTCTAAAGAAATTAAAGAAGAAACTATTGAAGAGAAGCCCAAAGAAGCGACGAAGATCTTTGCCGGCGATCAGATTGAGTCAGAGAGTGAATACGAAGAAGAAGAAGAGTACAGAAGTAACGAACCATTTCATCACTTCAGAGGTGCTCTTGAAAGAGGTGTTATACCCGACGCTAAGACTATCTATGAACTGAAAAAACAACGACAAATGGCCAGAGATATCGATGACTTGATTATTCCAATAAATGAAGAAGACAGATATGAAGAACAAATGATTGGTTCACGAATGGTTAGAGACGATGATAATGATAAAAGTGATGACGACGATGAAGATGACAAACGGATATGTTTCTCAATAAACCAAAAGGAATTGGAAAGAGTTAAGAATAGAGAAGCCTTTTTGATAGCTCAGGAAGAGAATGACAACCCGTCGTCGCGATCCGGATCTGAATCGGACGATGAATTGGACAGATGGGAGAGGGAACAGATCAAGAAAGGCGTTCGTATGCCTGTCGTACAGATATTAACTCAAGAACAGGCCTCAAGTCGGGCAATATCTGGTCTATTCATTGATGACACTCGAGTCATGGATATGGATATCGATAGACCTAATCGTCACAAAAAATCTAATTCAATTCCATCGAAAATATTGAACCAAACAAAGAGTTCGATAACAATGGATGATATTTTAGAGAGAGTAAGGAATAAATTAACTGAAATAAAATCGTATACAGAAGGGAATGAAAGACAATTGAATACAATGACCGTTGAAGCGGATCAACTGAGGGATCGGTTAAGACAATTGTCACAAAAAAGAGAAGAACTAACTAATAGGTCAACACAGATAACTCGTGACCAAATGATATGATCACTATTTTGTGGTTAAATATGATATTTTTTAATCATATGTCTGTAAATATTTAATTAATTACTGTTTATGTAATTTTAGACATACCTTACATTTCCATTAATTTATACCATTAATTAATACCAATAAAAAATATAATATTTGTTAATATTTTGATGATTTTACTAATTAGACAAACTTTGTTCACAATTTAAATTATAACTTACGTTACACAAAGTACTACTAAAAAATGTTCAACAAAAAAAAGTTTGTCAGAAGTGGGGTTCGAACCCACGCCCTCATCAGAGGACCAGAACTTAAGTCTGGCGCCTTAGACCACTCGGCCATTCTGACTAATCATACTCTCTCTACAGTTACTTACAATACAAATATTTACGCCACTGTTGAGCAACTTTGGGAAATAAATTACAATTTCTATACACATTTTGTAAACACTTTATTACACTTTATTACACATTATACCGGTATATATAGTACTATATTAGTTGATAATAGAGTGCGCAATAGTAGTCAATTGGTTTGGTTTTGATTATCGGATTTTATTTTACAATTTCTGGTTAAACTTTTATGTTTGTGTCGGTTAACAATATCTTTAATTTGCTACTTGAGTTTTATACCATTTTACATATTAATTATAGATTACAAATAAGTTATAGGTTTTTGTAAATTAAATATATTTATTATTATTATTTAATATAATTTATGAAAGTATATATAAATTTCATAAAATATCATAATTTTTACAAAAAACAAACAAAATCATTAAATAACTACTAATATACTGTATATGACTACAAATAAATCAAATCCGGTTCTTAAGATTGAAGTTTCAAGAAGTATGTCTCGAAAGAGTAAAGAAATGTTTGGTGTAAAAGAAGAGTTAAGGCAACGATAAAAATGGCTTTAATTTTGGACATATTGTTGGCCTTTACTCGACAGCATTGGACTAATGATATCAATAGGAATGCCTCTAATAATAGATCGATAATAGGTTTTAGTTCTTGTGTCCAGAGAATGGCCGGTAAAGAAAATATCTTTCCGTACGAACAGATGATGAATGACGACAATAAGTTCTTCGGTTTAGATGAGCCGCACATCAATGTGAAGAGTAAATATAGCATTGAATAGAAAAGTAGATTTTCGGTTATACTTTTGGTGAAAATGAGATAAAAACTAAACTCGAGTTCAATATATGACTTGTAGTGTTGCGTCTCATTAATGGACGACCACTTTCGGTAGGCATCGCACAGACCAAACACAACGGCTAACTTTAGCGGCACTTTCTTATCAAAGACAGAGTTCAGCAAAATATGTCTATAAAAGCTTTGTTTTTGAAGAATGGCGTCTAAAAATAGGATACAATTGTCTAACTGGACGTATTCATCGACCGGTTGACCACATTTAAGACATTCAGTTAGCTTCAGATGAGTCGTGTTTTTCTTCAAAACGGGATTTATTACGGAACCGTTGTTCTGTCTGTTGCCGTATATCTTAAATACCGATTGATTGTCACCGAAACCACAGTTACAACAAACGTAGGGACCGATTGAGGACAACACAAACATTTCGGACATAATTAGTTGCAAAACTATTACTAAAACTAATTAATTAAATTAATTTACAATAAGGAGGACTAAACTATTTATATTAAACTAATCGACTGATTAGTTCAGGTGATGATTGCAATCACTTGTTTTACTGTTTTTGTTGCACTTCTTCTTCTTTTTTCAGTATTTCACTTTGTTTTTCTTCAGACAATTTAGTATAAGATTTGAATCTAATTGATCCAAATGTGTCTTTGAATTTACTGACAAATGATCGGTCAAATTGTATTTCCAACTCTTTGAGTCCTTCCGTCGAAATAACTCGTTTGCATTCATCGGCCGTCAGTCCCGACGCCGACGACTCGTAAAATGTGGGCTTAAAATAGATGTTTCTGTTGAGTCGTTCCAAAGCCGCTATGTTTTCCTCTAAGTCTTTCAGTTCATTGGTCTTCAGATCAGTTAGTTCTGCCTTAGGAAACAGTTTTTGCAACTCTTGTCGTAAATGTGTGGCAAAGTCGCGACCAGTTTTGGTCGTATCGATTGACCATTGATTGCAAACTAAGAGATATCTTCTATAAAGTGCAGACACTGAAGACATGTGAAGCGCTGGTTGTTTGGATGTCGTATCTCAAAGAAGTGGTTAGTCTTGAGATATAATTAAACGATTAATAATAATAACACAAGAGGTGTGTGAAGACTATAAGTAGGTATTAGTCATGCATTCAATCAAACAATCAAAACATAGACTCAATTCAATGATAAACATGTGATTCACTGATTGTTTTAATACACAGTATTGTCAATACAGAGGGAGACTCTATAATAGCATTCAACACATTCAGTGCACAGTTATTATAGCAAAGTTTGGATAACTTAAGGGTCATTGGGAACGACACAATAATTGGGACTTTATTGGGAACACCCTATTGGGGACACACTTTTTTATAATGAATTTTAAATACATTTTATTAAAAAAATTTAAATTCTCCATAAAAAATTCAATATTTATATTAAAGATATATTTTAATTAATTAATTATCGATAATTGCTATTTTTGGCAATAGAGAGAAATTAATCTACAATATTAATTTAATTACATTTATTTATTTTTATTAAATTAAAAAATATATACTAAATATAAATGATTTTACTTATAAAAAATTAACAATACCTATAACTAATGACAATTAGACTAGAAAAATATTTTTTGATTATTATTTATTGCTTTATTATCTACTAATTGGTCGCTAACTAATTGGTCCCATAGCTAGAAGATGACCTCTTCATACGATTTCTTCATGTTTGTCAACTTTGCTAATAAGTGTTGAATTGTTTCTACCCTTTGAACTAATTTTGCCACAAATATAGGGTAACACTTCGTCAATCACTTTATTGGTGAATTCAATGCCTTTATTCTCTTTAATCTATTAAGACAACAGAATATTCTTCAAGAATATATAAATATTGTAAATATATTGTTTGTTATAATACCAGAAACAACATAAACAACTGTCCAAACGATACTTTTCGTAAGTCAAAGTCTTCGGTCATCGATTTAGTTGCGGGAAATGTTCGCTTAAAATAATAGGATCGCAGGTATGGACTGAATAAAATGGTGACATTGATGGCAATTTTAATCATGAGAACCACTGATATAATTGCAAACCAAAACCACAAGAATATGAAAATCTTTTCGTTATACATATTCAATGGCAATATACAGAGCGAGTCAAACGTTTGGATGCTTCCGCCGGAACCATACTTATGAAACATGCATTTCGTCATCTTTGGGAATACCTGTGCCCAACATAACAATCATAACTATTAATACATAAACTAATATAAGGCTTACCCGAGTCAGTGCATCTCTTTTACTTTCGGGTTCAGACAATATAAAACTAAAGACATTGAGTCCATAGCTATAGAACTCGCCGTTAAACAAGAGATCAATTAGAAAGATCTGTAGGAATGCGTTAAACAATGCTAATAGACTACAGCTCAGGTAGTTTCGGGCATAAGAGTCGTATTTGCGGTATTTGACCAGACATTTACTAATGTGAGTCTTACGACATCTGTTCAAACAGCGGCTATCTTTCTGGTTGTGATGACACTCCCAATTCAATAATCTATCCATTGTTTCGCTCTCCAAGTTCTTCCAGAACCAGTGCGGAGTGTAGAAGAATAGGGCCTCAATAAAGTAGATGAACCAAATCCATTGGTAATACGGATATTTGATTTCATCGGTTCCCTCACGCAAACCAGGATAAGCCACTTCTTTGCCGAGCTGTCGATTAAATGCGTTTCGGATCAGATAAGTGTGATGTATTAGACAGTAAGTGTTGAGTACCGATCCCTTTACAAAATCTCTATTGGAATCGCAATCTATAGGTTCGCCGACAATCTGTTTAGTGGTAACAATAAGAAAACAAAATAATAATAGCATTGATGTATATTTGCAATGCAAACGAAATGCTAAGTCTTCAACACAGGTCTTCTTAAACTTTAAAAAGTGTAATAAATTTCTAAATATATCAATCATTGTATCATTAGTTTTGACAAAACTAATGTTTTAATTAATTAATCATTTATTTTATGGATCATTAAACAAACTAAATACAATATCAAAAATTATTAAATTATAACTTTTTTTATATAACTTTTAAATATAATTTGATATTTTTATAATCATATTACATATCGATTAAAAAATTAAATACCATTTTCCCCAATTTATTTCTTCATGTTTACATTATAAATAAAGTTAACAATTATTCTTAATTTAAATTAATTTAATATTAATTGTCTTAAAATTAATGATCTGAGTCTTCGATGACTTAATTATTCACAAACATTACCAATGCTTATAATATTTTTAACTTTGAGTGAAATGTTGTCATTTTTAGTCTGACTCTATAGTAAATTGACACTTACCCGTAGTTTTGTTTTTACGATATTGTTTTACACTAGGTTTTACTGTATATACTGTAAAAAATGAGATAAAGTTATCAAGATAATTCTACACCTAATTTCCAAAATTCATTTAATTCAACATGAAGCATTATATAAAGTAATAAGGTAATTTAATTACAATTGTTTAACAATTTTATAATAAATATGTTTAACTAATAACTTTAACTATGTATAACTTTAATAAGTTATTTATTTATATTTTTCAATAGTAACAATAAATAAAACAAAATAAGTTAGTTATTTTAACACCTAAATAAACAATGAATTAAATAACAATATTGAAAATTTAGTGCAAATGTAACAATAAACGCTTTATTGCTTATTGACAATAGCTTTAAAGTTTAAAATTAGAAATCATATGTAAAGATTTAATTAATTTTTAAACAAATATTATATATAAATATACAGTATTGTTAAACATATAAATTTATTAAATTAAAAAGTATATTAAAATCCAGTACATATCATATTAAGTGATATACAATACCAATTGCAAAATCAATGTTTTTTTTCAATAATATAATCTATTCATTATTATTATATCATATAACTTATATGATATACAATTACTATAAAAGTTTATAAACTTTAATAATCACTGATTTATAAGTAAAACTCTCGACACAGGTATCTTAAAATTCAATACATCCTATATTATTGAAATATATTATATAATAAACTGAATGTCATTTTTTAGACTGTTATACACTTTAGGAGAAAGTAAATTCAAATAAATATATGTATTGAGAATATACGTGGTCTCCAATGATTTATATTATGGCTAATACTCGAAGCAATTGAAAGAATATATCATGAGGGGATGTAATGTTGAATATAGTGACCAACATTTTTATATTATTCCTATATTTCTATATTTAATTTCTATGTTTCACATGTATATATATATGTTAATATAGCGAAATAAGCGATTGCATGAATTTATTATAATTTTATAAATACTATAAATAATATGTAGAAATATTTTTTTTTAAACTCAATAACTGTTATTTGAATTATTATTATATAAGATTTTTACATTTATTTTCTTTGAATTATATGACAATATTATAAATAACTTTTAAAATACAATTAGATTTTCAAAGATATACATTAATAATTTTTGTAAACCTATCGCATACACAGTTCTCCACTATACCTGTCCGTACAGATCCTCGATTGCTGTGTATATTACAACTTGTAATTTACAGGCAAAACCTGTATAGTTGTGTGAGTCTAATGTCAAATCTAAAACTACTGTAGAGATATAGACATATAAGCTATGAATCCAAAAGGTTGCGATCAATAATTCAATAAATATTGTATACTATATATAATATTTTTTATATATTTGATAAAAATATAATTTAATTTTTAAATTAAATATAGATTTAGTGAAGTGATACTTGACTTGAATTCAATATGAATTTTATATTTAAATACATATATAAAATAAGTTTATAATTTTATATTTTTATAAATTACTTATTTAGCTTAAAATTATAAGAAATATCATATCTAATAACTTAAATAAGAATAAAACTTAAAAATGATTAAAAAATGTCTTTTTTATCACTTTGTTGGCAATAATTTAGTTATCAATATCATTATAATTTATCATATCTTCACTTTTGTAGTCAAATTGGGATCAATTGATTGATAAACATATATCTGGAAAATATATAATACAAGTGTCTAAACCATAGCATTTGACTCTTGTGTTTGTGAAGCGCACACAACAACAGATAATAGTCACTAAAAGATATAATATTTATGTCATAATCAGCTGTTTTGGTCATAACATTGATGGCAATACTGATTGGCAGTTCAAACAGTGATAAGTACTTTCTGAAGATAGATATCGATTGCAAACAATATATCGACACATCTTTCATGTCTTCTTTAAGATCCCGAAGTGCTGTATATATAGACCGATGGTTAACGTGACCACTGATACCGTAATCATCAAAAGTCACTATACTATTGATGTTATGCTTTTGGACAAACTCTTTGACATAGCGTTTGATGACAAGTTGGTCCCACCAGACACTGCTATTGTCTGGCAGTGCACTGTCGTCAATCACATGGACATCGTTGACACCTAAGACTTGACAGCACTCTTGCAGTTCCCGAACCCGTTGGCCACCGATTCCGTAAAAGTTGCCGTTTGACAAACACAACACAAACACCCGATGTTTGCGGTCAACGCTGTCTATAATGGTTGGCCCGAAAAACATAGACTCGTCATCAGGATGTGCGGTCACAACCAAAATATTCTGATCACTCTTTACCGGCGCTCTACGGCCCGATCGGTGGCCACTAAGCACTAAATAAACGGCAAAACTGACGTAAAACAAGACAAGTGTTTCAAAAAACATTTTGTTTATAATGTTTGACAACACTTGACATCAAACGTTCATAGAGTACGTCAACACTGAATATCCATTCAATTGAATTGCATTACATTTTATCCATTCATTCAATTGAATTATTGTAAATGCAATAAAAGTTTTATTATATTTCAATCTTTTATAACAATCTAATCAGTTGTTTATTTATTTATTTATTATTTGGTATTTTATTTTTAATCTGTTATATAATATAATAAAATGAATGCATAATTACTAAATTTCATGAGATTTTCTATATATTTTGATTTAATAGTATTTTATAAATATATTTTTGTTGTTGAAAAGATTAAACTTTTAAATGAGTAAAATGCTTCAAAACTAACTTTAATAAAAACAAAATTATCAAACTAAAATTATTTGAATTAAAATTATATATATATATATTGATAAGTTAAATGTGTGTGTGTGTGTGTGTGTGTGTGTGTGTGTGTGTGTGTGTGTGTGTGTGTGTGATTTAAATTTAAATATTATCATCCGTTTGTATTTTTATATAACACTAAAATTGCAGTAAATATTAAATAGTTGTATAAAAGTAGTTGATGTTTAATATGATTTTTATCTCATATTTAATAAATTTATTTTTCACATCAGATGATTCAAATAATATGAATTCATATAATAAGAAGTTGTATATTAAATTTAATATTTTTTAAATGTAAGTCTATTCAAATTATTTAATTATTTTTTAATTTTAAATATATGATACGCTTAGTAACATAATAGTACAGTAGTGGTTGGAAAAAATGCTGACAAATTATTTCAATAACATTTAATCTGATTTTGTGTTAATCAAAAACTATCAAATTTTATAATAAATATTTATAATCTTATATAAGAATATACTGTACACGTTATACAGTATTAATATTAAAAACAAATGTTTTTTTTAACTAAATGAAATTTTGTTTTCTTTAATAAACTTTGGTATATCGCATAAGCAAACTTGAAATATAGGTAATGTTATACACTGTTGTACATATGTATAATATACAGTATAAATATATCAAAATTACTAAAGCAAAGTACAGTAAATTTTTATTATTGATATTTTGCTATCAATAATACACTTACGGATATTCTTTCTATAGAAATGGCATTTACCTTATTTGACAAACTTTTGAAATGCATTTAAAATCTGAAATAATTCTAAACTTTTATAAAAAAAATAAATGTTATTCAAATAGATGTGAATTTTTAAGAAATATAAAAGTTATATACTGAATATATTTATGAATAAAGTTTGAAATACCATTAAAAATTAAATTTATTTTTTTATATAAAGGCAATAATATAATAGAAATACAGTTAATTAAATATAAATACATAAACTATATTTTATGAACAATTTCATTAATAACAGTACAATAAAATAACTGTCAAATATATATAATACATATTAATATGTTATATATAACTTAATGAGTACTGTATAATATACAATGTAAATGAATGTTACTAAATGTATAATAAATATCTATAAAATGTAAATTATATAACTTTTGAAGTCATTTGATTTTGATGTAATCGGCAACAGAGCTGATGGGTGTCTGACCGACCATGAAGTGGGCAATCTTGACGTGGAGTCGGAAGTCATGTTCATTGGTCCACAACTGTCCGCACAAATTACACTTAAATATCTTGCATTCATTGCTGTGTTTGACAGCGAAGTGCACTTGAATCGAGACTTTGCTATCAAACATATCACGACATAGTGAGCACTGGTAGAGATGGTGTGCGTGAATGTCCATCAAGTGCTTCTGGAGTTCATCCGGTTTGCTGAACGTCTTAGTGCAACACTCGCAGCCATAGTTTGTGGTAACAGTTCCCATATGGCAGTTAAGTATATGTGATTCAAAATCAATTGCGGTCACAGTTTGGTCGCAATGCGGACATTGAGCCGATTGGAGGGCCAATGGATGGCTGGGAAGTTGCTGTTGATCTGCCATAAGGTGTGACTTAATATGTATGCGAAATGACTCAAAATCATGAAAAGCGGGCGAAGGAGAGCATTGATTACAGAGTAAAACTGTTGACGGCTGTGGAGGTGTGGGTGTTGTGGGCGCCACAATCAGCGATGATTTGCTTATTTTGCCCTTTTTTGGTGACGGCGGTGATGCCGAACCATTGCGGAGACTTGAGTGTCGAAACATTAGATCACTAACTGGTGTGAGGCCTGGTATGGGTGGCGGTGGAGGCATCAATGATTGCCAACTTGAAAGGCCTAAACCGCCTAAACTATGATATAAAGGATTTTGTAAGAGACCGGCAAACAGCAGATTCAGATGTGTTTGTCTCATATGGGTCTCAAGTGATGCACATTTGATACCACAGAAGCCACACGTTATCAATGTTTGTGTCGGCGATGAACGCGATTCACTGTTGTTTGTATTGGAAGGACTCAGTCGGGAAACGCTTTGCACCACAGGATCCGGTGATACCTTTAGTTTACATTCAATGATATAAACAAAATTTTTGTCAATAAATATATGGATGAGAGAAATCCTCAAACAATTTTATATTAAATTCCTATTTAAAAACTACTGCTGTTTTAAATTACTAATTGAACGTTGATATGAATGAGTGACTTATCTCAGTAATCAATTTCAGGAATTTATTTAAAAAGCAATTAAACTTTTTTCATAACTATTTTTTCGAGATATGCAAAAACTATATATATATATATATATATATATATATATATATATATATATGTGCTTAAAAATTATCTTATTTGTTATGAATTCATGTCAAAATATTTAGCTATTTTGTTTATGTATGTATGACTATATGTATCTAAAAATATTATCCGAGATAATATTTATATGACAGAAAACACTAAAAAAAAAGTTTTAAAATCAAAGAAAAGCAGCGAAAAAAACAAATTATATTCTCTAACAAATATAACAACATTTTTTGATGATATAACTAATGTATTTAACAGGAAAGTGGGCATAAAAATTATGTTAAAAATATCTGACAAATACCTTATTAGTGGCATCGATAGTCTCGCAACGACTTTCCTGCTTCAATGGGTTTGTTGTACTTAAATTGATATTATTTTCAATATTTTTATCGTCACTATTCATATCAGTGTTATTATCACTGCTTTTGGTGGTGCTATTGTCATCGTTGTTGATATTGTTGTTGTTAGTCGTAATAGTAGTGGTATTGGTATTGTTGTTGGAGTTGTTACTATTGGCGTTTCCATTGATTTTATTATGATTGTGATTAACATTTGCATTATTATTGTTGTTGCCATTGATATTATGTACTGAGGAGTTGCTGTTGATGTTGTTGTTATTGCCGCCGACAGTACTGTTATTTCTTTTGTGGTTTTGCATATGACTGGTTAGGGCTGATGTATGTATTAGGTGTTCCAAACAACGGAGAGAACAGGGAGGTTGGTATGAGAGAGAGAGAAAAAAAAAAGATTGATAAGAAAAATACATGTTTAATATTTCAGACACAATCGCTATTCAATGTATATTCAAAAAAAGTAACAAATTCTTAACAACTTTTTTTGTTTTGTTTTTATTTTATTTTTTTGTTCTCTTAACTAATGTATTAATAATTCAAATGCTAAATAATTTTGAGCTCAGGGTCTAACTCACTCTCTTATGTTTAACTCATCTTCATATTACTAAATATTCATATTATTAATGTTTGTATAGTCAGTCTGTATGCCAAATGTATACACATTTTTAGTTATATATGAGTACTGAATGACTGAGCGCTGAGTTCATGCAAAAAGATTATAAAAAATAAGTGGAATTTTTATTTTCTATATATCATGTGTGAGTGTTGTGTATGTGTGTGCCTGTTATGACCATAAGTGATGGTATGTAATAACCACTATAAGTCCATACCTGCAGCCGTATTATATCCTCGGTTACAAATAGCGCACTGAAATGGTTTCATCTGATCGTGAGTTTTCATGTGAATCTTCAAGTGATCGCTGCGTGAAAAGGCTGACTCGCAATGACAGCATCGATACCTCTTATCGCCTATCAGTTCACATATCAAATGGGAGAGATTTTTAAAAAAGAAAGAAAAATTTTTAACAATTTTTTCCATACCATAACCACTAATATATAGCTTAGGTATGTTAAAAGTCAGTAAATATGAAGAGAAAAAAATGATGAGTAAAGAAATAAATATATGAATTGATATGAAATGTGTTTTAATATTTTATTTGAAAAGAGGATCTCATGAGTGCTCATAATCTATAAATAATGCTTAAGGGGTAGGGATTGCTAATTAAGTCATCAAAAGCAATGAATCAATTAATTGCATTTTTATAGTCATATAATGTGAAAAAATAAGAAAAAAATAGTAGGGATAAGAAAGGTGTCATTTGATGGCTACCTGTGTGTAACTTCACGTGACGGTCACGACTTCGCTTATGTTTGAAGAGTCGCTGACAATAATCACAACGGAATGGCATTTGGTCTGAATGTATCTGAAATGATAGAGACATACAAAACACGATAAGATACACACAAAACAGTATAACGAAATGAACAGTCAGGTAGTTATGTGAGCCGTAAATAAAGTTATTAACAAAGTCTTGTGTATTCAGTAAATGCTTTACCACTGAAATAACCATTAGGTTTAAAGTAAGGATAATATTCCGGTGCCTCAGAGCTGGAACCCAGACCTGACAGTGAAAGAGGCTCTGCTTTTTTGTGCATAAATATTACGGCATATATTAACAGATAGTCTGCAAGTTTGAGAAAATAGTCAGAAATGCCTGTTTGTGTTGTGATGTGAGGCAGTAATAGAGAGATCTGCTCTCTTGATGTCTAAAATTTAGTTTCAAAACTTTTGGCAACAGATAATTAAGACATAGCACTGGCATAACAAGCATAACACCGGCACTATCTTTCAGTGCTCTCTCTCTCTCTCTCTCTCTCTCAACTGTAGAGCATAGTACAGTATATGCCAATAGCATAGGCACTACATTTTGACTTGTATTGAGACATTGACGTTGGGCTCAATTCTAGTAATTTTGTTTCTCTCTCTCTCTCTCTCTTTCTATGCATCTCCCTGTGCCCTATATTTACTGCCTTTAATCGGAAACACAGCGGGTGGTACTGGTAGAGGCACCCCAGCCTGCCTCAGGTATAATTGCAGGTGATTTGGGTGGTCTTCCCGAATGTTTTCCCCACTCTCTCTCTCTCGCTTTCTCTCCCTAAGCTATCAGTGAATTTGTTGGGCTCAGTTATGTGCCTCTTATATTCTCCAATATTTTTGCAGCCCAGTGCTGGAACATTATACATACTGCCCTTTGATATGAATAGATAGGCATATTGTGGTCGTGTCTCCCGTTCCTGCCGTTCCCCCCTTCACTTTCAAGTTCATTAGGCGCTTCTCTTTTGTTGATTTCTTAATCTCGAAGCACAGGCTATACTGTAGTTATGCTACAAATATATGTATACATCTCTGTATTGATGACCACTGTTCCCATCTCAAGGACGACAGGCGTACAAACAATTTTCATGCATTGGGTGAAGCACTCGGTGCTCAACACAATTGCACTGAATATACAATATATTATATGATATGAACACATAAAAAGGCAAAGAGGGTTCACTTCATACAGAGATAGCAGAGTTAATGTTCACAAAGTTATGGGCCTTATAGTGATATGCCTGGGAGCGGGACAGGTGGACCCGCCACCACTATCACCAACATCTTAATAAAGACATCTTTTTTCTTTGGCATTTCCAATGCATTGGTGGCGTGGGGTTGGGGTGCGAGTCATTCAACATAACTAAACTATACTAACCCTAATATTTTTCTAATATAGAGATACCTCTAGTAAAGTAAGTATATTTTGAACTTTACTTTATATGGCTTTACAACTATTACTCGGGAGACACTGTCACTACGGGTGGGGACAGATGGGTCATAGGGACCTTTGGCTATGCATTTAAAGGTGAGGCATATATGCCTCTATTACGGATATTAAAGTTGTCCCTTAAGTGACGGCACAGATAGGCTTATGAAAGACAATGAAAAACAGATGCAAATACTATATACACACACAACTCAAATCCGCAACTCATTAGCAGTTAAACTAAAATTTTTTCAATGAATTTCTTACAATACATTAACCCATTCATTGTCTACAATATTAATGAGAAATATTTACTACTAATACTGATGTCATTACGCTATAGTAGAAAATCCATGGCTTACCTGTTCGTGTCTTTTCAAATAAGATAATCGTGGAAATGCTTTATCACAGAAAGTGCACGGGTATGGCGTACCCTCTGTCACACCAATTGTATATGATATCTGTAGATCATCGATACTGGACGAGGAGGTCGTCTCACTCGATGCCGTTGTCTCACTTGGACTGCACGGTGTAGTCATCTCTATTCAAAATCATAATAAAATACAATATTAATAATATATATATATTTTTAATTTTATTATTTTTAACTTAAATTTATTTATTTAATAAAACAATTTATAATTATAGCTTTTAAAAGTTATTAATAATAATTCAAAAAAAAAATACTTTTTGTTAATTGAGACTTCATTTTTAACAAACAATTTAAAATTTACTGTTTAAAACACAAATTACACTTTCAAATAGCAAAACTAATTATGATAATACTAGTTGAGAGGTAAACTTTTTTTAACATAAAAAATATTAACTAAAAAAATTAAAATATGTCTAAAAAATATATATTCTCGCAAAAACTTTTTGACTAAAACTTTTCAATAGTGTTTGAGAGTGTTTGTGATGACAAACACATGCATTGGAGTTAAGTGTTGTCACTAAAAGATGCAATAAAACGATTGCTTGATTTTAATAGTTAGCGAGTAGTAGTAGTAGTGAGAGCTGATTGAGGAGTACAACAACAACAACACTACATTTATAAAACTACTTGAGTTTTGAGGCACACGAGAGACACTGGTATCCAATGTTGACTATGCATTGGACTTGTTTGAGATGATAACGTAAAAGACTGACTCTATTAGATGTTAGCGGGACTTGAAGATAGCCCAACCCATAGTCTATGGTACACGACTTGATGTTTAGCCTGAATTATGGTTTACTGCTATTACTGCTACAAACACTAGTATTGTGTAGTACACAGTGTTCTGGTCATTGAATGTATGTATATATATATATATATATATATATATRTGTGTGTGTGTGTGTGTGTGTGTGTGTGTGAGAGAGAGAGAGAGAGAGAGAAGGAGGTGGGGGTATCACTGCCTATCCATTTAGGGAGGAGAGTGAAAGATACCAAAGCTATGGGCTGAGGAGCAGCTAACAGAGCATCAAAGTGGTGAACCGGTAGTGACCCTTAACATTGGACTATCGCCAGTCCTATTCACTGATTGTTAGTCTCCCTTTAAAATCTCATTCAAAGAGTTTATTCTAAACTTTTTGATAAATCATTAGTTGTTTGATGGCATATATATCTAAAGCCATACTAAGCTTAGACCTGGAGTGAAACACAACTGTTTATAGAAAATCTTCTAATGGCTTGCAATGGTAGTTGTGATGGCCTTAACCTAAGTCAATAGAGATAAATACAGAGAATTCAAACAATGCCCAAACAATTGGCGAGTAGTGCCATAACAGTCTGACCCAACAGTCAGGCCTAATACATGCCTAACACTAGTCCTAACTCAAGCCTCTCCCACTCACTCACTGAAAACATTTGTTTCGCAGTGCTCTCCACTTCTTTACTAAATATCTCAATTCTGTGGCTTCAAGTCAACTGTGATTGACATTGAATTGTGGGTGCGGTGGTACTGACACCAGGCTTTAGATGCGCTTTTACCCATAATTTGGGCTTTAGATTCACTACTACAACACCACTACTACCACCAACACATCCCCAATAGATCCCAAAGAATAAAGTTATCACTGGTTTTTGCCTTCAAACACACAAAAGTCAAAATTGAGTGAAGAGATACAAAGCCGTACAATATGTGTAACAACACCTGGACATCAACCACCACCCCATCCCTATTTCAATCAATATACTATAGCACACATACATTATGGCCTTTTTTGGCATTATTTGCCATTTCAGTCATCAATGAATGGTCTGTTTTGGGCAAAAATCCAATTTAATTAAAGCAAAAATAATGACAAAATGCCTGAAGCCATGCATCGTATGGTTTCCCTCAATACGAGCGCTGACCCAAAGCAGACATCGGTTGGACACAAGAGTATGAGTTGCCAATGAAGTCAAGCTCTGGTGTCACTGAATTCAGATGACATCAGCTGTATATACAATAGCTTATGTATCACAAGTTTTATGTGCGCTTATATGTGCAGAGCCAGTGCCTGACCACCCGTCATGAATACCATCAAAAGGTCAGATCAACCATTGTTTATATTGTGCTCACATTTGACTCAATTTACAAACATAACAGTGCTTTCAGTTAAACCGTTTCAACTAATAATGACAACAAAGTTATTGCAAAACAAACTCATCTACAAAACAGATATAAAGATTGTCAATATATGACAGTCAGACAGTGAGAGTCGATGAGAGAGAGAGAGAGAGAGAGAGGTCATAGTTAGTCGTTTTCGGCTCAATATAATGAAAATCCATGAATCAGATCATCTCATGAAAAGGCTGTCCAAACAGGGAATAAATATATCTCTAAAAATAATTTTTTTTTGTTTGGCGACAATTATTTTGGTTCGTTTCACAACATTTTGCTATTTCGTTACAATCAATAATATTGAAGTCAATCTATGGCACTAAATATATAGTAAAATAAAAAACAAGAATAAAACAGATATATAGAGAAAAATTCGTAGGGATTGCCAAAAAAGTCATAAAATGCCACTAACTTTCAAAAAGACAAGAGATAGAGATAGCTGAGCACCAAATGGCAATGGCAATGGCTTGAGGGCTAGCCATGCCAATTGAGCTCAGGTATCAGTCAAGCGATTTGGGTGCAGCAATAAGACAACTGTCCTGTTGCCAGAACCTGTGCCAAAGTTAGTGACTATTTCTTAAGCGTTCAGCACTTATCAAAAGTATTGGTTTCCGGTGATTATATGAGATTCGCTACACTGATATCGTATATTACACTCACTCTTATTACAAATGGATAGTTATTATTATAGTTTGTATGAATTCATTCAATGTTTTATTTTATATAACCAGTCCTGTCCTGTCCTATCTTGGGATATGTATGTATGTATGTGTGTGACACTAACACTTCCATCAGTACAGCCAACGAACTACATTTCAAAGCTAATTATAATCAAAGCATTTAGTTTTGATTTCATAGGAGTTTTTAACTGATTCACATCCCTCTCCCGTCACTGTATCAAAAATATAGCAAAGAGAGAGAGAGAGAGAGAGAGAGAGAGAGAGAGAGAGAGAGAGCTGAGAAGCTTGGGATAGATATATGAATGCGTGCACTGGGATGGCATGTGATTGCATGTCAAGAGATGACACTAAGACAAAAACCAACTGTTCTGTTGAACAAAAAAAGAAGTCCTTCTTATTTAATGACAAAACAAAGTTTAAAGACCTGTTGCTTTCTGGGAGAGAAAGAGACACTTGAATTGCGATTATAGCCGCTATTGTTGTTTAATATGAGTCCAAAAAGTAGTGGTTGTGTCGTGTCTTTCTTTGATTGCCAGTCCATATCGACTGCACGCACACACAAACACATCCCCAGGTCTTACAAATAATCAGATACAAGACTCTAAAAGATACAAAGTTTTATATTTCATAACCAAACAAATAGCAACAACAAAGACCAGTAAAGTAATTAAACTCATTAACTGTTAAAAAAGTTGTCGCCTTTTATATGTTACGATTAAAGTCAACGGAATATATGATATGTATTATTATAATCAACAAAAACAAGAGAGAAAAGGACCCCAAAAAAACAATGATATATTTGTTTGGTGTAAATTAATTGTTATGTTTGCTATTGACAACAGACCTTCAATGACCACGGATATGATGAGGAATAAGTTAGTTAATACATGACTTGATAAAACTTTTTTTTTATTATTTCAGATACCGGCGCTCTCTGACTATAAGTGCGCACCGATCATGTCATGCATGCAATTGAAATCCAAACGACGATGAAAATCAGTCATCAACTCATTCATTGTTGTTATTATTATTTTTGATAACAACAAATAACCCATAGATATGAAGGAATGGCTATCAATAAGGGACACATCTGTTGTGTGATTATTATTAAAGTCAAGAAATCAGTGTTTGTTATGAATGAATGAGTGAATGATATGATATGACAGAGTGTTGAGTTCCGGGTGTCTTAAAGTAAAAACAACTCATATATTCTTTAATATATTTATAAATTATTTGGACACAAAAAATATTGATTTCAAGGTATATAAAAAAAATAATTTTGTAGGAAGTGATTCAATAGGAAAGTCTGATTTTGCTGATGGACTCATATTGTTGTTGTTATAATGGCTTTACTAGTAATAGGAGTGTATGTTTGTTGTGTCAGATAATTGTGGTACAGGATTGCTACCTGACTTACAATCAAATGGTGTGGCTATTGAAGGAGTTATACAAAATATAAGTCTTTTTTTTGAATGAGTTGATGGAAAAATAATAAACAGATAGATTGGGATATAAGTTATATATTGATATTATACTTATATATATATAGAGGGACTGTTGGCTGATTGTGGTGCGAGTGAATACCCATTTAAACTTATAGTCATTTCTCGATAGCAATTGTCGTATATATATATATATATATGAAACTGAATGAGGCCTCAGATCAATGAAGGAGAACATATGCATTGCACACCTTATGCATGACTGATCCCTATAAGTAGTGAACCACTGTTTCTTCATAAAACTGACCCTAAATTATATGGTAGGCGACGATGACTTGCCATTCATTCATTGAGATTGTCTATTCATGGGTTCTCTTTTATTTCTTTTCAAATATCATATCATCCCTCTCTTTCACTACAATATCAAAGCAAATAATAAAGCATTTTCTGAAAATATCTTTACATTTTTTTGAGAGTTGAAATAACCATAAAATTATAAAAGTTATAAATAAGAAAATAACGAAAAAAATTGTACATCAAATGCATTGCGTGGGAATCGCTATTAGCTTACATTACTATATGCATTGTATAAACCGTTAATTAAGATTCAATTGAAAAATGAGTTCTGATTTTTTCATTCATACCCTATCTATTGAATAGTATTTTATTATAACTAATACTACTATATGTTCATTACATTTATTTAAGTGAATGAACATCAAGTCAAGTGTTCATCAAATAAGCCAATTTGTTATGAATACTAAATACTATTTTTTAAATAATTTACTAACTATTTAGTTACACGAGATTAACGTTAGTTTTGAGACAGTCA